ATCGGATTTATATATTATATATGTATATTTTGTAATATCAAACTCCCTTATATTCAATAAAAATTGTTAATCATTAAACAAATAAGTAATAACATATTATGCGCATACATATTTAAAATATTTATTTTCTTATTTTGGAAATGACTAACAACCACGCCCAAAATCTCAGTGTTTTTTCTCAGTGTTTTTTACGGCACCTTGCTGTTGTTACATCTTTTTCTTGGCCAGTCCCGCATCAAATTCGTCTAACTGACTTTTAATTGTTCGAGACGAGGGCGAGAAGGGAGCGACCCGACGGTGTCGGCTTTCCCATCTCTCCCGTTTTTAACTTCATTTTTTATTTCTAATGTATGTATGACGACAAAAAACGAAGAATAAAGACAAACAAACAAACAAAAAAAAACAAAACCTAGTAACTATGCAGAGTTGCCATTTCCAGGTGGCTTGTAACTCAATTTACTTTCAGCCAAGTGTCGCCCTTTGTTGCAAGGCGGAACAATTGCGGTGTTTACCTGATGGCCATATCTCTCCGATACCATCTCGGCCAGAGATTTCCTGGTAGTTGCATAACGACAACTAACCACAGTCTAGCCAATGACAGACACGAGCTCATCTGGTGACAGTGATTAACGAGACAAAAGAGTCTCCAATTTGAAGGACTCACTAATGACTTTAGAGACATCGCATTAACACTCACAGGACAATTTTGATTAGTCAGATGGAGACTCTAAATCAGTGGTCGCCAACTAATACATTGTATGTATTGTAAGAAGATGAATAGTTCTAGTTTTATTGATCAATTCACAAATAGGTTGAAGCATTCACTTCAGGGGTTGAATGTGAAATAGTACATATCTATTTGAATATTAAACGGAGTTAAGTAGTCCTTTTTTTCTTTTTAATTATTTGGAGTTATATTTAAGTTCTCAGTTTCTTATCAGTCATGAACGCAACAGTGTCTACATACTTTTTTATTCTAATTACTCACCATAACTATAACAAACAAAATTGTATGTATGTATGGAGGTTCTACCACAATTAACTACACTAGGACTTGGAAACACAAATGTTTATAAATAACTAATTTTGTAAATTGATAAATGACATTAGAACGTGTTTAAATATACTGCACATCCCCTTCCGTCGTGTTCTTGTAAACTACGTTAAAAATTGATGAGTTTCCTTAAAGCTAGCTATTAATACTAATTTAAAAATAATTTTTTTAATTTCATTCACATCCAAGCCCTTAGTAGCGCTATATTCTTGATTAAGGTTAAATATTTAGTCTTTAGCATAGCCCCCAATGAATTAGTAAAAGGTACATGCCTTAGAGAAGAACTTCTCCAAATACGGCCAAAAACGTATAACCAATTTATTAGTTAAATGTCACTTTTTGAGTAAATGAAGATAGGAAAGCTAACTACGGGAAGTAGTTTATCTTCGGGAAGCCGAAGTTTATATGTCCCGATATATCGCAAATATTGGATGTAGTTGGCACATCCTTATGAGAATTTTGTTGTAAAACCAATTTCTTACAATAAAAATTTAAAAAAAAGTTCCGAAGCTGCTATCTTAAAAAACACCAAAGGTGACGAACCGGTCGCATGTCGCGCCAAAACATCTGATACGAAATTTGGTGAATAAAAAATTTAATAAAGATAGACAAAATTAAACATTTGAAAATATTCTCATACGTCACTTGTCTTTTTAATATTTTTAATATTATTACTGTGGCGAATAAGAATATTCTTAAATGCGCCTTTTTTATTTATTTAATTTTTTTTGGCGGTCTTTCAGAATTTTTGAAATGGCTTGTGCATCAATTAGTGCATCAGCTAGCATTCCTGAATTCATCATAAAGCATAGTGGCCCAGCGCTCAAAAACGATTTATAAGTATTTATTAAGCCATTGTTATAGAGTAGAGATAATTGTAGTTCAAACATAAGACCCTAAGCTGGTCGTGATGTGCATACGTCGAATCACAATGGCTATGGAATAGAGGACTAAGGTTTTTAGTCCTATTAGGAATATTGAAATTTAAGCGTGTTAGTAATGCGGTCCTGATGTATCCATATTGGGGACTCCAGACACATGAACCGTACTCCAGTATCGGACGAACCAAAGAAATGAATAAGTTTTTAGTAATGTAGGAGTCGTTAAATTCTTTTGAACACCTTTTAATAAAACAAAGGAAGATTAATTCCTTGAGGGACACCAGATGTAGCACAGACCAAGCGGGAATGTGTATTTTTAAATAAGACTATTTGTGTTCTTCTATCTAAGTAGCTGTATCTAAGATGACAAAGGATGTCAACTTCCTTCCACTTAAGAGGAAAAATCGAGCTTTGCAAAGATAAGTTGTAAAGTCTATGTAGAGATTTGCACAGAGTCCTGGCACAGTATTTTGGCACACTGCCTGGTATTCGGGGTCTAGCGAATAAACGGGTTTGACCCTAAGAAGATCAGATAATAAGCTATTCTCGGAGATAGACGGACAGAAAAAAGATTTGTTGGTTGAATGTTGTATGCGTAAGGCTGATCTGTCGTTTTAGGCGGAGAATAAGTTGTTTAAAAAAACGTTGCGAATCGAAAAAGAGCCTATTTTTTAGGTTAGTGAGGCACCTTGTAAACCAAGGAGGATTAGTTGAAGCGGTAGGATATTTCCATGGCACACATGACCAAAAAAATTTATTTAAAGTGTGTTAAAATGTATCTAATGTACATTTACATCGGTGCATGCCAGAATATCGGACCAATCAAATTTACCGATAAGGCTATTAAGTTTGAGAAAATCAGAACGCATGGAGACTTCTGATCGATACCAGAAATGTTTTATTTATATTTAGTTAGGTCCTTCATCTTTATATCGGCATTTGTTTTGGCTTTGATATAAGCCGAGAAATCGATTTCTGAAGTATCAGGGCCAAGCAGAGAAACAAATATACAAGTATGTTTCGATGGAGGAATCACCTATAAGGGTTTTGGTGTCGCAGGTATGAAAACAGCAGTCGGTACCGGTGGTCAGGACTGTGAAATACCCGGTTGGGTGACTCTAACTCTTCATTTACTAGGACCTGTCGTTTTACTTGAAAGTATGCCACGGAGGACATATCGGACAATTGATCATTTTCATTGAGAAATGCGGACGGCGAATTGTTTTCATTTCTATCCCTTGGGGTGGCCAGAGATATGAGCGGCTGCGTTAATGTGTGCTGAGCAGGCTGAAGCGGATCTCAAACAACGGATTTCTTAAGCTTAGGGGACTCATTTAGCAGCTGAATGCCACTAAACTGAGTGTCAAGAGCACAGAGCTGGTCATTGATTTTACGAAAACCAGTGATCAACTATTAAATACATTCTTAGTCTGTCTCATAAGCGACCTCATTTCGTCTTGGACAGCACGACAATTATCACAACAATAATGTAAACCAGACCTACGGGAAATGGCATCCGAATCTGAGGTAGTGAACCCGGAACACTTTTCGTGTACGACGTTTTCACATAGCCAGGAGATTGTATTTTTACAAGACTTCAGTCGATCCCACATTATCTCTTTAACATTGGCTTTTAATAATATCATATATTTATAAAACTTTTATTTGCCATTTAACAAGCCCTTATCGTATTTTTTCCAATTTCGTATTTTTTCGAAATTGAAATCATACAGTGTAAACTTTAAGAGTTCCGAGACATTTCATGAGAGCGCCTCCATGCTTTTGTCGGTGGGCAGCCGAAACTACAAATTGTTTCTAATATTTTGTTCCTAGTCCAGCCGTTGTGGGGCGCTCGTGTCGACTGCAAGGCGACTGTATACTGTTAGCGGTGGGCGGCAGAAGCTGCAAATTGCTTTGTACCAGGTACAAACCAGGTACATTTTTTATGCTTTGGTACATTGGATCATTTTTTTCATATTGGTACTTTTTAATATGCCTGGGGTCTAGTATTTCAATTTTACATATAATTTTATTTTTACAGATATTATTTTAACAAATGGCTCTATTCCACCAGACAAAAATTCGGTATCAGTGTGTAGTACCGAGTGTAATCGATCAGATCAGATGTAAGAGGCAGCGTTACAAAAGAGATAAGGTAACGAAAGCTAGGCGTCGTGAAGAACAACAAACTCCACAGTAACTACGATGTATCGGGTTAGGTCCAGAGAGTACAGCTCGGAGAAAATTTCTGTTGGAGAATATAGGTAAGACGCAAAAGAAATAACTATAAACGATTAAATGTATACATATATAAGAAATGAACTCATTAAGTCAAATATATTTTGAGAATTAATCGTTATATTTTCACTTGTCGCGAAAAGAGAAAACTTTAGTTCTAAGATGGAAGATAAATGCAATCTGGCGAGAGCGATCAAAAAAACACGTCCTGCTTCAATGCTTCCTGCTCCAAACAAAACATGCTTCAATGAGTATAACGAAAAAAAAAAAACTCAAAAAAAAGAAAAAGGAAAAGAAAAAGGAGTTTTGCAAGAAGCAGGACGCCAAAGAGGAGAACAGGTACAAAAAGAGGGACGATGAGGTGGACCAGGACGAAAAATGGTTCACAAGGTCAGGATGCCGTGCATCTACAATGAATTCATCTTTCGTGGGTGTAACGCGGGGACCTAATAAATAGACCTAAATAAGAAAAGGTTAATGTGAATCGTAATTATTTGTCTAACATTTTTTTTTTTTTTCGTTTGAAGTTAGTTCCAAAGCTTGGATGAGATGGCAATTCAGCCAATGGGTTTTTTTCAGGACAAAATTGACAAAATAAGAAGCACCTTTTATTTTAAATAGCCAGTTGGATTTATTATTATTAGCCAACTTCTGAAAGTTGTATAATATATGTACATACATAGCTATGAGCATAGCTCCAATTAGATTACAAATATTTAACTTCTGAATGTTATGTATACATTGTGCAACCAGGGGTGCTCTAATTTTAAATTTAACTCTCTAAAAAAGTAAAAAGCCGAACATTGGGTCAAAATCTAACTGCGCCGAAGATTGGCGCTGAAGTTATCGGCTTTTATAGAATATAGGATGGTTTGTGTCCTAATGTTGCAGCTTCGGAGGTCATGCTATAAGGCGCATTGCTAGTGTAACGTTGTTATTCGGGTCTCTTGTAGTCAGCTAGTATCGCATCGACTGGCTTGCCACATGATCGTGGATGGCGCGGCTGAGGGCCTCTAGAGTGGGCCCGTCCATTTCATTAATGAGGATCATAGTGGCTCGCAGCAGATTGTCGTTCATGCGCGAATGGCGTTGATGCTCTGTGGTGCCGGGCGAGTTGCCATGGCTGCCGGCTCCCATTGCCCCGCCGCCCAGTCCAAAACCCGCATAATAGGGGACTCCCAGTGGACTGGGAGTCTGCGGCGAGACACTGGCCACCATATCGTAAGGACGACTGTCAATCAGACGGTCAGGGTGCCCAACGGTGGCCATGTCCGAGACGGTATTACGGTAGTACTGTTGTCCGATGGTAGCAGGAGCTGCAGTGGATGCGGCCGAAGACACCGACGCAGCCGCAGAACGGGGGCTCATCTGGTTGGAATGAAAGTTGGGCGGTATGCATCGGCGCACATGGTCGTTGTTTAGACTCTGTGAGGCCTCCGAGGAGTCGAGGGCAGAACCGGCTCTGCGGTTAGGCGGACTATGGACTTCAGTCTGTGTGAAGCGTGCCTCTGGGACTGGTGATCGGCGACTCCGGGGCGAGCCAGCTGGCGAATCTGCATAAGGCTCACGTTCAAGCTCCGCCATTTCAGTCATTTCCCGGCTGCGGTCTCGGTTGCGCTCTAGTTCGCGCTCCCGCTCCTGGTCCCTCTCGCGCTCTCGTTCCATCTCGCGTTCGTATTCGCGCTCCCGCTCGAGACGCTCCCGGCGAGCCTTGAGCTTGGGACTGTTCGGCGGCTCGGGCACTGGCGTTACACCGGTGTTGCTTTTCGGCTCAGGGTAATACTCATGGCGAAGGGCAGCCTGCAGCTCCTGATCGAGGACATCCACATCGTCAAGCTTCTTTAGTTGGGGCAGCTTGCGCAGAACGTTGGCGCGGTAGTGGCCGCCAGCTGCATCGGAACACGGATTGCCCTCCAACCAGAGGGAGGACAAGTCATGAGCGTTCTTTAAATAATTCAATTCATCAAAGCTTGCGATAGCATTCTTTCGCAAGTACAGCTCCTTGAGACGATGGCAGTTCTGCAAGGAACTCAGCGAGTTGATCTTGTTGACGCTCAGGGCCAGCACTTCCAAGCGCGGCATCTGGAGGCAGATTGATATGTCGTCCAGGTCGCTGCCCCACACATTCAGTTTGACGGCATTGCGAAAATCAGAGCATTTGGCCTTGGCCTCAACCAGCTGTTCACTTAGACGGTTGACCATATTTTCTGCTTGGTGTCCTATAATTTCGAGAATAAACAAAACAAAAATTTAACAAAAATATTTGAAATTTTAATTTTTTTTTCAGAGAGGGAATTCACACGAAACACGCTGACCCGACGCCGCGATATGAATGCTTTTTCAAACAAGACTTACTTGACTGAAAAGTTAAATTTTTGGGAAATTACTCTCCTTGATTTTTTTTTTAGAAATCGGAATACAAAAATTTTCCCCAAAACGAAAAATTTTAGCAGATCACCGATGTGCACAGTTTAGATGTTGAGTTATTAATGATGATTCCAAGTCCTTCCCTTTACGACATCTATTTTCGTCTAACCCAAAAACACAAAGCCTACTATTTTATCGGGATTTGGGGCACCTAAACCAACTTTTCGCAAAACCCCAGCCTACTTTTTTAAAGCATTTTAGCCATTTTACACGCTGAACCACAAACCTATGAATCATTAGAAAACGGTTTACTGCTGTATAGATGCCAGAGACTAGAGATGCCATTTTTAGCCTTAACCAAACCTTCGGTGCTTTTATAAGAAATTTTTCGCTATCTAAATTGACTAATTTGAAAAAAAAATTTACCATCTTAAAGGTAAAATTAATGATCCATTTTGCATATTATAAACTTATTTTGAAGATATAAGCCGTTTTCTCTTGTGATATTCACCAGAACGGCTAAGATGTTCCCAAAAAACAGCTGGCAGCACTTACATTATTTGCAAGTTTATATCTTTGATAGTTGAAAAATGTATTTTCCTAATCCAAATAGGATTAGGAATTAGGCTCATCTCCTATTTGCCAAAAGCATTTTTTTACAACTACAGGAAGAGTAAACATTTTTGAATTTGGCGCACTAATCGACAAATTTTCAGTTCGATAGCGGTAACGTGAAGTATTTACCAACACTTTAACCTGACGCGCGCCATATTGAGTGCCCAAATTTTAGAAGCTCCGAGCAAAATCACGTTTTTTGTTTTGTAGTAAGCCTTAACCATGTCCAATAAGCGCCAAAACGAGGTGCCCGTCGAGAATATGGCGGATGATACGTCGCTTGGGAGTATTTCAGACGATGAGAAGGCAAGAGGCGACCCGAACGTGTTTCTTTCCTACTTGGTAAGGAAATTTGCAATTTGAAACCTTCTGTTTTTAATGAGTGTAACATTGTGTGCATGTCAGCGCCAAGCGAATGAGTATCTGGAACAGAGAGTCAAGACTCTAGAGGCGCAGAGGGACAGGATGTTGGCCCAGAAGTTGAATTTGATGTCACAAATAACTATGCATCAGGTCTCTGAAACAACGATCTTGACGAGCGTCCTCAAGCTACTAGACGAGTTGAACCATCGTCTCCTTAACGAATTTCAGAAGACTGAGAGACTGGAAGATGACAATCACAAGAAGAATAGGGAGCGCTGCGAGCGTTTAATTGAAGAGCTGAGGGCATCCCAGCCGGGCACTTCCTTTGACAAGTACACCATAATGGTAAGAACGTCTAACACGTGTTTTGGGTGACTTGACATGTGACTTCAATAAGATTTAGTTCCATAGCTTTTAAGGAAATATACGAAGAGGGAGGCGTACCGATCAATAATATAGGCCGATCAATTATATAAATAATCACAATATTAAGCATTTATTTGTTCATATTCACAGCCATGCAGCGAGCTAGAGAAAGTGATTGAGGTAATGGAGCATCAACTAGATGGAATACGTGCCAGGAAGTTTGTCGTAAACAAGGAGATGCTCAAGGTCAAGAAGGAATTTGACAAAGAATATGTTAACCTTCGCAAGGATTATGATGCTCTGAGCGTAGTCGAAAGACAAGTTATGTAAGTGAGCAAAAATGTAACAATTAATTTGAAATGCACATTCAATTTTTCTTCCCAACAGCGAAATTGCTGAAAACTTACAGTTTGAACAGGCACTGCGCAACACCAAGAAGCCAACAAAAAAAAATTAATTCTTTTCAATTAATTCTTCAATTAAACTTATCAAACAAAAATTATCCCATGGATCAAGTGAAGATCCTTTTATTTATTTTTAATTTGAATCATTTTATTTTGTTTTATTTTTCTTTATTTACATTCAAGTAGTAAAATTTGAGAATACCAAATGTTTGAAGCTTTTACTGTTCCTTGTAAAACATACTCAACATATCTACTACAAATATCCAAAAATATTTTTAATATGTATACCAATGTATGAAATGAGCATTGAAGTTTTTAGTTATTTAATAAAAAAAAGAGTTACACATACAAAATATATATGTATATTATATAGTAACTATAGTAGTATAGTATAGTATAGTAACTAACAGCCTCTAAATTTTGGTGAAGACAAGTATGGGCTTGGGGTAGCTTTTGTTTAAATGGAACCGCGGCAGTCGCTAACCTATCGAAGAAATATCGATTAGATTAAACTGGGTGGCAACGTAGAGGTAACAGCTGACGGCTGTGAACGTTTCTGGTTGTGGCGAAATCCGCTCATTCGTTTTGTTGTCGTTTAATTGTGAAAATTATAACCAAAAAATAGCGTCAAACCCATTTGCCATGGACGAGTTCTCCCGCCAGCACATGGACGACTGCTTCCTGCGCACTCCAAGCAACATTCGGACCACGTATGTACTTCCTCGGACCGCATGCCGGACTCCTGGTTAATGTCTTGTCGTCTCTCTTCACAAAAAAGCAACGTGCAAGCGACTCCCAAGTCGCAACCAGACAATAAGTCGCGCAAAACAGAACTGCACGTCCTGCGGCTGAAAGATGAGTCCCGGCAAATGACCATGGATACGCTGCGCAGCATTCACGGCCCGGACTTCCGGCTAGACGACATTAGCAAGTACAAGGATCGCGGGCGAGGTGGGCACGGAGTGAAGCACTCCTACTGGCAGGATCGCGGCACCCTGATGGTTCAGAGTGTTCAGGGTGTGAGCTCAAGCCGTGGCGATGGTAGCGACGAGGATCGCCTGCGCCGCTATGCCTTGGCCAAACTGGAGAACTACGGCTTCCAGGCGGTTCACTGCCTGGAGGCGTACGAGCACTGTTCCGGCGACACAGAGGCGGCTCTGCTACTCCTCTATCGTCGCTACATGCATATTTTAGAGAGTGAGTCGCTTTCAACAGAACTTCCAAGTGAAGCGGAGATTTTAGATATGCGTTCCGATGAAAAGGAAGCTCTCGAATCCATCTACGATAAAGCATACGAGGAGCGTGAACCGAACCGGGTGTGGAATCTCAAGTTCCGCATCGACCATTTGCTAGCTCACAGTCCCTCGGAGGTGAGAAAGGCAAGGGAGGCAACCCTGGCGGCGGCCGCTGTAGCAGCTCAGGCCGAGCTGGACAAAAAGAAAAGGAGCAGGGCTCCACAAAGGTGTAGGAACTTTGATCGCGATGGCACGTGCAAGTTCGGACCGAAGTGTCGCTTCGCCCACCTTCCCCCCCAACCCGTGGGACCGGACACTTCCAAGAAAGGTGTGTATAGAAAATCTGAGCCGGGTTCATTGCCTCTTCGCTTAAGGTATTAGGTATTCGATCAATAGCCACTTTTACGTGGAAGCAACAATACTAAGCCATTGTTCCGAGAAAAATAATTATATTTCTTCAACTACTTAGATTCCGTTGACGATAACGACAACGAATTATGGTTTCACGTGGAGATTCGCTTTCCGCCCGGCAGTCGTTATCCCTTTGAGGCACCTTTTGTCTACCTGAAGACCACCTGTCACGACATACCGCACGAGCTGCGCCTGCGCTATGCCCGTCACTTGTACAAGGAGGCCAGGGAGATATGCCGCGACGGCATTCCTTGTGTCTATAGCATCTGTGATCTGCTGCAGACCGACGAGCAGCTGGCCGGGCACTTGGACACCACTGCCTTTCCCTCACCAAAAAGATCTCTTTTTTACGATGAGCCCGAAGACGGAGCCGCCAATGAGGAAGCGGAAAACCAACAAGTGGCGAAACCCACGCACTACACCCGGGGTCAGACCTCAAGGAATGATGCAGGGCATCAGCGAAATGCAGAGGCTCAGACGCGCGAGAACCGCAAGTTGTTGCAACAGTTCGTGGAACGAAGAAAAGATGAACGCTATCAGAAGGTTATTGATGGCAGAAGAAAGCTACCCGCCTTTGCCGAGATCGAGCGCATCCTAGCGCTCATTGAGAGCTCCCCGGTGGTGGTGATCTCGGGCGAAACTGGTTGCGGCAAGAGTACCCAAGTGCCGCAGTTTATTCTGGACAATTGGTTCTTCCGCGCTCTGCAGCTTTCGCCGAAGGAAAGCCTTCCCCACGTGGAGATTATTTGTACGCAACCACGTCGTCTATCCGCCATCGGTGTGGCAGAGCGAGTGGCAGCGGAGCGTCTGGATAGGATTGGCCAGCTGGTGGGTTACCAGATCCGCCTAGAAAACAAGGTTTCGGCTAGCACCCGGTTGAGTTTCTGCACTACTGGTATCTTGTTGCGCCGCCTGGCCTCGGATCCATTGCTTGGCAGTGTGACCCATGTGATAGTGGACGAGGTGCACGAACGTTCCGAGGAGTCGGACTTCTTACTTCTGATTCTTAAGAATCTGCTGCGTGAGCGCAAGGACTTAAAAGTTATCCTCATGTCAGCCACACTAAACGCTGCCTTATTCTCCGATTACTTTGGTGGGGCTCCGGTGCTAGACATTCCGGGCCGTACGTTCCCCGTGCAACAGTTCTTCCTGGAGGACATTCTCGAAATGAGCGACTTCGTCATGGAGTACGATACCAAGTATTGTCGCAAGCTCAAAAAACAGGAGCAGGAAGTGCTGGAGCGGGAACTGGAGTACGCCGACGTCCAGGCATCAGGAGAGCCTCCCGGCAAGAAAATCAAAGACGAGAAACTAACTCTGGCGGAGACCTATCGACGCTATGCAGGTAAACTTAAGGACTCTGTCGGTGAAACACGTCTAAAAAATACTTTAGATTTCAGCAAGCCAACCTGCAAGAGCATCTACCTCATGGAGCCCATGGTGATCAACCCGGAACTGATAGAATCTGTGCTCAAGTTCATCGTAGAGGGGGACCACGATTGGCCCCGCGAAGGCACTATCTTGATTTTCCTGCCCGGCTTTCAGGAGATTCAAAGTGTACACGACGCCCTACTGGACAATGCTCTCTTCTCGCCGCGTGCTGGCAAGTTCTTTCTGGTGCCACTGCACTCGGCGCTGTCCAGCGAGGACCAGGCACTGGTGTTCAAGAAGGCGCCTCCGGGCAAACGCAAGATCGTGCTGAGCACCAACATCGCCGAAACCTCGGTAACCATCGACGACTGTGTCTTTGTGGTGGATTGCGGCTTGATGAAGGAGAAGTGCTTCGACTCGAATCGCAATATGGAATCCCTGGACCTGGTCTGGGTGTCCCGGGCCAACGCCAAGCAGCGCAAGGGTCGAGCCGGTCGTGTGATGCCTGGCGTGTGCATCCACTTGTACACCAGCTTCCGCTACAACCAACACATTCTCGCCCAGCCGGTGCCGGAGATCCAGCGCGTGCCTCTTGAGGCTATAGTGCTCCGAATCAAGACCCTGCAGACATTCGCTGCTCGCAATACCCTGTCCGTGCTGCTGGAGACGCTCGAAGCCCCCTCGGAGGACAGTGTCCTGGGTGCTCTCACTCGATTGCGGGATGTGGGCGCCCTAGATGCAGAGGATCAGCTAACACCGCTGGGTCACCATCTGGCCGCCCTGCCAGTGGACGTGCGCATTGGTAAGCTGATGCTTTACGGAGCCATCTTCCACTGCCTGGACAGTGTTCTGACTATTGCCGCCTGCCTGAGCAACAAGTCCCCGTTTGTGAGTCCCTTCAACAAGCGCGCGGAGGCCGACAAGTGCAAGAAAATGTTTGCCTTGGGCAACAGCGATCATCTCACTGTGCTCAATGCCTACAAGGTATGGTTTCTCATTTTTTAATAATAATAATTAACTAAAAACAAAGTTTAATTTAATCAAAGAAATGGCTGGATGTTGCCAAGAGAGGAAACTACGCGGCCAGCAGAAACTACGCCTCCGAGCACTTCCTTTCCTTGAATACTCTTGAGACGATTGCGGACCTAAAGTATCAGTACCTAGAGCTTCTGGTTTCCATTGGATTCGTGCCTGTCAATGTGCCACGCAGACGGAAAAATGCCTGCGACAATATACTCCAGCTGACAGGTAAGCTACAGGAAATAATTTTATATTTTGAATTCCGAATTAATGTTTCAATTCTTTAGGGGTCGAGCAAAACCAGAATGGAGAAAACAACCGTTTGCTTACCTCCTTGCTGTGCGCTGCCCTCTATCCCAACATTGTTAAGATTATGACCCCGGAACGCGTCTACATCCAGACTGCGGGCGGAGCTGTTCCCCGCGAACCGAGCGCGCAGGACCTGCGTTTCAAGACGCGTGGCGACGGCTACGTTAAAATTCACCCCTCGTCTGTCAACTCCCATGTGGCTGTCTTCCAGGCACCCTTCCTCGTCTTCCAGGAGAAGGTGCGCACCTCCGCTATCTATATTAGGGACTGCTCGATGCTGCCCTTGATCGCCATGGTCCTGTTCGCGGGCAGCGACTTCAAGGTGGAGCTGCACGACGGCGACTTTCTTTTCCTGCTGGAGAGCGGCTGGATCATTTTGAAGGCTCATGACCTTGAAACCGCCGAAATGGTGCAGTGCCTGCGGGCGGAGCTCATCAAGCTGCTGGAGGAGAAGATCCGAGACCCGTGCCTCAATCTGCTGCATCACAAGAATGGCTGCCGCATAATCGCCAACATTGTCCACCTGCTCAGCAAGAATAGCTGAGAGCTGGGAACCTCGCTCTTCGTCCCCAGCTGTCCGAAGCAATTGTACATTTTGTGTAATAGTTATCAGGTCGGATGATTTATCCCGATATCTGTGTATATGAATAGAGAGAAATGGGCAATCATTGCGATGTCGCCACTATTATGTCTTATTTATTGTACAAACTTCTGCAATAGCTACGAGAAGATATTAACTCTGTTTTGACTCATAATTATTTTAAAATTGATTATTTGAAAATTTTAACTTGATTTATTTACAAAAATACATTATTGCAATGAATTAAGCGTTGATGTTTTTATTGTGGACAGCAATTAAATAGAAATTAATATTGTAATCTAATCGAAGGATAATGATTGTTACCGATAGATCCCTGAATTGGTTGATTGAATAGCTCTTCAAAATCGTGAAAGTTTTTAACATGGTTATAATGCCCGATGTATATATTATTTGTCCTGATTATTTCAAAAAACATAAGCCCAAAACATAAGTCTCAAATATGTAAATGTCCGACTTTAAAAAAATAAAATTAACTGACTTTAAAATACTGTTTCTGAAAACTTTAATCAATATTACAAAAACATTTTAGAAATTAATACCTTACCTTATAACGTAATGTTTTACCTTATAACGTAATGTTACTGAGACATTACAGATATATTTTAGTAATATAGATAGATAGATAGATAGCGCCTGTTAGATTCTGAAATATTTCAAAAAATTTCAGAAATTTTATAATAACATTCGAGTTAAACTATAATTATTTACTATATACTATGACTTATTGTAATTATTTCATTTCAATAGTTAACGATACCGAATTTTAATATTTCATTTAATAATTTCAAATACATCTTTTTCATTGGTAAGATTTTTAAAAACGTTTCTCTGAAAGATTTAATTTGTAAATTTATGAAATAATTTAAAATAGAGCTATCATTCAAATTTATTTTCAATTCAAAATTCAACACGTAACTCTTTGCAATTGTGTAATATGAAATGTTTCATATGAAACTTTCATATGAAACAAACTTTAAGAAACGTAAAAATAACTGGGATATACTAACTCTGTTTTCACTCTAAACAATTTGAAGCGGATTTAAACATTAACTTGATTCTTTTACTAATATACATTGTTGTTAATACCTCAGTCCTAAAACATATATTGTAAAGTTACATAGGATATTTTTTCTCACCGATCCCTGATTTAATTAATTGAGGGTCCAACTCTTAAAAAAATTTAACGTTGCTTATAATTTTTGTGAGGTTTCAAAGAAAATTAAGTTATCACATTCATTATAAAAACTTTTGCAATCATTTAAAACGCAATATTTTAAAATTTTTATAAAACGTTTTACCAAAATACAAATTATATTACAATGAATCACTGGATGAGCCTTAAAAGAATACTGTATTTTGATTGCAGGCTATGTTTATCAGCGATTGATCCCAGAATTGATTGATTGAGTGACCAACATGGCAACAAACATTATCGTCAATAAAAACTATTATTAATTAATTATCATTTACGATTATGATCAAGCAATAAAGTATTTGCGTTTAAGAGGGAAATTAGTGACTTTTTACAGTGGGTCTTACGAATTGCGTAAACTTAAGCCAAATAGGGTGTTCCATCATTGAGACGGACACATGTCCCCCGGAAGATTGATTAAGCACGGCGCCTGTCCAGAACGTCTCCGGCTGTCGTCCAGGAATCGATCAATCCGCCAAATCAAGCCTGTGGGCCGGAACATTCCAGCTAGGTGGCAGTGGGACTTCGGGAAATCAAACCATCAATTACAATTAATTTAAATTTATTTAAATACACTCGGATTTGGGCGGGCACCTTGCGGTGACGGGCGGGCGATACATCAAAGCCACCTCGCCAGCCACCCAACCCACCCTGCCGGGTAATTAATTATACTTATCGTCCGGGCCTAAGGCGGCCGTGAGTAAGTTGCTCTTCTTCGGCTCAAATCCACCTCGGAGACCTTGAGTTCCTGTCTCTCAGGGCTCTGTGCGCAGTGCTCCGGAGTTCGAAATCCGGAGTCAGCCTCGATCTGTTTTGTTTTTGCTTCGTCGCTTATCTTTCCAATTAAAGGCTCCGCCAATTGAGCCCCAATGGAATCTTTTAGCACCTCGTTGAGTCGTGTTTGCCTGCTCTGATTTGGGAGGCAAACTCAGCTGTCCGGCGACTCGACTCCATTGGAAAGAGGGGGGCTGGAGAAGATGGGGGCCCGGGGAAATACGCACCACCATCAATGACGTGGGAATTAGACAAATCCATCGATCTAAGAACTTCCCCAATAAAGGGTACGAATGATTACAATTTTTTCACAGTGTATTATCGTTGGGCATCGATTCCCCAAATTCCTAGGTGTCATGGTCGTGGCGCCGCTCCACTTTTCGGCTCTCCAGCGTTCAGAGGTAATCGTGAGTTTTGCTTTTTGGCGAGCGCTAAGCTGTCGTCGCAGTCAGCGCCTGCGCCAACGCCGCAGCCCGCGGCAAAGCTTCGCTTAGTCTTATCCAGCGACAGAGCACTCGAGGCGCTCGTTATCAGCACTATCGTTGTCACTTGCCACCTGCCTCCCGATGCGATGCCCCGCTATCTGCGGGCTCTCTGGAAATTCTTCTGGAAAGTGTGGGCGCAAGACGGAGGGGCGAAGAATATGGTGCAGTTCAGGAGAGAGGGGAGAAAAGTGAGCAAAAAGCAAGGTGATAACTCAAATCTGATCGACAAATGTCAGTAGACTGCACTTACACTAGAAAAAATAAAAAAAATATTTCAATATTATGTACAAGCTTTTTAGTTTCAAGTTTAAGCATTTTTCCACGAATTATTTTTATTATTATGAGTAATTTTTCGTAGAATTTGCAAGGTTGAGCAAATAAGGAGCAGCATTAAGTTCAAAAATACATTTTTTTCTGTTGTTCAGGAAAATATCTAATCTAAATATATTGTAAGAAGTATGCAAACGAATGGGGTTTTACTTTATATACGGTGGGTAGTGTAGTAATCAGTAATCTATACTTCTGTTTGCTTAAATATTAGAGTGGCTTTTTGTTCTTAGAAACCACATTTACATTTCCCATCACTGTGCGTTCGTCACGTCACTATTGACACTGGCATTGACAGTGAATACCTTTCACGCTGGCCCAGGATCAGTTCGCGCCCGGAGGTAAGCCGCATGTGCGGCTGCCTGGTATGGGGCTGTGGCTGTGGCTCAATGGGTGGGTTCGGGTGGATCGCCGCCGGCTGCCGGCTGCCGTTGACGTTTAAAGTTTGTGCTCGACTAGTGCCCGTCGTAAAGCACTAAAATCCATAGACAAATCATTTGCGACTGTGGTTGTTTCTCTTGTTCTTGTGACTGTTTTCGTATTTTGACAACGCACGTTTAGGTGTGTTCCCGGCCACGCCCCAGTGGCGGTGGCGCCCACCCTAGGGTGGGGGTTTGCCCCGGGTTCTTTATTTTCCGCATCGAAAACATCGCCACACAGTGGGACGGAATGGGCGCGGAAGAGGTCTTAGCCGTAAGCCATAAACACAGTGGAAAATTCAGCCCAATAAAGCTCTGATAACGGATTTATTTCGCCAACTTATTCACCCATAAACCTCTCTATATAATATAGACTTTTTGACAAAGTAGAGTTTTCTGAAACGTTATAATTGTATTTAACCATAAATGATGTTCAAATAATACAACAGATACGCCTTTTTATTATTAAATAAAAAAGAATAAGGATCTTAAAAAAATTAATTGATAATTGGACTATAAGCTCTAATACAAATTATACCCATAAAAAAACAATGCCAAAATATTTATTTGTTTTTTTTTTTTAAGCTAATTTATCAAGATCTTTGCCAAAATGTGTGTTACCAATTGCGGAAAATTGGGTTTGTCCAAATAATAGAAATTTTACAATTCTACGGAAATATTTATGAAATTTTATCAAAGCCAGCTGTTATTTTTTTTAAATTAATCAATCATTTATGTGAATCGTGTTTTTAAGAACCCCTTTAATGTTTTTAAGAATGTTTGAAATGGTCGATTTTATTATTGTTTATTACTTAAAAAATTCTATTACTTACTTCAAATATATTACTTGTTCTAATCTTACTTCTATTACTTCAAATAATTCTCCCAATTCATTTTTCAGTCATGTTATTAAAAGCAAATGAGAATGCCACCAATACCAACAACACAAAATAAAAACAATTTTACCTAATTGTAGAAAAATTACGTGTTTTTTCTTTAAGATTTTGACAAAAACTTAAAAAAAAATTTAACATTACAAATAAATTATTTTCACTAATTGTCGAAGGGACATAAAAATAACTGCGACATTAAAATAGACAAATGAACAAGATTTTACAAATTGGCATATTTCCCTATAAAAATATGCATAATATTCATAAAAGTCAAGAGAATTATACATATCTTATAACTTAACACAATACATGTGTTAAATTTTTATATATTTATTAAACTAATTGCAACAAAAAAAAACCAAGTTTTTCTGTCAGGACCGACAATATAGATAGGTTTTTTTTCTCGTCCTGTTCCAATTTGCTCCACTGTTCTGCTTCACGACGATCAACGAAAGTGCAGAACTGTGGGTAGCAGGTGGGAGGGCAGGGAGGAAGGCTTAGTAGTTCGTCGATCAGTGCTTCGAATTGATTTAGTTTTTAGTTTAGTTCAGTTGGTTCAATTGGAAGGGATGCGAGGTGGAGCCATTGGAAAGCGGGGTAGGCACCCCTTCACACCTGCACCCACACGCCGGCAGCCAGCGATTTCTTGAGTCTAAATAAAAGTGAGTAAACGTACATATGTAAGTAACGGCGGTGAATCGGGGATGTGAGATCTCGCACACGCACACACTCTTAAGCTGAAGGAGGTGGGACAGTTATTTAATATCACGCTCGTTCTCTTTTTCCTCGTTTTGGAGGTCTCTCGTTGCGTTCCGTTTTGATCGCCGTACACTTCCGAGCTTTTCCGAATATTGCGGATTTTGATTTGTTTATTTTTTTTTATTTTTCAAGTTTTGCCCTATATTTGTTGATATTTTTTTTAGTTACATACAATGTATGGGATGGAATAATCCATCGAACTGCAGCTTGAGCTTTTCTAAATCGTCCCCTTATAAAATTTTTTCTTTCCCTTTCGCCGACTTCTTTTCCGTTGGAAGCTGGACTTGAGTTACCCTGAAAATTGCCAAAAGGTAAAAAAAAAATCAAAAATAAAACTTAAAAATATATAAAGCAAGTGCTAACGCTGCGGCAGCGAAGCTTACGGCAACGCCAGCGCCGACAGCGGCAGAGACATCGGCTGGGAACAGACGTGAGCTTGGAGCGTTCCATTTAAATCAGAACGGTAGAACGGTAGATCGGTTACGGGAGTGACAGAGACGTTGGCGGAGACGGAACGACGGAGACGGAAAGACGGACGTCACCGTTAACAAAAAGTGTCAACCGAGTGCCTGCAGCGCTTCAATTCAGCGCGCGCCGCTTAACGGTAACGGTCCTGTTCCGCGATCGCTGTCAAATTTTCTCTCAACCAATAAAAAAAAAAAAAAAAAATTAAGGAGTAACATCGCAACAACGGCAATTTATTTTCTTAATTGTGGGTATCCTGAAAGTGAAACAAAAAAGGATGCGGAACAGTGGAATCGAAGCGGAACGGAAAGATTTCAGTGGTGCAGATGGCAAAATAATTCTATTATTTAATAAAAATGTTTAAATTGGAAATCAGTGCAGTCAACAACATCTGTGGTTCAGTGCAGACATTATCGCATCGCTTTTTGGATTATCCGTTGCGATTTGTGTTGTTTCTGTCGAATCGCCATTATCGTGGGCCTGTGGTTGTTTTTTCTCTGATCGGTGGTGATCACCTTGTTTTGACTTACATTTTGAGTGTTATCTGAGTGGTAAAACGACGGATCGAAGAAAGTACTCAGGTCAGACAAGGGGGACACAGAATGATTGCGGAAGCGAAAGCGATAGGTTGGGGTTACCAGTCGGCGCCGCCAACTTTTTTCTTTTAAAAGATTTTTTACTTTTAGTCTTTTTACTTTTAGTAGATGAACAATCGTAGAACTCATTTGGTATTTTATAATACATTTTTTATTTTCGAAGTAGAAAAAGAAACATTTTTCCAATATAAATAGATTTTATGGAACTATGCTTTTTTTTCTGTAAAACAGGATGTAAGATTCCGACTCCTTTAAAATTTTTTTGACTTTTTTTTTATCGATTGCATCTTTGTGCTTATATACAGATGTATGTATGTACATATTTATGTGTTTAATCTGATCAATCAATCTAAATTACACCGCACCTCTCCTGATAGTATCTGCAGTAATGAATGAACGATCTACTGAATGCATTTAATTATCGAGTTCATTATGCAAAAGTGTTTGCATAACGGTTGTTGCCATATGCAAAAAGCTCACTTCCAACAGGGCTGAATTAACCGTTAGCCAGAAGCATAATGGTGGCATGTTATCGATCAGTCGATTGGCAAGAAAGGATCAAAACGTCACTAGAAGTAGTCCCCCAGAACCACTTCATCCATCATGGGTATTTTGTTTATAAACAAATACCGCCCGCGCCGGTGATCCTCCTCAGTCAGTGGAAAATCAGTCAGGTATTTTGGAAGCTATGCGTATATTAATACACATATGGGTATATACTCCGATCACGGATACAAATAAATGATATACAGTGAGCATTCCAACAGTAAAGCCATATGAGATTCAAATATATGTAACTTATTGGGTTCTTTTGAAGGAGGTTGTGATTTGAAAGAGAACATCCATAATTTGATTATAGATGAATAATAATATTATCTCATATTACCTCTCATTTAATTCCTAAAGAGGCTTCACTGTAGCTATTAATTGTCGTGTTATAGTTCTTACGTAGTCTTATCACTGAAAGGAGTACCCGATGCTTAGGGAGTTTAAATTCGATGGGCATGAGACACTGACGGAGGTAACGAGACATTGATAGATCGCAATTCAATTAATCATCCCGCCGACCGGCTTGTAAAACAATGTCATCATTAGCACCAATAGCCTCATCAGGCAGTAAATAGGCCGCCTGGTATTTCCGAGCCGCCATCCAGATTTTTCACAATGCCAGCGTTTCTTGTTCCTTAGTTTTTATCAGAGATTTTTTCACAACAAACTTTACACATAAATATGTATACATATGTATAATATATATGTATATAAATATTTAAAAAAAAAAGAAAGAAAAGAAAATAAAGCACGGCTTTTGACGCTTGACGACTTTTGCGATTATTTACTAAACGTGTTCATTTTGCAGTTGCTGCTATTTATTATTGATTATATGACTATTTAGCGTCGGTATATGTAAATATTTATATATTTAATAATTTTGTTCCACATAATATACGCAATCTACAACGCAGGTTTCGACCATCTATTCTAAAACTCAAAGGAGGTTGAAGCTTTTCTCATCCAGAGATGATGAAAACAAAAGCCTCACCTGATCTGGGGTCTGTGGTCCTTTTGATCTCATTTCTCGATTGATATTCATGATTTACGATCATCAATTAGTGAGCACTTTTATTGTCATATTAAATGTTCTATGGTCCACACTTGACGTCAGATATTGATTTGGTTCATTTACATGATCATCGAAAGTTGATTTGGGTTTCGATGGATTATGGATTTACGATGGAGCGTGGGTGAGAAGAGTGTGAATTTTCCCGAAGGTTTCCCGACCTGAGAGGTCTGAGTTTTCAAATCGAAAATCTAAAAACACGAATTAAGAGATAATCGTGTCTGTTGTTACCAGCTTTATGAACCAATTACCAGTATTTTTCTGATTTCCGTAAACCGTTTTTTGGCAGAATTTTCCACTGGCTGGGGGGACAAGCCCGAAAAAGCGTTAAAAAGATCGTTTGGCCAACAAACAGACGACAGCGTCATCGAACTGTGTTTGTTGGGAATAAATAGAAACATAAAAAATAATAGGTAAAAGGAAACACAATAAATAAAAAGACTTCCATTGAACGGGCGTCATCGGTATTTCAGTGGGCAGAGTCAGAGTCAGAGCTCGAGGAACGCGCCCAAATGGGCGATTTTAAAATTATTTTATTGTTAACAAATTATTGAAGTGTCTGGTGCTCGGCCGGCTGATTAAAAGACAAATTTACAAACACACGGCTATAGATAATTGAATAGAAATTATACAGTGAAGAAGCGATAATAATAATTAAAACGAGAAAAGCAGAAATGTTATCAGCGATCACTTGACTTTAACAAGGCAAATAAACAATTCGAATTGTCCCAATGTAATCAAGCGTGTAATGAGAGGAGCTCGCTGATAAAAAAAATAGAAATGGCACATAGAAAATATTAAATAAAAATAGTGTATCAGAAATTTCCGCAGAGATTATGTGATTGGATTCACGTGAATCGGTGGGGGATTCCACCTTCCGCGCTGCCTCAGCGGCGTAAAGTCCGTAAGACCACGAACTACCCCAACATGAACTCATTAAGGCGAACACGCTGCCGCTGGGATCTTTATCTTTATGGTATTGAAAGAATCGCCCACCCCCCATCAACCCACTGTCTCCGGGGTGTATATGTTTATGATATAGTAAGAACTTTCGCCATTAGCAACCAATCGGTGATCTAAATAATAACTTTTATGGATACTGTAAGAACTTTAGCTGGTCGGGGGCTTTTCGGCCCAGAACTTGCATCATTTGCTTAAATATAAATACACCCGATACACCTATTGATTCATTTATCTTTATGGCGCTCCAAGAACCCTAATCTTATTACCATGACTAAGTTTGACACCTCAAGTATGTTAAATGTTTTTTTTATATATTTTTTTGTCAACATTTTCGAATGGTGTGTGTTTTTTTGCGATCGCTAATTGGCAACCAAGTACGGTTGTCACCCACAGCAGCCTCAGACCCCAGACCCCAGATCCCGGAGCCCAGACAACAGACCTGAGACCCCAAGAGGCCCTCCCCTTGACATCCTAGAGCATCAGACCCGTAACCCCCTAAGATCCACTAGACATTCGCACTCACTATATTATTTGCCAGGAAGATAAGAGACGGCGGCGGTCGCGCTAATCGGACTACTTTGCACTGCGAGAAATCGTGCCAAATTAGCGGTAATGCCCTCGGTCCTCTCCAGCGATATGATTAGAAATGTCAATAGGTGTAAGTCGCAGCGATGACGTTGTCTTGCGGCACTCCACTACTCCGAAAAAGTACCCCTCCCGAAATATCAACTACATCCTCCAATGACGAATGTGTAGAGGTGCGCGTGGTCTTTTAGTTTTTGAGGTACCCAATAGCGGGGTTATCAGACACTATTGAAGTAGTTTCACCCATTAGTAGAGTGCACCAAACCCCGAAAGAAGTCGCCAAAATCAATTGTGTTTTCGGAACTTCTTGACCAAAAACATGCTGAAACCCATAAGACCTCACGTTTCAGAGGTAGTGCAGCCCTTGCGGGCTTTTTAGTCCGGTATCACCCTATCAAACATATATAAAACATATAGACAACAACTAGAGCAACTGGCCAGTACTTGAGCAATCGCAATCAAGCTTCGATTAGCGGCGATACAACCATAAATAACGACAGACAATATACAGAAGCCGTCGCCCACCGAAAACCTCCCATCCAACCAAGAAACGATTCCCGACCCGATTTAAATTTCCTAACCATAACCTGAGGCAATATATTCGCTATATACTTGCAGTTGGAGCGAATCCTCGACGATAATGTCGCCGAATCGCTGGATCCTGCTTTTGATTTTCTATATATCCTATTTGATGTTCGGGGCTGCCATCTACTATCACATCGAACACGGCGAGGAAAAGGAGGCCAGGGCCGAGGAGCTCAAGGAGCGCATCGAGATCAACGGTGGGTGAGCCAAGTCATTTTCCATTTTACCTCTTAAAGTGTATATATATGATACATTTAGTCATAAGCATAAAAGAGATCCGCGTGATCCGTGGGTGGAAGTTTTGGGGCATGTGATCCACTAACTAAATGATCGTCCACGACTTGGTTAGAAAGTCTGGGGATAAGTCAAGTGATTTCCACACAAAGTATACAAGTTTTTGAACAATAAAAAAACATATAAGAATACAACTCTATTTGTATACATATTTTTTTATACCAATATTATTTATACAAGAGTAACTACTTTTAGAGTAAAAAGATCCCTTCAATAGTAACCCTTACTTTCGAAACATTTCTCAAAAAGAAGTCACAACAAAGAAACTAAAATTGTTAGGCCCCGATGTAGCCAAAAATAACTCATAAAAGATCTCTAAAATTTGAATATCATTTTATTTATATTTTTATTAATCGCTTTTTGTTGCAAAACGTGCGTAAATGTTGTTGAAGAAGAAAATGTGTGAGCTTTACGATTCCACAAGTCTGGAGCAATCCGGACAATCGACCTCTATACTCCGATACACCCGTAAAAACCCTTGTACGTACACGGAGCGGCTCTGTGTAAGTGCGATTATATCGGCGCTAAATCAAGCCGCAGTCTCGGATGTATTTATTTTGATGCCTCCTCAATTGCAATAAATCCGATCCGATCCGAAATTTAATAGCACATAAAATGTGTTAATTGCGCAAGTAAATACCCCTAAACCCTCTAATTAGTAACCATCGACCCAAGACGTGTGTGTGGCTTGCGGAGATTGAATCCCCGGAGTCCGAATCGTAATTGGAATACGCAACTATGGCCATTAATCCACAGGTCACTCGAGCGAGTGTAACGAACTGCCAAGGGTTTCCGATAAGCGGTCGCTCGGTGGCAATTGTGAAGGATCGACTGTAACCCCAACTAATGCCCCCCATGTCAATATCGTTGCCGGGTATCTCTGTGAATATATAAGCAGGTAAAGTCATCGTAATCACACCCGACTTTGTTCCTCAAAACACTTCAATCGGTTAAACGCCGGTTGGCCTGGCAAGCGGACACACGGACAGGCAGACACACGGACAGTTGGACAGCCGATGACTTTCAAGTGCTCACAAGCATGTGATCATCACATTTGAGCTATTTGACACTCGATGATAAGAAGGCCGCCAAGTCCAACCGAAGGGATACCTCTCCTGGTAAAACAAGAAATTCCTCGAGTAATGTGATTGATGATTAGTCAATCATCAATCAACTTTTTTAGTCAAGACCTTAACTCGAGATAGCTAATCTATCAAGGAAAAATTTACCTAATTAATTGATCAATGAACTATCTGATTTGGGAGATTGAACCCCCACGGATATATGATATTAAAACAGAGCCGAACTTTGTTCACTTGGAATTCCAACGAGTGCAGTGTGGAAAATTTGTGCAATATTTTCTTATTATGATCACTAATGGAATTAATTTATCAATTTGTTTGCCTCAAACTTTTCCGGGGCTAGGAACATGGGAAGGCGTCTTTAACCTCTCGAAAAGTCGAGAGGACTTCGAGGCAAGAATTCGAGATAATGATCGACTTGTATGAACAAATTGCCGGCAATCAAGATCCACACGGGGCCAAACAAAGGCGATTAAGTTGTGGAGGTGGAGGGTCCCCAACTATATGGCAGATATATAAAGAGCTCTGTGCTAATGCCTGAATTGCCCCAATTGGGGCCCGCTGAGATCCAGGAAAAGCCGTCTCCGATCTCTGTCTGAGATGACACCAGATGTCATCCAGTGGCTGTCCCTTTTGTTGACAGAGTGGCATCCGTGGGACAGCAACGCATTTATTGAATTATGCAATTCGTTAAAAGATTACCGTCAGACCGGGGAGTCTGTCGCCCGTCCTCAAAATATAGTTTCCACAAGGCTTTTAAGTGAATGATTGCAGCCGCAAATATTGCGATCCGGCGGAAGAGCATCGCCCAGCTACCAGTCCGATGAACTTGGCCATAAAGGTTAGGGCACGATCTTGTCAGGTGTTTCGCACTCGTCCTGATAAGGGAACTAGTTTCCCTTATGGTTTGCTCAATCAATGAATTTTGAAACTGCCATTCATTGAGTGTCTACCGAGGCCCTGGGTTTCCGCTTTTTTTAATCTGTTGTATAACTCGGAGAGAGTTCCATAATCAATTTCTATAAGTGATTCCCTTAAAAGTTTTCCTATTAACTAAACACTAAAACAAAGTATTTTGTAATTTAATATAATCTTTGAAATTTTCTCCTACACTCTTTCTTGTAATTCAATTTGCAATAAAATACCACACCATTTTAAAGCACTGACCTACAACAAGAGCGTCTCAAGTTTCGCAATTAATTTGTTTGATAAACATCTTGCCGACTGACGAGGGTCGTTTGATTGAACGCATTTCAATGGTCCGGACTCCGGAGTCGCACAATGTTCGTGTCGGGTCAAGAACGTGATTTAAGTTCATGATACATAGTACATCTCACGAAAACGTCAGTTCCATGATTAAAACCTTTGAAAAATATATGCAATCTAACAAAACTTTGAAATTACATAAAAATAAGAAAGTAAAGTCTATTTAGTCTTGTCCTAAGTTCCTGAAAATAAACAAACTCTTCTCTCTGTATTTAATGAAAACAGAAATCACTGCCACCCCTCCCGTGACAATTGTTTTAGTGTAAAATGTTACACTTTGGAAAGGGGGAACTTTTTTAAATAGTTCCATTCCGGATCTCTGATCTCTAGCGGATTTTCCCCAACGAGAGGAAATATCACGTTGGCAACCGAATTAATTTAGATTCCGGGGACTCTTTTGTGTCCATTGTGGACTTTTTGCGGAAAGATAAAAAAGAAACGGCGGAAGGTTAGCTGCCGGCTTCCGGATTCGATCGATCGGCTTGGGTTGACCAGACACGTGAGACCACAATAGATAGAAGCCAATTAGGTTTGATTTGATTTTACGCTCCATCGGTCGTGATCTCTTTTTAATGTGATTTTTGTTTATTTTTGTGTTTCATTTCAGCCTATTTGTTGGAAGAGCTCTCCGATAAAAACACAAGCACTCAGAATGAGATTCTGGAGAGGATTTCGGACTACTGCGGCAAGCCGGTGACGGACTACACGAAGGACGAGTACGAGATTCCGTACACATGGACCTTCTACCACGCCTTCTTTTTCGCCTTCACCGTGTGCTCCACGGTGGGTTACGGCAACATTTCCCCAACTACCTTTGCCGGGCGGATGATCATGATTGCCTACTCGGTGATCGGCATTCCCGTCAACGGAATCCTCTTCGCTGGATTGGGCGAGTATTTCGGAAGAACGGTAAGGATCTCATACCTTAAACATACTTTTGCATTTCCAAAATTTTTGAATTTTTTGATGCATCTAGTTTGAGGCAATCTACCGACGTTATAAAAAGTACAAAATGTCAACGGATATGCATTACGTGCCGCCACAATTGGGACTGATCACCACCGTGGTCATAGCCCTGATTCCCGGTATAGCTCTGTTTCTCCTTCTTCCCTCCTGGGTGTTCACATACTTCGAGAACTGGCCCTATTCCATATCGCTTTACTACAGCTATGTGACCACAACCACGATAGGATTTGGAGACTATGTTCCCACCTTTGGCCCCAATCAGGTAAGGAGTATTTTCAGTCCAGTCAAACTATCAGTTTTCTTCTATATATGATACTTGATATTCTTCTAAAGAATTTTTTTCGGGTGTTTTAGCTCATTTTATATTTTATTTTATTATTATTTTATAAAATAGGTATTATTAACGAGGATTTTTGAAATATGTGGTATATAAGCAGGTTCTCTTTATCCGATAATCAGTTTTCGATAATCATGACAATATGATAGCCAAGCGCCGTCATTAATTGGGTTTAACAAAAGCTATTAAACTACTTAACAGGAATTTTTACTAATTTGCGAATGGCATCTCGGGCGCTTTACACAGTGTGTCCATGTAAGACGCAATACAAGTATATTTTTTTAAGCCGACATCAGATACCACTACCAGTTGAACAATTTTTTGAAACAACAACAGGAAGGCAGTATCTGTTGAATATATTTTACTTTACTATATTACCCATAAATTAAAATCTATCAGTATTATCCCATTTACTAAACTCTTAAAACTCCTTAGCCCCGTGAGTTTGGTGGCTGGTTTGTGGTTTACCAAATCTTTGTGATCATCTGGTTCATATTCTCCCTCGGCTACTTGGTCATGATTATGACATTCATCACTCGGTAAGTAGAGTTAGTAGTACCGGGAATCCATTGCATGACCTTGGGCAGCCCTGTTTTTGTTGAACTGTTTTGTAAATTGTGTGCATGAGCTAACCAATTTTTTGGAACACCTCCCATCCAACAATTGGCATAAACAGGGGACTGCAGAGCAAGAAACTGGCCTATCTGGAGCAGCAGCTGTCCTCCAACCTGAAGGCCACCCAGAACCGCATCTGGACAGGTGTCACTAAGGACGTGGGCTACCTGCGGCGAATGCTCAACGAGCTGTATATCTTAAAAGTCAAGGTAAAGCTGTCATCCATCATGATGAGACTACCAATGGGCTAACACTGAATACTCATAGAACTTGATTATACTAATTGGACTTTATTAACTAGCATACCTCTAATGATTGAATAATTCAAAGGGGATGCATTTCAAAACAAGAAAGGACGGCTATAGTCGAGTTTCCCGACTATATTATACCTGATTATACCTTATACTTATCTCTTCCACCTAAAATTTAACTAACCTTGATAGTCTAAAATTTAACGGTATAGATTCTCAGCAACAAATTTTTGTTGCATACTTTTGCGCTTGGGCAAAATAACAAAAAACCTTCCGATCCAGTGGGGAAGCAGTCTAAAGAGTCTATAACTATTCGATTTGGAAGTATTTTGATTTGTAGATTATTCATTGGAACAGTTTGGCACCAAAACATTTTTCAAAAACATTAACGAACTGGCGCTAACACTAGATGGTATTTCTGGTTTGAGGGCGGGAGTGGGCGTGGCAAAATTTTGACAAAACTTGATCTCCGCGAGTTAAAGTTCCAAATAATTATCCTGTCTCTTATAGTCCCTGAGATCCACCGGTTTATACGGACGGACGGACAGTCGGACATGGCAATATCGACTGGGCTGTTGACGCATATCAAGAATATATATGTATATATTTTATGGGGCCGGAATAAATCCTTCTATATGATACATATATCCACACGACTACAATATACCCTACAAGTACTACGAGTACCGGGTATAATAAACGGCTTGAGCTGTTTTGTAAAGTTTAAAAAAATCATTTAATGGGTTAACTATTCTTAAAAATATAACTTATGAATCCATAATTTAAATAATCTGTATTATATCTTAAAGGCACAGAATATCTAATGGGTTTTCATTTTCAGTATTAATTATAAATAATTAATCATACTCTTGGCCATGATACCATAACTCTAATGTAGTCTTGACATTGACTTCGTTGATATTTCAATAATTTTTTGATTTGAGAAATTTAACACAAATAATTTTAAATATTTATATTCTTTACGGTGTATAAAATAAAGACTTGATGGAAAAAGATTCCACCGACCAAAACTTTTCAAAAATAATTTATAATTAAAAATTTTCTTCACCAAAATAAAAACATCGAATACTTTTGAATTCAAAAAAAATTTAAATGAAATCTTCGACACATGAGAAGCAATTATAGAGAACCCTAAGGCTTTAATTATAGGGAATTACACCGTAGTCCCAATTTTAGGGTTAACTACACAATTTTTAGGCAAAACTGTTTCACTCGCAATCTGTCATTTTGCTAACGGACTACATACATAAGTACACTGCGTTTCACTTGAATAGCACACTTTACATAGGGAATTTTAAATCTCGAAATCTTTCAAAAAAAAAGAAAAATCGTTAATGTTTTTGTTTCTATTTATAGAGTAATCAATTTTAATTATAAGAAAAGTAACAAAACTTAAATTAAATTAACAATTAATAAAGATTAACAAAAAAACTTAAAAACTTCAAAAATTCCACAACAATTTTGTTTCACATGAATAGCACATTTTTTTTTTAAAGTATATTTAATGAACTTAAGTATTAGGAAATGTGTTTTTATGCAATAGTAAGTATTAATGTAAATATATATCTTAATTTGATAATGGGTCGAGCCCCCCTTATTCAATATAACCTCGTAGATCCTGTTGGGCAGCGAATCATATAGACTTTTAATGTAGTCTAAGGATATTGTAGCCCAGGCCCTCTGAATGGCGTCAATTAGTTCGTCTTTTGTTGAAAACTGTTTGCCAGACTCATAAACCTTTCTGACCAGCCATCCCCAAACATTTTCAATTATATTCAGATCCGGCGAGTATGGTGGCCAGTTCAGAGTTTCAACATTTTTATATTTTAAAAAAGATTTTACAACACGTGCAGTATGTATTGGGGCATTGTCGTGCTGGAATGTCCAAGGCAAATGATTGAAAAAATTCTCCAATGGTGGAAAAGCTTTTTCGAGGACGTTTAGATACGTTTTTGCGTTCATGTTTGAGGATAAGAATTGGAGTTTACAAGTCCCATAGTAAGATATGGCTCCTCAAACCATAACTCCGCCTACTCGACTGTGTAAACGCTCCAATTGATGCGTCTCTTTCCTCAGATCATGAAAATAATAATTATAGCCATCTGGCCCCTCCAAATTGAACTTTTTTTCATCAGAAAAAACTACGCGCCTCCACTCGTTACACCATGACATATTGACGCGGCAAAAGGTCAACCGTGCTTCCTTTCGTTTGGGGTTAAGCGGTGGTTTTTTTTTAAGTTTCAAGCGTTTAAGATGTTTAGCTTTGGAAATAACTCGCCAAACAGTAGTTTTGCTCGCGTCAACACCTGCTTTTGCCCTTATCTTGCTCACAGAGTCGTGAGAATTTGAGGCTTCCCGCAGAATTGCACTCTTATCTGTGTCGCTAAGGACACTACTTTGGCAACCTTTCGTATTTTTTCCATAGTTTTGCTTGTTCTTTATAAAATTGTGCATGACTTTTCTGCTTCTTCCAATTTTTTTCGCTATATTAGCCACAGAAAGGTCACAATCAACATAGCTTTGTATTTGGATTTGTTCCTTGTGACTTAGTGACGTTCCACGACCCATAATTGCACAAAATGATTAAACTATGTTTGAAATTCACAAATTAATCAAAAAACTTTTATGAATCAATCTTCTTGGCTGCTGAAATGACACTAAATCTAAAATGTGCTATTCAAGTGAAACAAAATTGTTGCGGAATTTTGGAAGTTTTTAAGTTTTTTTGTTAATCTTTATTAATTGTTAATTTAATTTAAGTTTTGTTACTTTTCTTATAATTAAAATTGATTACTCTATAAATAGAAACAAAAACATCAACGAGTTATCTTTTTTTTTGAAAGATTTCGAGATTTAAAATTCCCTATGTAAAGTGTGCTATTCAAGTGAAACGCAGTGTACATATGTCAACAAGACTACCTTATAGTTACTATATTATTTTCTTGATATTCGTTAAACAATTAGTTCCTTATATTATTTAAAATGTGTTCATTCTAACTATTCACACAAAACGGGATTAAAATATATTTTTTGTTACACCATCAATATTTATACATTAAAGTAAAGCTAAGACTAAAAATCGATGAAATTGAATGTCTAATCCCAACTGTACGCGTTCGATACTTTTACTAAGCGGTCTTCAATATTAAACCCTTTAGAACATCTTTGTAAAATACCTAAAAATTCTCTGTTTTTAGTTTTGTCGAAAGAGAAATAGAAAAAAACCGAAAAATAAGGCTAAGGTTGAGCAGAAGAAGAAGATTAAACTGCGTAAGTAATTTTCCTAAAGATTCGTCTTTATTTTGGATAATTTTTTTTGTTTGGAAAGTGTTAGCTCCCTTGGTTAGAAGTCTTCATTCATGGTTCTCCGAATAAAACTAAACACTAATTTTGAACTTTTTTTTACATGAACAACATCAACAAAACACCAAAATCTACGCAACATTTAAAACACGAATATTACATTTTTAACAACCTTTTCTTTGAAAAAAACTAAAAATTAAAATTTGTATTTACTTCCTGCTTTTAAAATAATCTTGAATATTTGTTTTAATTTTAAACAAATTTTAAAAATTTTAAATTTTCAAAACTATTTTCCAAAATTTTATTACAATTTTTTAACTTTTAACAAATATAATTCACTCTTAAATTTTTTATCTTTGGAACAAAAATTTTTTTTTTCATATAAATTTAACTTAAAATATAAATTTTTTACAAAACTTTTAAACTTAATTACGTTTTTCAAAAATGTATCCTTGGTGACGAAAACTTGAATTGCTGGCCATGATTAATCCACCTTTAGCCCGTGTACACCGATGTAGATATCGCCTACACCTTGCCGCGCTCCAACTCGTGTCCGGACCTGAGCATGTACCGCCTGGAGCCGGCGCCCATGCCCAGCCGAAAGCGAGCCTTCTCCGTATGTGCCGACCTGGTAGAGGCCCAGAAGGCCGGACTGGTTCACGCCAGCTCCGACACGGAGCTTAGCAAGCTGGACAGGGAGAAGACGTTCGAGACGGCAGAGGCTTATCGCCAGACCACGGATCTGCTTGCCAAGGTTGTCAGTGCCCTGGCCACCGTAAAGCCCCCGCCGGCGGATGCCGAGGACGCAGCGTTGTATGGCGGCTACCACGGCTTCTCAGATTCGCAAATCCTGGCCAGTGAGTGGTCCTTTTCCACGGTGAACGAGTTCAGTACGTCACGACGTCCAAGGGCGAGAGCCTGCTCCGACTTCAACCTGGAGCCGCCGCACTGGCAGAGCGAACGCCCCCTGCGATCGGGACACAACGAGTGGACCTGGAGCGGGGACAACCAGCAGATCCAGGAGGCCTTCAACCAGCGGTACAAGGATGCGCAGGTGCCGCGCCTCCAGGAGGAGGAAACGTTTGAGGATCAGCTGAAGAAGCCCGCCAAAAAGTTCTCCATGCCGGACGGACTGCGTCGCCTGTTTCCATTCCAGAAGAAGCGTCCTTCGCAGGACGTGGAGCGCAAGTTGTCAGTGGTTTCGGTGCCGGAGGGTGTGCCAAGACCGCAATTGGATTATCACAGCAACACTGTAACAGCTGCCTCCAGTCAGTCATATCTGAGAAACGGCCGTGGCCCGCCGCCACCGTTTGCCGCCTCCAATGGCAGCCTGGCCAGCGGCGGAGTCACCAACCTGGGCTTCCAGCTGGAGGAAGGACAGGCCACGCCGCCGGTCACGGGTGCTTATCAACGTCGCGCCGCCCCGGGCAAGCGCCGCCGCGAGAGCATCTACACCCAGAACCCGGCCATTTCCGCCCGCCGTGGCAGCATGTATCCGCCCACAGCCCAGGCCTTGGCGCAGATGCAGATGCGTCGCGGCAGCCTGGCCACCAGTGGCTCCGGTTCCGCGGCCATGGCTGCGGTAGCCGCCCGCCGGGGTAGCCTTTTCCCGGCCACTGCCGCCTCCGCCACTTCAATGACTTCCAACACCACGCCACGCAGGAGCAGCATCTTTTCGGTTACCTCTGACAAGGACATGAATGTCCTTGAGCAGACCACCATTGCGGATTTGATTCGAGCACTGGAAGTGGTCCACACCCACGCCGTCTTGGACGAACAACAGCAGGCAGCGGCGGCAGCCGGAGGAGCTGGAGGATCCAACACCAAGGTAGGACGCAAGCAGCGCAAGATGGGCAATGCCGGGCTGGACCCACCTCAGCTGCCGCCCATACTGTCGCTTTTTGCTGGAGATCAGACCAGGAACCTACAGATTGCAGCCACCAATCGCTTATATGCGCGCCGTTCTACCATAGTCGGGACCATGTCACCCTTGGCGGGAGGAGGAGGAGCAGGCACATCAGGAGCAGGGGCAACAGGTGGGGCAACCGGAGCCTCTGCTGTGCGGTCTCTGCTGGAACCGCCTCCAAGTTACACAGAGAGAGCTGAGCCAGCTAATGTCACATCAACTCCAGTGGCCACCACGGTGGGACAGAGCAAGTTCCGGCGTCGTTTCAGTGTTCGACCGACGGCTCTGCAGATTCCACCGGGACAGGCGCCACCACCTGGTGTCAGCCTATCGGAGACATCCTCGTCACAAACCGCTCTGCAGAGGCGTCTGTCGCTAAGACCTTCGCCTTTGGCCAGAGAACTGTCGCCCACATCGCCGCCCGGTGGAGGCAGTGCGGCCACAAATGGCGGCGGTGAAGAGGCGGGAGCACAGCGTCTGCTACCCTTGCCCGCCGGCACCAGACCCAGCACCAGTAGCACCCATTCGCCGCTCTCCAGGATTGTCCAGATCTCGCAGGCTCAAAGGAAGAGCAGCATGCCCGGTTCGGGAGTGGGCCCAGCAGGAGGAACTGGATCAGGATCGGCAGGAGGTTCAGGTTCCGGAGCGGGACCAGGACCCGGACCAAGTCCGGCCGGCGAAAAATAGTCCTGTAGCTTCTACAAAGTCCACATAATTTTTTTTTTTGCTAGCTATATTAAAACAATTATTCTACGTCTCCTTTTCATTTATTTCCATTATATCTACCACACATTATTTTAAATATATATTCGTATAATATATTTATGTATATCTGCCAAAAGTCCTTTAGTTTTAAGTGATAATTCTATCCAGTTATCGTAGTGTTATGTATTATTAATGCTGTCTCCCTCTGATCTACTATTGTTATCTTGTATTTATATCTGTTATATCTATATATATCTATTCTACCACACCTGTATTGCTAAGAAGGGGCTTATATGAACAAAACTATCGAAACATTCATCCTAATATTCCACTTCACCTGAGAAAAATTCGCATGCGAGTGCAATAAAAGATACTAATGAACTATTGTTGACATCCGACCCTCTAACATCGTCAACGTCAAAATCAACGTCATTCGACTGAAAAATATATATTGGACTCGAAGAAGTCAATGCACTTATTGATAAAAAATATTATAGAGTTGCATTTAATTGTTTGTTGCACCCGGTTTAATATAAATGTGAAAATTAAATATTAATAAATAAATAAAATATACCTTTTTTTTTTAAATTACAAGAATATCCCAATCAAGAATTGTTGTGGCCGATAAACAAGTCGGACTAGGGATGCCACCTATTCAGGCATGGTAGGCCCTAGTGATGCCACCTATTCAGGCAAGATCTGCCTAGTGATGCCACCTAGTGATAATAAGATAGAGGGAAATTTGGGGTAATTTTTTGAAGGGGTTGTTGACCCGGGACGGTTCATGTATGGAATAACGGACCTATCCGAATGACCGTTCCGGGGCCCAAGAGAACTGGGAAACAGATGAAATGCAAGTGGCGAACAGTGCAGGCGACAAAGTCACCTAGATATATAAAAAGGTGAAAAATGTGAAACTAAAGACGCAAAGACTAATTTTTTTCAAAAAATATAAGGAAAAATTAAACCAAATAAAACTAAAAAGTTCCGGCCAATAATCCAGGAGGAAGAGACGGAGACGGGAGGCAGGATCGGCAGAAAATAGAGGTAAGAGGTCGGTCCTGGAAGAAGAGCCATAGCTAATGGATTGCTTCTTTCCAGACCGACCAGACCCCTTTATCCTGACTAGGAAGCCAGGCCTAAAAGAAGAAAAATTGGGCCTGGCGATTTTTGTGGTTTAAAGTTTTTCTTCACACCGCCAATTTCGGGGAGTGTAAACCCAATGCCAGGCAAGCCGGCATTTTTTTTTTGGGTTCCTCCACACATTTTTATGTCTGCGGGCCATTAACTGCGCATGCGCGGCCCGCCCGAATGAAGAAAAATTTGAAAAATTTAAACTGAGCCAAACGAGGACATCGCTTTCATCCCTTTAAGTCGACGACTGCAAAAAAAAAAAAAAAAAAAGAGGGAAATCCCGCCATCGACTCCCCGATTATAATTAATTTTTTTTTGTTTTTTTATATATATTAGTATTTATTTTATTGTGTACATGTGTGTGTTAAATATTTTTTTTTTTGTGTTACATTTTTTTTTTTATTTATATCTTGTAAAATTTATACCTAGTTTTAAGTCTTATTTGATTTTTATTTATTGCCAATATAATTTGTGAATTCCGGTAGCGGCTGTGGAAGCTGACAGATATCATTTCCCTATATTGTGTGGTTGTCCCAAATCCAAAGAGAGCTCTCCTAGGTAGGGAAAATTTAAAACCTTAGTCCCCGCGTGGTGGGATATAATTCGAAAAGGGAAAACGCTGGGCAGCAAAGCAAAAGCTCAAGAACGAATATCAATTGTTTAATATTAGCTTAAAATAAAGAAATAATAGAGAAAAGAAATGAATATTGAGTAGAGCGATACGGAAGGGGGCATGAGGAAGGGATAATGGGGAAGTAGAAGGGGGATCGAGTGTATGAAATAGGGGCGGACGCGAGAAAAGGCCAGCGTTCCGCTAAGGATGGGAGGGAAGGCCAACGAAACTCCAGGTCAACAGGAGTATTAAAAGATCTGTGATTCAGTAGGGTAAGCATAAATGTTACGTGTATTAGTATTAGGAGTCTTAAATTTGAATGTTGTGGGAGTTTCAGTGTTGAGTAACGTCCGATAGACCTTTGTGTTTTTAGGATTAATTTATTGTTAACGGTCAGATGGGAAGGGTCAGGGAAGCCACGGCCCTGGATGAGCTAGCCGGAGCCAGACCCATGCCGATAGGCAGACCGTCGGACCCGATGTGGTCATAACAGAATACTTACTTCATGGTTGGTGATGTCTCTTTACTCCGTGGCGCACTTTTGACCATAATTAAAAATAAAAACTCCGAAAGGGTATAAAAAGAACCGGGCTCTTTGACTACAATATCGACAGTGGGGAAACTAATCAACGGATGCAAAAGAAAACGCACTTTTTGAAGCCATCGCTGACGTTTCCATTCAAGTTGTGGCGTCAAAATTTCATTTTTCATTTTCATTTTCATTTTATTTCCCATTTTCTTTCCTTCAAATAACAGGTCAACTCCCTTGAGTCTGGACTTTGCTTTGTACAAAGGTATCTCTCCAAGCTTTTTGAAATACCAAAATTTATAAAAAATCCCAAATGTTGTAGCTTTAAAAAAAAATGGATATTCAATTAATTTAAACAAAAAGGATAACAATTTTGCACAAGAAACTGGCATTTTTGAATTTTTTTCGTGTTTTTCGGACTTTGACGCCATTTTTTCGGTACAAATTACAAGATATGGTATTATTTTTGACACATATCAACATTGTCTCATTAATCTTGAATAGAACAAGATCAATTTCATTACGAAATTTTAAAAATTGTTGAAGTTATAACGCTTTTCCCAAAAAAAGTCAGTGCAATCTTGCTACTACATTTAACTATTGAAAAACGTCGAAAATTTTAAAATCGGCGTAAAATTATGCGTTAAAGAATTTTTAAGACAAATTTTTTTTTTTTTTTTTAGTTTTAAATTTAAAAATAAACCACCTAATAAACAATTCCAACTAGGTCTCTTCAAAAGTTCCAAATCACTGTTGCATTGTGTAATTTATTCATTCGCAACACAGAATCCAAGTTATAAAGTTCTAATTTGATCAGAATTCATTAAAATACAATTTTCTACAATTTTAACAAGAACAAAATGCCAGATATTCTGAGCACCGAGCAGAGGGACATCAACGCGCGTTTGAATTCCATGTACGGAAACTTGTATGCCCACACTCCGAGGCCAGTGAAAATTCTTTGGCGTAAGCCGAGGTTCACTAATCCGATAACGCAGCTAGAATGGAAGGCAGAGCAGGGTCGCAAGCATAAGTTTAACAATTGGCTTCAGAAAAGAAGAGCCCATCGTAAAAAGAACAAAGAAGTGCCAAAGGGGTCCTACAACCTTCAGGAGCGCTACCAAGGAACGAGCATTATCGATCAATTGTCAGTATTCTTCCAATGGCGATTGCAAGATGCGTATCTTCGTAGATGCTCATCCGTAGACGCATCGCCGAGACCGATCAGAAGAATGCGCTGCAATTCAGGAGTCGACAACAACCTGGAAAAAATTCGTGCCGCTGCCAGGCGATACGGATGGGTATTGTCTATAACTATCTATAACTAACTAGCTATAACTATAGAAATCACTTTTAATAAAGCCCTTAAATAAATATTGGGTTCATGGTTAATACGAGTCGCAATTATTTCTGATTATGTATTTTTGTTTGTCGCTCCATAGTTTTGGCGTGATTGGCTTAATGGTGTGTTTTGTAAGAGTATTCCGACTATAGTTTCGTTGGTTCTAAGAAAACTCATTTCAATTAGGTCTACAATATTTTATTAATTATTTTATGAATTTAATAGTTAGTTTGATCGCAGCACCCTCCAATTATGTCATATGCTGGCCATATGTACATATGTACATTGAACCACAATGGCTCAGGATTAGGTTAATTAAAAAAAGGACCACCAAAATCATGTCACTAAGCCTTGCATCCCAGTGCATATTTTTTCTCTACGGCATAAAATTAGTTTAAATTTAAAAAACGTGCTAGTCTTGGCGCCTCGTTGTTGGTCTTTTTAAACACTGCGCGTCACTTTTTTCAAGCTTTGCAATACTAGAAAAAGACACCAGTTATTGCCCAGAAACAAGGTCACACTGCATTTGCTTGCTTTGTTGTTTTGATTGGATTCTATAAATTGCTGGATATTTCCAATTCTGAGCTCATTTTTGTTGTTCGTTCGCCCCCAACTGGAGTCCAGACCTCTGAAACAGCTGCAACCCGCATACAATTTTTATCGAAGAAAGTGCAAGATCTTGACAACGACGCAGTTTTGCGATTTGGCAATGTTGTTATTGCCTTTGAACGGAGAATAATTTTAACGAAAACAAACAAACGGGCCGATAACAATGAAGGCATTGCAGTTGTTACTGCTGGCAGTGGTGTCTGTCGTGGCCACCGGCTTGGAGACTCCGAAGGGACGAGCCAAAGACTTGAACAAGGGACTCGGCATTGTCCACTACCAGCCGGAGCAAGTGCATCTGGCATTTGGAGGTGAGTGCATCGCAATCATACCAAAATCATTATGTAAATGTAGCCTTCTAAATACCCGCTTATATGGGGGTGTATATCATATATGTATGTATTGTCGGCACATTGATATATTATCGTTTAAGAGACTTTCTTTGTAAATGCCTGGCGGGGCTTGGTTTGTGTTTCTTATCATAAATAGATCCTCTTTCTTCATAGCACGTAGAGGTCAAAATGGCAACTTGTCTAAATCTCTATTATATTAAAAGGCGAAATGCCTCTGTCGTTACAAAAATTATATTTCGCATTTTTGTTTTAAATTACATTAAAATTGTAGTTTTAAGTTTTGAATGGTTAACTAAGTCTTCTATTTACTGTTTAAAATTGCTTAACTCTTAGTAAATATTCCTAAATCGTTTTGTATAAAAATAGAAATTCAAAAGCATAATAATCTCTTAGTTTCTCAAAAATCATGAAGCTAAAAACAAACTGTAAAACCAGACTTCAACTAACAACTAAAACAGTCTAAAAACAACACAATAAAATTTGATAATTGTGGGAGCTAAGTTGCTTAGGCTTCAATAAATTTCTAATCAGGGAACTCCCCCAAAAATGCATTGCGTATGTGATATGAAAGCAAGAAAACGCACTCGAAGTGGTTTCAGCCGAGAGCTGGAACCACCGGATAGACTTTGGCTCCCCGTGGGGCCTTTCGTTCCCGATAAGGGCGCGAGTGTTCTCAGGCACTAATTCATCCGAGCACTCGGTGAGCTGTTCGTCTTGTGTTCTAGTTTTTGCTGGGGAAGCGATAAGAAAACAATAATACAAGAGCAGCAAGGCGAGAAGAAATAAACATATAAAATATCATAAACAAAACAATAGAAATTAATCAACCAGCGACACTTGGTCTTGAATAAGTTCTTGGCTGTGTTCCTGTCCCAGATTTAAAATTCAAGATGCTAGCTTTTTTTATTTCCTTCTTTTTTAAACAAAATTTAATATCACATTTTTCAAACACCTTTGGCATAAACAAAAACCAGCTCAAGTCTGTTTTTCTTTTCCGCTTTCCCCCTGTCTCGTTCTGCTCTGGAGCAGAACGCACTGCCAGCGAAATGGTCGTCACCTGGTCGACACGCAGCCTCCCACCGGACACGCAAGTGGGCACGGCCAGCGTTGTGGAGTACGGCCTCCTCGAGGCTTCTGGACAGTCCAAGCTCAACCAAGCAGCCCGAGGCACAGCCACCAAGTTTGTGGACGGTGGTCGAAAAAAAGCCACGCAGTTCATTCATCGGGTATGATCGCAGTTTCTGTTTCTTTCTCTTTTGGTTTTGGTTGGTTTTCTTAAAAGGAACTTGCAGACTAGGGGTTTATTTATGAAAAAAAGTATAGTTTTCTAAGAAAAATCTATAAAGAAGATATCATTTATGTTGAATAAATAGAAGTGATTTTTGTTTTGAAAGAACTTAAGTAAAAGAAATCCTTAAGGGGACCTTCTCTTCACTTATTTTCCTTTTATGGAAAATTTTTGGCCGACTTTGTCAGAACTAGGGCTTCTCCAAGTTAACAAAAACTTAAACAAATAGATAACATTCCCAAAACCGAAATTTAATTTAAAACAACTCTACTTCTAAAGTCAAAAAGTGGAATGTTTCGTTTTCTACCATTATTAAGTATAAGTCATACAAAAAAGTACAGACCTGCAACCGTTTTTGACTCAAGGAAATTCGATCCAAAGATCTTCGGATATATGTAATTGAAAGTGGTTACAAGAAAAAGGCTTTTCCACTTTATAGGAACGTTCCACTACGCATTTGAGATAGTTCCAGTACATTCCGGATGCTCCAACTCGCGAAATGTGTCTTGTAAGGTAAAATATATTGCCGCCTTATCTCACACATAAGGTTATTTTCATTTTAATTTAAAAAAAATTCAGGAAACGGACCCCTAAAGGGGTTATACGCAGCTGGGATTTTCGAAAAATGTCAAATATTTTGCTTTTTATTTTATTTCTTCTGTACTTTTTATTTGAAAATTTAAACTTTAATTTGTAATTTAAAACGTGTTTTTCGTAAATCCATGTTTCTCAAGCCGGTGATCTCGGTTTCTCATAAAGCTATTTATTTTCAAAAAATGAGTACTATTTTATTCTACAATTTATGAAAAAATTAAAGCAAAAGACGAGGTTTTCTCTTAAGCTAAGCCATTCTGTCAAAGATGGGAACTTTTTAAAATCCCTCGTTCATTACCAGCATCTATCTATTTTTTAAAAGAATCAATCAAATTCTTTGATTATGGATAATCCCAACGGACAAAAACAAGATTACGCTTTTAACAACTTCTACAGAAGTGAAATAAGTAAAAATTTTTAAATGATCATCATTCTATTATCTTCTTAAAAGTATCTTCTAATAAAGAAAATAATCGTTTTTTTTATAAAATTTTAATTTCTTTTCGTAAGAAATTCTAAAAATGCGGTCAACTGCGGTCAACGTATAACCCCTTAAGCTAGTTCTATTCTATCAGGTTTTTATGATTTTGTAAAATAAAGTGTACCTTTTAGAGACTATAGATCCTTTTTAGTTCCGTTAACTACTATTTCTTCATCAATCTTCCGAAGATCCCTTAAAGTTTCTTAAAAGAACCCTTTATTACGGTTTTGTTTTCAAAATGTTCCTCAAGAAAGCCACCAACCAAATGTTTAGTTTAAAACCCATTTGAAAAGTGAAAAAATTGTGCTTTAACTAGGTGACCTTAGGGAACTTGAGCCCGAATTCCACGTACGTCTATCACTGCGGCAGCTCCTACGGCTGGTCGTCCGTGTTCCAGTTCCGCACGGTGCCAGAGGCATCGGCGGACTGGTCGCCCTCGCTGGCCATCTACGGGGACATGGGCAACGAAAACGCCCAGTCCCTGGCCCGCCTGCAGGAGGAGACCCAGCGCGGCATGTACGACGCCATTATTCATGTGGGGGACTTTGCCTACGATATGAACACCGAGGACGCCCGGGTGGGGGACGAGTTCATGAGGCAAATCGAGTCTGTGGCAGCCTACTTGCCCTACATGGTGGTGCCCGGTAATCACGAGGAGAAGTTGTGAGTAGGCCTGCGGCGGCGGAGATCCCGCAGAGATCAGACCCTAACCTTGTCCGCGTGTTGCAGCAACTTTTCCAACTACCGAGCCCGCTTCAGCATGCCGGGAGGCACGGAGAACATGTTCTACAGCTTCGACCTGGGCCCAGTGCACTTCATTGGGATCAGCACGGAGGCGTACTACTTCCTCAACTACGGCGTGAAGACACTGGTGTTTCAGTACGAGTGGCTGCGCCAGGATCTGGCCAAAGCCAACCTCCCAGAGAACCGCCGCGAGCGACCCTGGATCGTCTTGTACGGCCACCGCCCGATGTACTGCAGCAACGAGAACGACAACGATTGCACCCACTCAGAGACCCTGACCCGGGTGGGCTGGCCCTTCGTCCACATGTTCGGGCTGGAGCCGTTGCTCTACGAGTTCGGCGTTGACGTGGCCATTTGGGCACACGAGCACTCGTACGAGCGGCTCTGGCCCATCTACGACTACAAGGTGCTCAACGGAACCCTGAAGGACTCGCCCTACGAAGACCCGGGCGCTCCGGTCCATTTGGTGACTGGCTCCGCGGGCTGCAAGGAGGGGCGGGAGCCCTTCAAGGGCAAGATACCCGACTGGAGCGCCTTCCATAGCCAAGACTACGGGTACACCCGCCTGAGGGCGCACAACCGGACGCACTTGCACTTCGAACAGGTGTCGGACGACCAAAACGGAGCCATCATCGATAACTTCTGGCTGGTGAAGTCCAAGCACGGCAGTTACTCGCACTAGGAGTGGGAAACCATATCGAATCATAGCTTGAGGAGTCTCCAGGAACACACTAGGAACTGGCAGTATTAGTAACGCACATTCTACTTCGACCTGAATCGACCACAAAACATATACAACTATAGCAGTAAGCTAGGCACATTCCTTAACCGAATTCCCAGTAGCCCTGGAACAAAAGAATACACTTAGCCAAATTTTAGGTCCCAGCATTTAAGAGTGCATTTACGGACCTGGAGGGACGACCACTTGCAGATCTTGAACTCTTTAGTGTTGTTTTTATTCGTAATCCATATGCGGGGTACTTGGTTTTTAAAGTTTTAAAATATTTTAATCTGTTAACGTATTCAAGAGTTAATACATCCTTGTATTTGTGTTTCTAAACCTAACCTATTTCCTTATACTTTATATGGGGTGCCACATAAAAATAGTAGAACCACTAGGACTAGTTCTACTAACTACTACTGAATTTTTAGCCTTTATTTTATTTTACAAAAACCCAAGGGGAGTAAGTTCAAAAGCTTTAATATTGCATTATCAAAATTCTTTTTTATATTTTCTATTAATTTGTAACTTCCATTCCAATGAAGAAACTTCCATTTTGAACCAAATTTGAACTTCACCCAACACATTTAATTTTAAAACTTTCCCTCCGAATTCGGATAAAACAACGTGGCATCACATCAGCTTCAAAACTATGAAGACTCCCCTGTATAGAGTTACTAGTGTTTTACAAAAATCTAAACTTTACCAATGAAGGCCACGAAATGTATTCCTATTTCAACGCAGTTTAGTCACAAACTCATCACTCCTTATAGAGCGATCAAACTTTTCAGATAAAAGTGAAGATCCATTGCTGATTTGAGCAAACACCATGCAAGATTGTGTGTGTTTTAAATCACTCACATCAGGCATATGATACCCTAAGGGGAAATTGGAGCGTAATTTGAGTGGAAGTGCTTTGTGAGGCACCCCTGTATATTTTTAAGTTAGAAGCACCAGAATTCCGAATGGTTTAATTTATGCCAGGCTTGCAAATTGCATAAATTTTGTTGTGGCTATACATTTTATCAACAGGGTTTGGTAATCGCACTTTGTGAGCGCACCGGATTGGATTTCAAAAACAATTGAACGAGAATCAAGAAATAAATGCATTTTTACCGCTCTAAGAACATTTGAGTTTCATTGAGGAATACCTTTTTTGATAAATTAACAACTCAACTCTTTCTATTATAATTTATATCTAGGAAAAGAAAGGATAGTGTAAGGGCTTCTTAATTGATGGATTGCTTATAAGACGACCGAAAATCATATATTTAGCGATTTTACGATTTGTCGTAATAACAAAATCGCTTTGCAAGAATTTCATTATTTTGGGAATTTATTTCCATTGGTAATTATCAAGAAAGGGTTCTTCCTTTCCTAACCTATGGAAATAGTCACATAATAATGAAAAAACTAACTGAAAACTAAAGTTAAAAAAGTGCTTATAAAAGGCTTAATATGTCGTGGCTGGATAACTAACGTCTTTATTTTTAGACATCGAAAATCAAAAATTTATATATTCATATCTATCGGCGCTATGCAGTAGGATTTTTTTGATCAAAAATCGTTTATAAAAGATTGAAAATTTAAGTAAATCCTGCCTGTATCGATAGATTATTACAAATGTTTTGGGAATTTTGAAGATTATAATATCACTGCCAGACAAAAAAGTGATTTTACTGGGAGGGAAATTAACCTTAAGGTCCGACAACAAAGTCTGTACATACTTACGTGGCAATTGAGGTGCTAATCCGTGTGCTCCTCCAGAGTCCGTCCTGGACATTGTGGTCACCTGGAATACGCGGGACAACACGAACGCCTCCATTTGCGAGTACGGCGTCGATGGGCTCCAGAGTCGAGTGCAATCGCCCCAGTCGCCCACGAAGTTCGTGGATGGCGGAGCCGCAAAGGCCACCCAGTTCATCCATCGGGTGAGTATTGGAGCACCACTGACATGGTTTCACTGATTCACCCACTTAATCTACTGTTTACTTGATTGAATTGAGTTTGGGAATCATAGATCATGGACTCAACGAAGCCCGACTGCGAATCCACTCACTAGACCTTCTGCCACTCTCCCCCCAGGTGACCCTACCCAACCTGAAGCCGAACACCACGTATTTCTACCACTGTGGCAGCGAGCTGGGATGGTCGGCCACCTACTGGTTCCGCACCAAGTTCGAGCACTCCGACTGGTCCCCCTCCCTGGCCATCTACGGCGACATGGGCGTGGTCAACGCCGCCTCCCTGCCGGCCCTGCAGAGGGAGACGCAGCGGGGCTTGTACGACGCCATCCTCCACGTGGGCGACTTTGCCTACGACATGTGCGACGATAACGGTGCGGTGGGCGACGAGTTCATGCGCCAGGTGGAGACGATAGCCGCTTACGTCCCGTACATGGTGTGCGTGGGCAACCACGAGGAGCGATAGTGAGTCCATGAGCTGAGCCCTGAAGACTTATAATCCCTTCCAATCCCCCGCAGCAACTTCTCACACTACATCAACCGCTTCAGTATGCCGGGAGGCTCCGAGAACATGTTCTACAGCTTCGACCTGGGACCCGTCCATTTCATTGGCTTCAGCACGGAGGTTTACTACTTCACCCAGTTCGGGATCAAGCAGATCGTGATGCAGTACGACTGGCTGGAGCGGGACCTGATCGAGGCCAATAAGCCGGAGAACCGGCAGAAGCGTCCCTGGATCATCACCTACGGCCACCGACCGATGTACTGCAGCAACGACAACGACGACGACTGCGCCAACCATGAGACCATAGTGCGGAAGGGCCTGCCCATGCTAGATTTCTTTGGGCTGGAGCCCCTGTTCTATCAGTACGGCGTGGACGTGGAGCTCTGGGCGCACGAGCACTGCTATGAGCGCATGTGGCCCATGTACAACTACACGGTCTACAACGGATCCCTCGCCGCGCCGTATGTGAATCCGGGAGCACCCATTCACATCATATCCGGAGCAGCCGGCAATCAGGAGGGACGGGAGCCGTTCTTTAAGAAGATGCCGCCGTGGAGCGCCTTCCACAGCCAGGACTTTGGCTACCTGCGCCTCAGGGCCCACAACCGCACTCACCTGTACTTCGAGCAGGTGTCGGACGACCAGAAAGGCAAGATCATCGATAGCTTCTGGGTGGTCAAGGACAAGCACGGACCCTACGCTGATCTCAAATGAAATCCCATTCCAGTCTTAAATAACGGGCACAAGTACGGCTCCCCTCGAAGAGCTCCTATACTTTACACTTTGCACCTTGCACCCTAATGTTGACCTATATATTCCTGATATCTCGATGTAAAACTATACGTATCTCCTTATACTTTTATTCAAGACCACATGTAAACGAAACATCGAATATTTCGCCAAATAAACGAGACATTTTTGGGCTTATGCACTAAACGTTGAAGTTGTGCTGTTTCCTTGGGGGTCTTTCGCATGAACCACCTATCTATAGTCCGTTTTTCGAAGATTATCCCTAAAGAGACCTCCCTCTTTCAGACAATCTGCAGGATATCGTGGTTACCTGGTCTACGCGCGGCCCCAGCAACTCCTCTTTGGTAAACTATGCCCGCAACTACGCCAAGGGCCCTCTCACCTTGGCTAAGGGAACTTGGAAGCGATTCGTGGATGGCGGCAAGAAGGCTCGCTCTCAGTACGTCCACAGTGTGGAGCTGAAGGACCTCCAGCCGGACACCCGTTACGAGTACACCTGCGGCAGCGAAGTGGGCTGGTCTCCGGTCTTCAACTTCAAGACGCCGCCGGCTGGAGAGGCCTGGTCCCCGTCCCTGGCCATCTTCGGGGATATGGGCAACGAGAACGCCCAGTCCCTGGGCCGCCTGCAGCAGGACACTGAACGCGGCATGTACGACGCCATCATCCATGTGGGGGACTTTGCCTACGACATGGACACCTCGAACGCCGCCGTGGGGGATGCTTACATGCGCCAAATCGAATCCGTGGCCGCCTACGTGCCGTACATGGTCTGTCCGGGCAATCATGAAGAGAAATAGTGAGTTCACAGTCCTCTCTACATGGAACGCTAAACTAATCCCCCAACCCTTTAGTAACTTCTCCAACTACCGGGCCCGCTTCAACATGCCCGGGGACACGGACAGCCTGTGGTACAGCTTCAACCTGGGTCCCGTGCACTTTGTCTCCTTCTCCACCGAGGTCTACTACTTCCTCAGCTACGGCTTCAAGCTGCTGACCAAGCAGTTCGAGTGGCTGGAGCGGGACCTGGCCGAGGCCAACCTGCCCGAGAACCGTGCCAAGCGCCCCTGGATCATCACCTACGGCCACCGGCCGATGTACTGCAGCGACGAAAAGGAGTACGACTGCAACAAGCAGCTAGAGACGTACATCCGCCAGGGTCTGCCCATGCTGAAGTGGTTCGGCCTGGAAGACCTTTTCTACAAACACGGAGTGGACGTCGAGATCTTCGCCCACGAGCACTTCTACACCCGGCTGTGGCCCATCTACGATTTTAAGGTCTACAACGGGAGTGCAGAGGCTCCCTACACGAATCCCAAGGCGCCAATCCAGATCATAACCGGATCGGCTGGCTGCAAAGAGGAGCGCGAGCCCTTCTCCAAAGATTTGCCCGCATGGAATGCCTATCACAGCAATGTACGTTTTCTTCTCAAATAGTTACCCTTATGGATAATCGTTATGTTCCATTGAAATCCATTTCAGGACTACGGGTATACCCGCTTGAAGGCCCACAACGGCACCCACCTCTACTTCGAGCAAGTGTCCGACGACAAGGACGGCCAGATCGTGGACTCCTTCTGGGTGATCAAGTCCTCGCACGGCGCCTACCCTGGGGCCCAATGAAATTGCGGTTCTACCGCCAACCCTTCCGCCCAAGAACACTTTATTTCTACTTATTTTTTTGTAGCATCTTTTTAATAAAAATTAAGTTAGAAAAATATTAAAGGCAAAAAAAAATTACAATAAAATAAAAGTAAATTGCACTAGCTTAGGCATTGAACGTTTGGGGATTGGCTTGGTTTCATCGTCTCCGTGTCCGTCTTCCGTTTAGTAGACGGTGCCTGAGATGCCGGCTCCGTAGTTGTAGCCGGAGCCGATGGGAGGCACTCCACCCAGGGCTCCCAGACCGCCGCCCACCACGCTGTTGCCGTAATTGCTTGTGTAGTAGCTGGAAGGATAGCCTCCGGCTCCGAAGCGGGTGTTGTAGTAAGGATAGCCGGTTCCGGCTCCGCCCAAGCGCGAGTTGTAGTACGACAGCGCGTAGGGGTTCGAGTTGTAGGATCCATATCCGCCCAGGCCGGAGCCATAGCCGCTCAGGACTGATCCATAGCCGCCCAGAGCCGATCCGTAGCCACCCAAGGCGGAGCCGTATCCTCCATATCCGGCCAGAGAGCCGTCTGGAGAGAAAAATTTTTTTATGTGATTTCAAATATTGGAAAAAGTTCTTGGAATACACACCCAATCCAGCCAATGATCGCGAGCCATAGGGGTTGTAGTAGCTATCAACGCCCACTCCACTGCCATAGGCTCCTCCGTAGCCTGCTCCGAGGGCCGAGCCATAGCCTCCGTATCCGCCGCCGTATCCGGCTCCTGCTCCGTATCCTGCCCCATAGCCACCGTATCCACCAACATAGCGCTTCTCCTGCTTCTTTTCCTGCAGCGGGGCGTAGCTGCTGGCGGCGCCCACCTGGTCCTCCGTCGCTGTCACCGCCACAGCTGCTGGGGCTGATGCGGACGCCACCTGCTCCAGGTCAGCGTCCGCCGCATCCTCGGCACAGACGGTCAGCACCAGGCTGAATGCGATTATTATGAACTGGGATAGAATACAATATGTCATTAGTAAGAGTAGTGATGTATTTTTAAGTATATTTCTGTAAAAAAATAGCAAACATTTATTACTCCAAAAGTCAGCACCAGTTTGGTTTAAATACTAAAATGAATGGGTGTTTTTTTTGTATTGTGTTATATTTAAGGAGGCTTACATACGTACATGCACCATAAAACTAAGTATTTGTTTCCAAAACTATGCAGGGGAAACTTGAAAAAATTGTATATTTCAAAAACTCTTAAATGTTTTTTAGTTTTTAAACGTTATTTTTTTGGGGAAAAGGAATACATTTTTTAGTAAGTCGTTTAAAAGATATAATATTAAATATATTATTGTCCAAAATGCAGAGGAGGATCTTTAAAGGAAATTTTAATTTTCAAACCTACTCAATTTTGTCGAGTCTATAAATTTTAGTTTCTTAGATATCCTTTAAAATACAAAACTAAATATATTTATACAAGCATAAGTTAAAAATTTTTTAAATTGTATGGCCTCATGTTAGTTTGGTGTTAGCCATAAAAAGCTATTTCAAATCAGCTTTATTCTTATAGGAATAAAGAAAAAATGCACTTTCAATATTTTCGTTTTTTAAGGAAAAGGTATAACATACATTCTTTCAAGACATCCTTCAAAACATCTATTTACCAAAATACTACATATTTACCGGAAATTTGGGAACGGGTTTTTCAATTAAAAAACTCTCAATCTTGTTAGCTTAAAAATGCAACTTTTAGGTTAGCCCAAAAAAATATTTAAAAACAAACAACTCAGCAGGACATTCTGTTATGACTTAAATATACATATTTTATGAATATTTAAAAACGCGATACATTTACAAACTTTTGAACTACGAAATGTATTTTCTAGACATCACGACATCACGTTTTGTATTCAATTTGGAGTCCCGACTCTTTTGATTAAATTTTAAATGCAAAATGTTTAAGAAATATGCATTGTACTTATTGATTTTTAAAGAGAAAAAACAAAAACTACTACATTATTTTGTATTCAATTTTTAAAAAAACGTTAAAAAAAAGAAAACACAAAAATGAATACACTTTGCGAAAACACTTTTTACGGATCAGGATCACTTAGTCCTTTTCGGATCCTCTGTGGTGTGTGACTTGGTTCCTTACAGAGCACTTCATGTTGTGGTCGCCTGTGTGTGGTCTTGAATGACTTTTCCTCGGAGATCTGTTGCGCACGCGCCGCTCGACACTTGTCCAATGAATCCACTGCCGGCCCAGCACTCACTTTTATACCCACCAGGTAGCAACCCACCACTGCCACCAGTAGCACACAAAGGTATTGCATCTAATATTATTTTTTTGATTTTTACTATTTTTTATGACGCATGCCACGAGCCACGATTATAGGTAGAGGTAGGCTTAGGTCAGCAGGCTGCGGAATGAACTTTCCTCTGGGATACATCTCGAAATAAATTCACAAATACCAAACTTTTGGAACGACATATTTTTTAAATGTACATATATACATTACCTATGTTGTCATATTATAATTTTTTGGCCTGAAAAAGATTAAAGTTCTCAAAATAAATAAACGTTTGAAAATAATTATATAAAGTGTCTAATCTTACCCGATTTTGTTATTATTGAAAATATTTATTATTGGAAATATAAATAAATCAAATGTATATAAAAACAAAGCAATATAGAAAAAGAAGTATAGGAAAGAATAATATAGAAAAGAAAATACTATAAACAAACAATATTCTAAATAATGTAGGATTAACTAAAGGGAGCAAGTTCTACACAGTCTACAGGATATACATAAAAAATTAAAACTAAAAGAATAATTTTATATCTAAGTTATGCAAAACATTAATAAAACTTATAAAATAAATAAATAATAAAACTTGTAAGCTTCACCAATAGTACCTTCTAGGCTCTAATGATCCTAGAAGGCTATCACCGCCATGCAATAAAATAAAAAGTATATTTTAGTTATTAATCATGTGATATTTAAGTCTCTACATTGATCCATTTTTTGAAAACAGCACCAGGGTCAGAGCGAGGGGGAACAGAACTCTTTATTGGTCACACATCATTATCAATATTCCCACGATCTGGGGATCAATTATAGCCCCACAACCCCTGCAGCGCACCACCCCAACACCACGCCCCCAAAACAAAAAGCAGCACAGCTCAAAACAATAACAATGATGACAAATGCTAATTGAATCATTAACTTGACCCTGGGCCAGGCTAATTGGCCAACATAAAACACACTGCAACGATTTCAGGCCAAAGCCCAGAGCCCGATCATACATCTTCGAGTCCAGTGGAACGATTTAGTTTCGATGACAGATGACAGATACCGGGCTAGTACGTGAGTCACTTTTGGCAGGTCCGAGTTGAATAATCATTTCACGGCTTTTCACTTTCCAACTTGGCTTACAGTTTCGGCCATTACCTCTGGAACATGTTGACAAGCCCGGGCTAGAGTGAAACCCACCAAACGGATCCAAGTCCGGGACTTGATTTTTTCAACAAGGGCCACGATTGTACTGAGCGGGAAGAGTGAGATAGAGGAAGAGGGGGGCTATTGGCATCTCCTTCCTCCAGTGACACATTTCTTTTTTTGACATTTTAAAACTAACGGTCCAGAGTCTATAAAAATTAATGGGCTTTTTGATTTGCAAGAAGTTTTTAAAAAGGTTCTTAACTAGAAAAGATGAGGGCCTTGTGGGAAAAGGTTTTTAAAAATATTGTATTTTGAACTGGATTTAAGAACTTGAGAAAATAAGAATTATAAGAATTTTTTAAAATGTGTAAATACTGTAAATATTATAAGCTACATTTTTAAAATATGGGTTTGAGATAATAAATAAATTTTATTAAATTTTGAAAAAGTTTGTTGAATATTGTATAAATAAATTTTATAAAATCTATTAAAAAATCTAAGAGAGCTAAGCACGAAAACTGAATAAAAAAAAATCAAGCATTTTAGATATACATACTTTAGAGATTAATGCTATAAAATGTATTATATTAAATATATAGAGCTATAAATGGTATAATAAATAAAAAACTCAGCCCCATAAAAATCTAAAAAATATACAAGTTTTGAAAGCTTCCCAAAAATAAAGTATAGTATATATATCGTATAAAAGTATAATATATATAGAAAGCAATATATCGCTCCAAAGCACTACTACTTAATTTCTGCCAAATACATCCAACCTCTTGTCTCTCGGTAAGCCTTGTAAGCTGTTAACCAACAGTTGGCCAACTAAAGGGTACAATGTAATCCACTAACCGAAAAATGAGAAAAATCCACCATCTCGGTTGGGAGGTAAGTGTGCCACCACCAATGGGTGGATGTTTAGATAGTGTTCGATGGTATTGCTTTTTGCAGTTGTTGGATCTGTTCGAGGGGTGGAGTGGATGATGCCTCCCCCGAAGCACATATGAGTGGGTCACATTGTTCGGCCCGATCGGCATGTGAAAAGTGTTAACTAACTGGGAGTTTTGAGGGGCCAGGGGTGGGACTGGGGGTTAGGGGCTAGGGGCTAGGCTTTTTAGCCAACTCCGATGACTTGGCCCGACTCGGCCATGGATGCTACTTTGGCGGTGGCCTGGGAGACTCCCAAACAATGATTCTTTAATGCCGAGGCCTAAAAGCCCATTACAAGCACGGCTCCCAGGGGCTGACGCAGCGTATACGTAATGCAATGGGAAGACACCTTCGGGGCGTTGCCTTATAATAGGCACTCGCTGTTCTAATTTGCAAAAGCAAATCACGCTCTCCACAAACCCGACGCGACCCGACCCGGCCCACTCCGCCCACCAATTATATTTACAAACAGATTTAATTATAATTGAACGGCGGACGGGTTCGGCTCAGAAAACTCGGCTGAAGCAGCTTGGAAACTGGAAAGATTGAACCAAAAACCGCAAGGCAGTGCTCACCAGACAAATGAAGCAGCAAATTATGATTGTGATGGTGGGAATGGACGGGCTGGGAGCTGGGGGCGACTAAGTGGGTGGAAGGTAAAGTACACACAAATCTCAGGTAGACAATTGAACGGTGACAGCAGAGAACAACAAAAACAAAACCATGGCCTTTTCCGTTGAACTTGCACTTTGCATAATTGCATATTACCAACGCTGCCAAAGCCAAGAATACTTCGCACGATTATCCGAGTGCATTGTGCGAACCGCACGCCCGAAAGCCAAGATCCGTAATGCCTTATAGCATTCTATATGGCGTACACCCGAAACTACTCAAAATCGAGGCCCTGACTTTTGCATTTTCATCTAAACTGGCAGCGTTTAAGACATAATGGCTTTCTATTAAACTTCAAAGCATACTTTTGAGAAATATACTGCTCACTAATAGATTTTAAAACAAAATAAAAACGCTAAATATAATTGGTTATACATAATAATAGGTTATAATAACGGTTATAATAATAGGAACTAATAGGTTATTAGTACCGGGTATTATACAAGTAGTAGTAGTAGTCTAAAAGTACTCCATCTATTTCTACCTTTATCGAATACAAAACCAAACGAATTAATCAAAAAGTTCATGCGATGCTAAAAGCTAACTTTAATATAGCATTGCAGTTAAGATCGGGTATATATCCCAACTATCGGGTATGTTTGGCCGATCTTCACGAGAATTTCATTATAAAACTAATTTTTTTCGAATTCAAAATTTGGTAAGTCATATCAATTGGCCAAAAATATAATCTGTATAAAGTTTCAACCTTTAATCTTCAAAAACATTAAGTTCGTTCATTCGGCAGCTATAGGATATAGTCGCCCGATCCGACTTATGTACTGCGTGCTTCTAAAAAGACCTTTTGGCTTGGAGACTCCTACAATGCCCACGCAGTTTAAGTCTGCTTCAAAAATTTGCCAAGCCCCCTCCCGTCCCCAAAAATTGTGAAATTCTCTCTCTACTGGAAGGTTTTTTTAAACACTTTTGATGCCAAAAGTGATCAAAAAATCAAATCAAATTAAGAAATTATAGACTTTTTAGTCTGTTTTCCTATCAGTAGTATGGGCTTAGGTTTGTTGTTATTTGTTGCGGAGAATGCGTACCGTTAAAGCTTAAACTTTAAAGGTTATTTAAATTGTGGGTGGAAGTGATGAGTACCGGGTATAATATAGTCGGGAAACACGACTATAGCCGACCTTTCTTTTTTAAGCTTATTTTTTTAAGCTAGTAGGAACTACTAAGTAATATTCGAAAAACTGAAAGTTTATACAAGTCTTAAAAAAGTAGTTTTTATTATAGTAAGAAACCATTTTCCCCTATAGCCTTTATTGTTAAATGATTACAAAATAAAAGCCAAAAAATCGCCTCATTAGTAGGAAGAAATCTAAAATGAATCATAGTACAGCCTCGCAATGTTTAATTTTTAATGAAGGGTGCTACTTAAAAATTCATTAGACAAAATCGATGCAGATTAATTAAAGCAGTTGCCCGGTGAGATGAGTGACACATCCGACAATCTTCAGTCATGAACTGAACAAAGTGTGGAGCTTGTGATTTTCTGAAAAATGTTTTTAAAAATGCTAAAAGTCGAACCCAAACCAAATCCCATTCAAAAATAAAATGCAGTTTTTGTTATTAATGCTGTAAAAAATATACATATACACATATATATATATTGGACTGGGTCGCTATATATATATTTGTATTCGTGTATATATCAGTTTATTTAGTCTTCTTGAAAGTTCTGGCGAGCTGCCCGCGGAGCTTCCCTCGTCAAGTGGCACCTCGCCTATCTCTAACTACTTTCTCTGATTTGATTTTGGTTTGTTTTTTGTCTTTAGTTAATTATTTGTTTAGAGTTGTCATTCTTTTCGTTTCTTTTGATCATTTTGTACGTTTTTTGTTTGTTATTTTTTCTTTCGATTTGTACAAAGAATGGGGCTGAAAGAAAATTAGATTTAGGCTTCCACATGTATACTAAATAGGTGTTATAGGTGTATATATATCTTGGACTATACTTAATTATAACTACAACTGCGCTCCCTTGCAGTCCTTCGGCTCCGCTCTACTTTCTAGCCAGTGAAAGTGCCAGACTAGACAGAGACGGAACGAGAGTTTGGGGTGCCGAAAAGAAAGGGATAGGACTATAGCGGGTGACTGTCACTGTGAGTGTGAGTGGGAGGTGAATATGATGAAATGTCAAATTTCGAGGTACAGTTGCCGCTTTGACACATTTGTGGATTAGTTGTGGGAAAGAGGTTAGGTTAGGACAGAGGTGGCTGAGTGGGTTTACAAGAATCGAGGGCAAGTAAGAAATAATCAAGTAATTACAAACTTTAACAAAACATTATTGCTCTAGGACTAACAAATTTCAAAAAAATATTCGTAACTTGAGGCATTTGTGTGTCTGTGTGAAAGGATGCTTAAATTATAATAAATACATATGAACAGGATTCGTGCACACATAGAGAGTATCTTTCTAGGTTACACAACTATTTAAGGGGCTCCTTTCTTTTTAGATATTCGTTGTTCTTAACTATACACAATTCAAAATGTAATGGCAAATCGAAATGAAAATAAAGCTGGGGATAATGCGAGGATTAGTGTCTAGTGGATCGGACGCACGGATCAAATATACGTTGATCCTTGGGCGATTCAATCGGGGCTAACTTATGTCTATGCTTCGATGTTCGTGTCTCAAGGAACTGGGTATACAAATAAAAAGCAAACAAATTCGTGTTGTGGAGTATGGGATAGTTGTCGTATAGTAATTATATAGTTATGCATAATAATAAGAATAATATAAAATTAATCACAGACTCGGATTTGCTGATTGGAATCGTTTCTTGTTTCTTGTTTGTTTCTTGTTCACTATTACTTTTGTTTTTCTGAGTGTAATCAGTGTACTCCACTACGAGTGTTCAGTTTGTTCTTAAAAAGCTAAAATCACTTTGAATAACTTTAGATGTTACAGTTTATACGCATCTGCACGCTTGTTGTGGCAAGCATGTTAGATATACCATTTGTTTTTTATTAATCCATATATAATGTATATATTATAGTGTGTAGCATTACGGTTACTAGTTCTATCTGTGTGTGTTGGGGTGTTTATGTCATTATCTTATATAGTATCTAGCGTTGCAACCTACAACAATTACAGCTTACAGGCTTTCCAGGACCTCTGCCACATAGCATGGTACAGCATGGTATGTGTCGTCACATGATTAATGCTAATCTACAACTAGGTAAGGACAAGCTCTGAAAGGACTTGCTAAGTTCAGTTTAGATTTAGACTCAGTTACATTAATTTAAATTAGATTAGAGCGGTTTAGTACACAATAAATGTCATATATAACTCTGCCTGGTGTGGCCTCCTAAGATTCAATTACAATTTATGTATAATATTTTGTCTGTTTATGTTTTTTTTTCTGATTCTGACTCGATGAAACGCAATTCCGAGTCAAGCTGCGTTACGCCTCAGCTTTTGTGTAAATTTGGATAAAAAGTATAACAATCGGGTTGGGGTTAGCCTAGGCATTTCGCACTTCTTCACAATACAATAATTTAAATGGATTATGGCCATAGGTAGTCTGATCTTTATCAAGTTATATCGAGTAAAATGAAATGATGATGAAGTCGCTTTATGTATATACAATTGCTTAGGGACTAGGGTTTATTTAACCGGTTCTATATTGCTATGTTTAGTGTGCTACGATCTGGTGCATTGCCACTGCGCTCTCTCTTCGCTCATAGTTAGGCCATTGTGGTAATGCTGCTAAAATTTGCAAGTATATTTGTTGCACAATAATTTTGTATATATCGATTAATATTAGTTACAAAGAACACAATGGGACAGGAGACAAAAACAATTTGGTGTAAATAAAACGGGCCACAATTTAAAAGTATAACAGGCTTGTATATAGTATATAGTTTATGGTATACAGCATATATGAGGTCGTAATAGGCAATATCCAGGTCAGAGTTGGAGTCTCAAAAAATTTGAATACAAGGTGAAAAAATGTTAGAGTTACTTGGAGCTTCGGGAGCCAGCGCGCTTGTTTCCCGCTGCTTTTGGATTCTAACCTCTTATTCGAAATCAACATAATCGTACTTAAGGATCAAGTCGGAAAGCAAGACGCTTAGCTCTCTAGGCTTTGTATCTAGGGTTTGGCTTAAAACTAGGTAGGTGTTTTTAAACATAGATTGTATATAAATATATATATAGTATATAGGGCTTTATATATTTGTTTGTTTTGCGTTTAATTGGTTACAATAGGCTAGGTTGCGATTTGTGTGGTTTCTAATTGTCCAGGTCAAGCTTTAAGCGTCCCGCTTACTCTAAGTTTAAATACAATCTGTGGTTAAGAAAACGAAGCACGTTTTAGTCATTGATAAGATTTGTACACTTACAGCTACAAACTAGTGCTATATGGTCACCGCTCTGGCATACTCACCACATACTAGGCCTGTGTCTATCTATATGGTCTATGGTCTGCCCAGAACCTACGCACGGATCAACAAACTGACGTGTGCCTATGCTTCTCTGTTTTCACTTAAAGCTACGGTTCCTCTTACTTTGGATTCATAATTACGCTCCAGCTATTGCATGTTATCCTCTAAAGAGATACACGGTTATTGAACAAAAATGACTAATGATTAGATTTATCATTCACAATTTAAGGTTTTGCTTAATCTAGAGCTAGAGCTGCTGACGCTGCTCCTGCTGCGTGTTCCAAGTTATCCTGCTGTCCCCTGGCGAGTCCTTCCTAATCGTGCTTGAGTACAATTCGAGGGGGCGCCTTGCTGCGTTGTTTGTGGCCGCTGCCTCCCACCGACGACGCCTGCCGCTTCTCCAGCCGATCAAAGATTCCTCCGCGTCCACCTCCACCTCCACCGCCACCGCCACTACTGCTGCCGCCTCCCTCGGCTCCGCTCTTCCGGGCCAAGAGATGCTCCTCCCTGGACCGCCTGTCCCGCATCCTGCTGCCCCCATGCGAGGACTGCTGCTGCGAGTCTCCCCCACCGCCCCCGCCGCTACCATTGCTGCTGCTGTTCGGCTTCAGCACCACCCTCCGCTGGCTGGAGCCAAAGCTGGGCGCCGCCTTGTGGTTTCGCTTCACCACCAACAGCTCCGGCGTGGCCGAGCGCTTGCTGCTCGCCTTCTGCGGCGGGGGCGATGGCGTGGCCAGCAAGCGATCCTCCTCGTCTAGCAGCAGGTCGTCGACGTCGTAGTCCAGCTCCACTTCATCGTCGCTGGGCGTGCCCAAGCGCAGCATGTCCCGCGACTTGGGAGGCGTTCCTCCCCCCGGGCCATGTCCCCCGGCTCCAGCTGCTGGTCCCAGGGTTTTCAGCGCAGTCACCGGCTGGTGTTGCTTCGAAGAGGGCGCCAGGTGCTCAGTTATGCTTCTCTTGGCCTCGGGCGCAATCTTGGCCGCGGTGAGCTGCTTCCTAGCTGGCTGCTGCTGTCCTGGCTGGGCTTGGGTTGTCTGCTGCTGCGACTGGGATTGAGACTGGGACTGCCGACTGCGCCCATTGCCCGTCTCCTGGTCGTCGCGTCGCTTTAGCGAGATCACCTTGCGTTCGTTGGTCTGGCCGGGGCGCTGCTTTGTCGCTGCACTGCCGCCGCTTCCAGAGACAGATCCTGTTCCGGGCGCTACTGCCGCTTGATCCTGTTCCTCGCGGGCCGGCGAGTTGTGCTGCTGCTCGGCGCGTTTCTCCTAGAAAGTTTCAGGTTGTGTTTGGCTTTTAACTTTTTAACGCACTTTTTTGGGCTCTAGCTCACTCGTGGGCGAAGCAACAGGGGAAATCAAAACTGGTCATTCGGCCTGAGGGCTAGCCTAATAGAGTTTAGAGGCCTACCATTTTATTTGGTTTACAAATCAAATAATAATTTTACTGTATACAGACAAGAATTCGTTGATGATTAAAGACTTGAATATAAACAGGCTCCGGTGTGTACTTGTTGAAGAAAATTGCTTTTTTCTGACAAGAAGTAAAAGTAACTTGCTCATTCATCTTTCCCTTTTACTTTTCAAAACGACAGCTCTCGTTCAAATGCAATTAAAAGCTTTTTCCCTCTTAATCGACATCTAATTAAAATATATAAAAAAATATTAATAAATAATTTTCTCTCAAAACACCTTAATTTTGATTCTGGGAAAAGTTGGGGCTTTGACAGACCTATGGGTTACTTTGTTGCCAAAGTTGGTGGGTCAATTCAACGGTATGCTTGGAATAATTAAGGGGTTCAAGCCGCGTTGAAGTCGTTTTTTTAAATGATTTTTGAGAATTTGTTTCTTTGCCCAATATATGTAATAAAGTTGACATGTAATTTTTTCTAAGTGGTCCTGAAAGTCCATTTTTTTATGTCCTGAACATGTCCTAAAAATTTCAAGGTTTTGGGTCTTGAAAGCGAGAAGCAAAAAAATAGTTGCGGGAAAAACATGCTTGATATTTGAAGAATATTGAATAATATGTTCCTCCATATTTTCAAGGGCTATTTCGAATGCCGCACGTGACGCGCATGACTTCGAGTTTTTTTTTGTTAGAGACGCACTTTTCCAGTACTTTTATCTATGAAATTATTATTTTTTAGTTGTCTTCCTACTGTTCCTAAACTTGAATCAATTTTACAGCTGGTTCTAAAGGGATAGGAGACATAATTGAATGACATTTCGCCTGCCCCACTAGACGGTTCACTGTCCTTTTCGACATATCTTAAGTGGAGCTCGCGTTTTTATGCTGGCTCATATTTTCTTTTCATTTGTAATTACATACTGTAGGAGATTGTGCACTTGGAATAATATTGTGCACTTGGGCTTACGTCCTACCTTCCTGTATTAACTTTGAAATCAAATTTCGTTTTTTAGCAGGACAGTTTAAAGCACGTGTTATATTGCCAGATTAACAAATTAATGTAACTTTTTTCAAATTAATGGCGAAAAGAGAAATAGAAAGGCATGGAGTAAGACGATGAAACTGCATATTCAAGTATTACAGGTATTAATAGTTATTATGAAAAATAAAAAAATAAACTTTTTTCTCGACCGGCGCTACTCGTCCTTAACCTCATTTAAGGTGACCTCTGAGCCTAATAAATAATTTTTTTATTAACATTATTACAAAGTAATGACACAAAGTAATCCTTTTGTCGAACACTTGTATCAAAGTTCTGAGGGGGCATGTTAATAAAAGAGTCCTAATAAAAGGTTTTGTTCCTATACTGAGAGCTTTGAAAAAATTGGCCAACAGTTATTGGCATTATCTGGGTATGAGTGTGTCAATTCTACTTGGAAGTTTTGCCGAAAACAAAAAAGGTGTGAAACTCGGTTGAATTCGCAGTAATTGGGTCTTCAAAATTACCTTCGTAAAAGTAAGCCCCGGAGCCTGTCTAAATTTTTATTACAAATTTGGATAACAAAGTTGCAGTTGGGATTTTCGAAAAAGTTTATCAAACAAATCATCTATCGTGAGCCTAACATTGCATTGTAGACAAAATACTATTCTTTATGTTCAGATTAAGAAAGAGGCGTTAGCCCTAAAAGGTCACAAACTTCAAGCCGCTGACCTCAGTTATTGATGCCCGAAGGGGGGAACGTGTGTTTGCTTTTTCTGGCATTTTTGGGAGAACAGTTTGCACAGGTTGGCCAGTTGAAAATGGTAGTTGGTCAAGGACTTTTAACAAAACAATTAAAACTACAAAAAATACTACAACAAAAATCAACACTACGAAATAATAAGAAATAATAAAAAAAAGTACTTACATACCACACTTCAAGTGACAAAAACACAACAAAAAGTAAAAAACTGAACCATCTCACTGCCATCTTCACAAGTTCCAACACTGTAGCCAAGAATTTTGAGTTTTTGTTTGAATTTAAGAAAAACGTGAAACTAAAAGAGTAGCTTTTAATCGTTTGACTTCGCCGCCGAATAGTCGAGTTTCTTTTTGAAACATCACGTTTCACGTTTTCGAATCTGTGCAATGGCCCACAAATAACAAGGATCTTGGGGTCCGCCACGAGCCTTAAGCAGGCAAAAATAATAGGAATTCGGGACTTACCTCATGCAGCTTCTCCTCGGCTGCGCGCCTCCGCTTCAGCTCCTTGTCCCGCATGACCTTTTCCCGCAGCTGCTTCTGCTTCTCAATCTCCAGGCGGTAGTTACGAGTCTCCTCGTCCTCATCGCTTTGCTGCAGCGTCAGGAGAGAGTGAGATTAGGGGATTAAAAACCAGGAAATAGAAGGCACCTACCACAACGCGGCTGCCAGTGTCCGACGTTCTTCCCCGCGGCTCGCCGGAGAAGGGATTTCGTGTTGCGGAGCCAGGTGATCCGCTCCGCCTTCGCTTGGGCGGCGCTGCCCCTCCTCCACTAGATGTTCCACCACCACCTGCTGGTCCATTGCCCGTGCCTGCTCCTCCCCTGTTCTCGTCGCGGTCCCTACTAGCTGCTCGTCGAAAACACCTATTTCCGGGCGCCCGGTTCACACCATACCGATCTCTATCCCGCTCTCGATCTCTCTCTCTTTCCCGTTCCCTCTCGCGATCTCGGTCTCGCTCCCTTTCCCGCTCCGAGCGCTTGACCGGAGAGTAGCTTCTGCCCCGGGAGCGACTGCGACTGCGGGTGCGTCTCCGCTCGCCTGCCTGCAAGGAGGAAGAGGCGCCGCCACTCGATCCAGAGCCCGCCGGCGGCGGAGAGCGTTCCTTGCGGCGCTTCTCAAAGTACTGCCGGTTCTTGTTGATGAACTCCTCCTGTTGACGCAGAAGTTCTGCTTCGCTGTTGATGGCCGGCATGAAGTGCGTCTCCTTAATGAACTTGTTGGTAGCCGCCTCGACGCCCCCCTTGAAATTCGGATTGATGAGCACCTTGCTCACCCGCGGAACAGAGGCGGGGCCAGCCGGTTGTGGCGGTCCATTCGGCTGCGGCGGCTGGCAGGGATTGTTCGGATTTCCGGCCTGAGGCGGAACTGGTTGGGGTTGTTGTTGCTGCGTCTGCTGTTGTTGCTGCTGCTGCTGCTGCGGAGGGGGTCCCCGGATTCCCATGCCATTGGTAGCGTAGTTGGGGGGTGCGCCCGGCATCAGGTGCGGCGGCAGGGTCTGTAGCGGAGGTCGAGGCATTCGTGCGGCATCCCCCTGTGGCCGCCACCCGTTGTGCGGTCGCATAAACTGCGGCGAGTGCTGGGGCGGATGGCCCACCGCCGGATCATAGCCGTACGACGGCGGAGCATTGCGATACAGTGGCGGCCGCATCCCCGCCGGCTGGTGAGGGGGCTGGTGTGGATTAGGTCCTTGTCCTGGCCCAGGGCCAGGTCCCGGGCCCAAGAGCGCTCCGTTTCGATAGGGACCGCCGGGGTTGGGATTGGCGAACGCCAGCGGCGGCGGCTGCAGCAGGCCCACTCGCACCTGCTCGTGCGGATGCGGCAGTAGGTGAGGCGGATTGTGACCATGACCGTGCCCGTGACCGTGACTGTGACTGTGACCATGGCCGTGGTGCATCATGTGCGAATGCGAGGGATTGTGGAGGGGAGAGGCGGGCTGTGGCGTGTTAGTCGGTGCTTGTTGTTGTTGTGATGACTGATTGGGTGGCTGGGTTGGCGGGTACTGGCCTGGAATTGGAATGAATGTTGGTTTGTTCAGTGTTTGTTGTTGCTGTTTCTGTTGTGGCTGCTGTTGCTGGGAGTGGGATGGATGAATCGGCAGGGACAAGGGTAGCAGACAAGCTGCCGTAGGAGCAGCACCCACTGGCGTACTCATTAAGGCCAGGTGCTGCGGGGTTGGAGCATTACCCGGCATTCCGTAGCGCTGAATCAGCGGCTGCATCCCGGCCAGGCCCATGCGTTGCTGCTGTTGCTGCGGCGACAGTCCGCCGAACAGGGGCGTCGGGTTCCTTAGCAGATGGTGGCGCGTTCCCATACCCCGCAATGGCTTGCCCATAGGATTCTGCTGTGGCATGAAGCGTCCCCCTCCGCCAACGCGTGATTTGTCTGAAAAACCAGAAATTTGTACAAAATTGGCTCGGAAAATGGAGTTATAGCTTATTAGCCCACCTGCGTGGTTGTGGTGCCGCCGCTGCTGATGATAGGGGGACATGTTGGCGTGCTCTTGCTGCTGCCGCATGTTAGCCTCCGACCTCTCGCTGGCCGTCTTGTAGTTTGTGCGCTCCTCCCGTTCCTCCTCGTCTTCGACCACCGAGGCGGAGCTGGCGCTGGGCAGGCTCTCCTGCGATGAAGCCAGCAGGGAGGAATGACCCAGTGGCTCCTGGCTCTGTTCGCTTTCGCTCTGATTACAAGCCGCTTCGACGGGTTCCACAACGCTTTCCACCGCACTCTCGCCATTTCGAGGCGCTTCCTCACCTCCGCATTTATTTTCCGATTTTCCTTCCTCTTCTTCTTCACGGCTGAGTGGTTTCGCTGGCGGATCTGTGGTGGTAGGGTTGGTGGTGGAGGTGGCAGCCACCAGTTCGGTCACTTGCTCGACTGCCGAGCTGGGCATCGACGTGGTCTCGGCAGCGGCAACAACTGTATTGGAGCAGGGATGTGAGCTTTCCGTCACCGGGGGAGTCGATACCTCAATAGGTAGGCGCTCGTTTGCTATTATAGAGGGTTCTTTTGGAGGAGCCGGAGGTGTAACATCCACAACAGTGGGTACTACTGTTACTGGTTCTGGCTCCACTACCGCCGTTGCTCCTGTTCCGACTTCAACTCCTGCTACGGCACCTGCGCCTCCTCCATTGCCAGTCGTAGTTTTCACCACTGCGGCAACTCCCGCCTGTAATTGTTCCTTGTGCTTGCGCTCATGCTGGCGAATTTGTTCCTGGGCCCACTCCTCGGCTTCGGCACGCATCTGCAGCTTCACCTCGCTGGTGACATCTTTTTCCAGCTCTGCAAGAGACACGGGTTTGAATCAATGCTTGAGCAGAGCCCAAGTGGAGTGGGAAGAACTCACCTTCGTCCGAGAGTAGCAACTCATCCTCGTCGGCTCCGAGCAGAGCCTGGTCGTCGATGTCATCGCTGTCATCGCCCAGTTCATAATTGAGCAGGTCATCGCTGGGAATCGAATCGAAAATAGTGTTAAAGGGTTGGATAGCCAAGGTGAATCTGCATTCACACTTTCTGCTTTTTTCCTTCAGGGTTTCCATTGAAAAAAAATAAAATACACATATACACACACGCACACTTACGCAGGATGGCACTCACACACTCAGACTCCCACCCGGGGGCATTCACTCACCCACACGCATTCACCAACACAGAAACACAGGCAGGCAGCAGACGGACGAACGGAGGAACGGATGGTATACATATATTTATATTCAATAACACTCCCCCGCACACACCGCACCAAGGATCCACCGGCAGGTGATCCTCCGGCTACTCCGTGAGGGATTTTTCCCGGGAAACTTACTTAATGTCCGACATTTTGACCAGGGCAGCTGTTGACACTCGGCGACGCGCCTATGTGTGTGTGTTATTAGGAGAAGTGGAACGATCGTTTTTATTGCATCTTGGATAGGGGACCGGGATGATTTTGGTTCGGGATCACAAACCACTATTCGTAGGTCAGTCGCGCGCGTTTTTCCAATCGAAAATAGTCCCCCGAGGTGTATACTTTGGCTTTTTTTCACACCGATTCGTTTAGGGATGTCGAAAATATATTTTTTTCGCTAAAATATCGTATATCGAGGTTCTTTGCGAGACATTTTTTGATATTTTCTGTTTGGTCTCACTAATGTCACACACGGTCTTCACACATCTCTTTTTAATGCTTTGCAACACTAATATAACTCGTGTGTCCAGATGGGCCGACAACTTCAGGGCCCAACTTCAGTTACTAGACTAGATAAAACAAGACCTTTAACAAGAACTTAACTTGTATTTTAATTTGTAGAAATAATTAATCTTTGCGCCAAGCTACTTCCCATAGCATTAATTAGAACATTTACATATTTTTAAGAGTAATAAAAACGATTGAAGATAATCATACGCCTAATAATAATTAGAACCATTAAATGTAAACCTATTTTTAAAATTAAATATTGAAAACAGTAATTTTATACACAGTAATGATACAGAAAATTATCGATAAGAGTGTGGCAAAACCTTGATATGGTTTGAGTCCTTGCTCAATATTTGAAATAGACCTTTAGACCTTTTTTAACGGACAAAAAGCTACAATTTGAAAATATTTTATGATACACTGTGCATCAATGAAACTGAATAAATGCAATCTTAAAGCTGTATCTATAATCTTAATTTACTCAGATTTCTCAGAAAACTGTTTTTAGGTTTTTTGTGAGTTGCTTTTGTACATTTATGCCAATGGCTGTATCCACTTGCACTTGATGGCAGCCTCTGCGACTTTGTCCTCACACGATGCGGCAAATCCAGCACTGCCTTGGATATCAACCTTGTCGTAGTCGAAGCGTAGGCTGGAGTCCCCATCCTGAAGCAACTGCTCTACTCCGTGCCAAGCAATCATTACGCCGTTGTCGGAGCAATAACGCTTCGAGGGGCGGAAACTGCGACATCCGTACTGCCCCGCCAGATGCTGAATATTCGCAAAGATGGTATCATTGTTCGCCACACCTCCGGATACGACCAAAGTTGGTTGGCTATCACCAAAAAAACCAACTTGTGGCTGCAGGCAATACTCCAGGGCACGTTGCGTTCTGTGCATCAGATGACGACTGACTGCCCGCAGCAGTCCGGCACAAAAATCGCCGTAGTTACTAATGATTCCATCGGGAGGCATTCGCTCCGTGCGCTCCTGCTTCCGGATAGCCCGAAATGAGTTATTCTTTATCCCGGCGAAACTGAAATTACAATTGCGTTGCTGGGACAGCGGCAGGGGGAACTCGTAGGCCAAGGGATTTCTGGACAGGCGGGCGGCATGTTCGATAGCCCTGCCACCGTTCCACAGCCGGTACTCGGGCAGGATGTACAGACGCAAACGACGGGCTATCTTGTCAAAGGCCTCACCGGGTGCATCGTCTAACGTCTGGCCAAGCAGCGTCAATCGGCCGGGACCGTGCACCATCGCCAGCTGGCAGTGGCCACCGCTTACGAGAAGACACAGAAAGGGGAACGGTATGGCATCGGGGTGCTCCATACGCGCCTGCAAAGCATGCGCCTCCATGTGGTGGACGGGCAGCAAGGGCTTTTGCAGCCGGCGGGCCAACTGCCGGGCGAAACGAAGGCCCACGAGCAAACTGAGCGGCAGTCCTGGACGCGTAGTCACCGCTATGGCAGCCAGTTCCTCCGGGTGTAAATTGGCTTCCTCCAAGCAGCGTTGGTAAGCAGATTGGATGCGAGCGCGGTGCAAATCCTGCGCTCGAGGTGGGATAATTCCGCCATAGCTGAAATGAAAGGATTTAATGGGGTTTTCTCTATAAGGCGGAAAAGAAACCTTACCGTGTGTGAAATTCTTGTTGGGACTCCAGAACATTTGCTTTCACGTTGCCGGAGGTGTCCACAATGGCTATTCCCGTGTCGTCGCAGGAGGTCTCAATGCCCAAGACATAGCTAACACTACGTGCACTGCATTGCAGTCCCAGTCGGGTCCCATTTCCAATTGCTTTTACAAAGTCAGAAGACCTTCCTATGGAACACCTGAACATAATGACCAGTGTTTAAAAGCACCGGTAGGCAGTATGACCTTGTCATCATTGAGAGATCTCGTGTAAATACCAAAAGAAACTGTATTCTGCATTGACTCGACTGTAATATACCAATTATTTAGATGAATTGTATATAATTTTTTATCTTGTATTCCTAAAATAAAATTAACAAGAAAGGAAAGCTAACTTCGGGCGGAGCCGAAGTTTATATACCCTTGCAGCTAAAACCGGATATATATCGCAAACATCGGATATAGTTGGCCGATCCTTATGAAATTTGGTAGGATGGATCAAAATTTAATCTGTACCAAGTTCCAGCTTTCTATCTTCAAAAACACGAAAGTTGGGTCATTTCCGATCGTTCAGTTATATGGCAGCTATAGGATATAGTCGGCCGATCCTTATGAAATTTGGTACGTTGGATCAACTGACCAAAAATAGAATCTGTATTAAATTTCAGCATTCTATCTTCAAAAAACGAAAGTTGGGTCATTTCCGATCGTTCAGTTATATGGCAGCTATAAGATATAGTCGGCCGATCCTTATGAAATTTGGCATGTCGTAAAGTTTTGCCAAAAATAGCACTCATGTCAAATTTGAACTCTCTAACTCTAAAAACACCAAAGTTATACCATTTCCGATCAATCAGTTATATGGCAGCTATAGGATATAGTCGGCCGATCCCGGTCGTTCCGACTTATATACTGCGTGCAAAGGAAAGAAGGGTGTGTGCAAAGTTTCAAGACGATAGCTTTAAAACTGAGAGACTAGTTCGCGTAGAAACAGACAGACGGACAGACGGACAGACGGACATGCTCATATCAACTCAGGAGGTGATCCTGATCAAGAATATATATACTTTATAGGGTCGGAGATGTCTCCTTCACTGCGTTGCACACTTTTGGACAAAATTATAATACCCTCTGCAAGGGTATAAAAAGCAACATAAAACAAAATTGAAGATACTGCATCAGAGTTTCAGAAGTTTTAGAAAAGTGGGAAAAATTATTATGACGGGGGTACATTCCGAAAATTAAAAAAAAAGGAAAACAAATGAACCAGAAATAACTAAAAAAGTTCTGAAAAAATGGACATCTTAGAACCTGAGAAATGTAACGCTACCGACTTACAGCAGACAAAGATCAATGACCAGGATTCAAATGTCATCAACCCCAAACCCCATATACAATGACAACGGCAGTTCCTCTAACACAACGCATGTACCGCTTAAGTTATCAAAGCAATCACAAAGGTCCATACATACATAATTATATATATTTATATATTTATATTTGTATATATATTTATATTGTTTACATCGACAAAATCACTAACGGTGTCAATATTAGAGAGAACCGCGAACCAATCAACGCCCTAGAATTAAATTTGGATTAAATTCCGCAATCCAGGACAAAACTAAATTATCTGCTGAATCGATTCACAAATATCTATCCTACAAAAAAATAGCTTATTATAAAAACAGATCAATCGAAGGTAGAAAGTCGCAAGAGACGATGGCAAACTGGAAAAAAATTGTTAAAGATCCCCATTACCCCATTTGCATCCTGACACTTGGATGGGTCTGATTCTGACACTTTCACACCTTCAGCAAGCCTTGGAAACAGTTGAAAACAGCCTAATAAACATTGCTTCGGAGATTTCCTCCTTCCTTTTAATAAACAATTCGAACAACTCATGTAATACCAGATCTTTTCTCGAATCCCTAAAGGATATTATAGCCAAAGCCAACACAGAAATCGATCTTAAAAAATTGAAATTTGTAATCTTAGGGCGTAGGGATATTCTTTTCACGCAGGACAACAAAGTTCAGGCAGTGGTGGAAGTACTTTTATCCACAGGTTTTTTTTTGTATTATCCATGGTTCTCACACCTATTCTAACTAACCCTGCTTATAGTTTAGCTCCTGGTGTATCCTTTATTAATAAAAATTCCCTTTATCCTAACTGGACTACTGCAAACTCCAAAATATCCAACAGTAACCACTTTCCAAAATTAATTGAATTAATTAATTTCCCTTCCACTATCACCCTACATAGAACATTAGCGAAAAAAATTATTGAAGACTTTTCCAAAATTTATATAAGCTCCCTTGACAGTCCCTTGTTATAATTAAAAAAAACTATTTTTCTCAATGAAAACAATAGGAATGCATGCAGGCAAAAATTTTATAAAACCAAATAGAGTCAAATAAAAACTACAAATAACTATTTCTATAAAGTCCGTTAAAAAAACACGAATCTTCTTGTTGACTTGCTCTCTAACCCTCAAGCCGCTAAAATCTAAACCCACGCCTAAGCTTTTTGACGACCAGGACCATACAATTTTTTACAGCAAATTATAACAGCTAAGTTTCTTCAATTTGAACTTGAAACCATAAACAAAAATACTTTTCTCCTGATGAAGTTTTAGACTTTCTCAAGACTCGAAACCCAAGTTCTTCAAGAGGATTAGATAATATTTCTCACAGTATATTTCGATCTTTACCTCCCAAGCGAATTCAAAGTTTTTTTTCCATATTAAATAATATTTTTAGTAAAGCCAAAATACTGGATACATGAAGAAAATTTAAAATCGTACCCGTAAAATCACCCTATTCTACCCCTATCAACACTATTAAATCATCTGTGATACATTTTAACAATAGAAGAAGTTCTCTAAATATTATGTGCAATAATCCAGGTTAAAATGACCATGTTATTTATTTAGAAAGAAACCATTAGTACTATGACCATGTTATTTATTTAGAAAGAAACCATTAGTTCTCTTTCAACCATGTTGAACACACACTGGCTAAGGCCAATAAAACAACTATGTTTTTAAATATGGTTAGTGGGTTCTGTTTCGGTATACACCCCAGAAAAGCTCTTACCCTTTTGAAAGCCCTCGTTACCTCACGATTTTTGTCAGGGACATAGTATTATTCACCAGCAGGATTATTCGCCCTGCCTATAAAATAAGATATGCTACGGCTAAGGAATTAGCTAAAATTTTCACCTATAACCTCCCATCTGCCTTTCCTTAAAAACAACTTCTACGCCAAAAATACAAGCTACAGCAAAACGCAGAAATTATGAAAATTGTTGAAGTTATAACGCTTTGTTATAACGAAACAAGTCAGTGCAATTTTACTAGCGCGATTTAAATAAATCAAGATTTTCAGGGTGTTAGAAAAATTTCAAACACGGCTTTACACTTACTCGACCTAATGAACAATTCCTACTAGGTCTCTTCAAAAGTTCGAAATCACTGTCGCACTGTGTAATTATTGTGTTTAATTTTTTTTTTTAAATATCAATCAATTCATGATTTCGCGCTGTTTTAGATTTTCTTGATATTTTACTGCATATCTCATTAGAGTATATATACTGGTACCATTTAGTACCTTTATATTAGTACCCGGAAAAAACGGAATATGAAGATTTTGTATATTAAAAGATACGTGATCCTAAAGCTTCAGATTTTGATTTTTCAATTACAATAGCGAATTCGGCATGGATTTGCTTTAAGGATTACACATTTGGACCATTTCCACGATAAAAATGTATCTCTTTGCAAGCATGGTTCAGAAAATCATTCAAAGTTCCTAATTAATAAAAATAAAAAAGCTTAAAAAACTATAACAACTTCAATAAAATGCTTTTGGCCTTTTCCTTTAATCCAAAATTAAAATATGGTTGCTCTACAACTTTCAACAAGAACTAAAAAATCTTCCATAGAAAAAAAAGAATTATTATTATTATTATTATTAATAATAATAATTATTATTTTTTATTATTTATTATTATATTATTATTTATTATTATTATTTTATTTTCAGTTTTCACAACTTTTAGTGGTACGAAGGGGTGATAGTGAAAAAATCATGGTACTAAATGGTCTAAGGAGATATGCAGTCAAATGTCTGGAAAATTAAATTAATATCCCGCAATTATGATCTGAGAGATATTTACGTTAAAGTAATTTACGATTCCTTAGCTTATGTATGTTCCTCCTTTTGTAAGCCTCGATCTTTAACAATTGATACTGAATTTTTTAAGGGTTCTTGCCAAAATAAAATGGACACTGACGTGGTGGACAAGTGATTTGAAAATATTAACACTAATGGATCTGTTATAGATGATTTCACTGGGAGTTCTTTTTATCATTTTAACAGCAACGCCACGAAAAGTTTTTAAGCCAGTAAGAAGTTTTCTTCACTTTCTTCTTCATTTTCATCATGTGCCGAGTCATATTAATATTAAAGGAAATGGAATAGCTGACACTGCCGCTAAGAACGCCAAAAGCTTGGGAACTTGTATAAATATTAGATAATTATCTAATATAATCAATCAACGATTCTATCACTCACATTTTTATATAATTAAAACTAAATGGGAGCGTGAATATAATACCTTTTGTCTAAAAAGGAACAGAGGATACTGTCTTTTATTTCCATATATTACACTCAAATCATGGTTCACTCTAAACACTGAAATCGTAACAGATTACGGATTAATCTAATTAATAAAATCCTCAGAGGTTATGCTTTTAAAAAAACACACCCTCTACAATTTAAAAGTTTATGACAACCCCACCTGTGATTGCAACTCCAACACCATAGAACCCATATCACTTTATTTTAAAATGTTCAAAACATGAAAATATTCGCAGGAATTTCCCGCTCCTGCTTATCCATTTTTTACTCAAGAACCAATTGAAAATTACAGCACAATAACTGAATTCACCGAAATGGCTAAAATAGATTTATAAGATACACTTTACATCTTTAACTTCTTTAACCATGTTACTGGAACAAATTATCATTATAAACCACCTTCACGTTCAACCTTCAAATGAAAAAAATAAAAAATGTAAAGACCTCTCGTTTACAGTTGGGTATGTCTTTGTTATTTTAAGTTTATTTTCAAATATAATTTTGGACACGTCTTTCGTCAGTTTAAAACTAAATAATAAATATTGGTTTATAAAAAATCGGCGCGAGGCGATTTGCAAAAGTTTGTTTTTCTCATCGGAAACTGTTGCACGGTTGCTTCCAAGCAACATACCCACACACCTGTACTACCTCCTTGGGGGGATTTCGATTGCAGCTTCGGTCTTGCACTATAGCCGGATCATACACAGATATAGGAATTTTCTAGGTTAGTATTTAGTAAGGATATTAATGAAGTTTGGCCGCTTAGCGTTCGTAGTAGACGCGATAGTACAGCGTCTTGGAACGCCAAATGCTGTAGCTGTTGTCGAACTTTAGCAGGTAGACACCCTCGCCCGGATACGAGTGGGAGCCCACATAGACCTCGTTGTAGCACTCGCGTCGGTAAATTGGTACAATGATGGAGATGGGCGCCTTAGGCGCCGCGGTCGGGCTGCCCATCCCTCCCCGATCCTGCCCAATGGAGCCCGACTCCAGGTCCTCGGTCGTGGAGAGATAGTCCTCGTCCACGCAGTCCTCATCCTCGTCGCTGTCGCTCACATGCACGGTCACCTCGTTGGTCACCGGCTTGGCCCACTCGAAATAGATGCCGAAACCGATGTCATAGCTGTCCGTGGCAAACTCCCAGAAAATGCACTTCCCGTTCATATTGGTGGGGACGCGAACCTGCAAAGCGACGGTAGATTTCGTTGTTAAGAACCAGAGCTAAGTAGTATTAAGCATGACCCACCGTTACGGTATCGCCGTGTCCAATGGTGATGACACCGTCACCATCACCGGCGGACACCTCAGTCTTGAACTGCTCGATGTCGGGCCGTGTCCAGATCTTAGCCGGGCGGATCATAACATAGTCGTCGTAATCGCCATCGCCACCCTGCTGCTGATGGTGCTGCTCCTGCTCGCCTCCGTGTTCCTCCATCAGGTTTTGCTCGTCCAACGATGACTGTGCGTCCAGTTCACCCAGCTTCAGGCCGTCCATGGCGTTAACAAGCTCGGCACTTCCGTTGTTGTTGTTACTGGTGGAGTTATCCTCCTCCGACTGAGCTACCTTCTCCTCCATACTTTGGTGGTGGCTGTGGTTTTGATTTTGGTTCTGGTTCTGCAAGTGGAGCTGCTGCATATACTGGTGGTAGTGTTCGCGCTGCAGTTGGTGGATAAGCACAGCCTGCTGCTCCGGATTGCCCGGGAACTGTTTCTCGGCATACAGCTGGAAGTGGAATAAGGACAGAACGTAAATTAAAGGGTATGGGGCAATTAGACTAAAAATGGGTCGTGACCCTTTTTCGAATAGACGAGACACCGCCAAGGCCAGCAATTACCATGCATTATTAAGTATAACAACAACAGGTGGAGTGACCTCCCAGGGGTGGGGAGCACCAGAGACAAAAAATCAATCAAATACCTTAAACTGTTGGTACGTCTGCTTATTGAGAGCGTCCTGTAGCTGTCGCCGTTGCAGTTCCTCCTTGTAGCCCTCTTCGAGCAGTTCCTGCTGTGCGCGCTCCTTTCGCTCCCGTGCCTCCTTTTCCAATTCCATGCGCTTCAGGTCCTTGCGCAACGTTTCGTCCCGGTCCTGTCGTACTGCCTCGATGTAGGGCCGGAAGGCGCTGCACATGGTGTCTAGCAGATCAACGAACCCCTCCATGGCCTGCTCCCGTGTTATCTCACCCAGCAGCTGCCAGTGCTGTTGGCGGTCTCGGCCGATCACATCCAAGACGCCCAGAGCAGGCGCCCGGCTCGTGTTGAAAGGTCCCAGTGCCGCTTGTTGCTTGAAGGCTATTAACTTCAGGTTGTCCTCGTAGGACAGGTGGATCGCCTTGCCGGAATTCTCTGCAAAGATAGGGGTCTTATAACAGTCATATTTGGAAAGATCTTCTTATAAATACGCTTGTAGAAGGCGAACGCCAGGCGATATAGTTCCTGCAGAGGAAATCCCCACTTTTCTGCCGTCAATGCCGGCGGTGCTCCTGAGGCTGTAGTAGCCGCGCTGCTAATACTTGTTGCACTCGCCATGCTGCCGTCGTTTGTGGTGCTATCCACGCTCTCGGGCCCCGCAAACTCAAAATTTTATCCACAAAACAAAACAAAAGTACTCGTTTGTGACGTCTGCTATTAGTGTGACCGTAGTGGGCTCTAGGTAGCACTGCCGTTTTCCAGAACTGTTTTGTCTGATAGGAAGCTTTAAAATACCAAAAATGGGTCAATATTTCATAATTTAATTTTTTTTTAATGAAACTGGGTGCCATTGTTAATTCAATTGAATTAAATTTTATTTTTCAATAATTTGGAACAGTAATGAGCTATTAAATAATAATAAACGTTACGAATCTGAAGCATTTTTTAGTCTGCTGCTCGGTCACACTGAACAACATACCGCATTGTTATTGTTGGAACTACACGTGCAGATAAATTTTTAACTTTTAAATTTAAAGAACCCTTGCTCGACAATGGGCAGCACACGGTTCTTCTTGGCTGATCTGCCAACGAGAACGTCGGAAGCGGATCTGCGCAACCTGTTCCAGGACTATGGACATGTGGACCACATTGACTTGAAGCGAAAAGAGCAGGAGGATGCAGAAGCCAAGGTGATAGCCTTCGTTACCATCCAAACAGACGATGCCCACTACTGTAAGTTAATCAAAAATATAAATTTTTTTTTTTTTAATATTTAGTTTACATTAATGGCTAGGTCTCAACGAGCTAAACTGGCAGAAACTTCATGGATCGAAGCTGCGAGTCTCCTTGGCTAAGGAGTCCTTCCTCGACCGTTTGAAGCGCGAGCGTGAGGAGAATCAGCAGCGCGAACAAAGCCAGCATGAGGCATATGAACAGCCTAGCAACTCCCAGCTTTTGGTGCAGAGCAGTCAAAATAAACGCCGTGTTTTCGGCGAGGACGAGGAAATCGGGGACGATGAGGTAGCGCCAGAGCTGCTGATGACCAAAAAGCGTGCCGCTCACACCCTACACAATGGCAGAATCGTCATCCAGCAGGAGCCGGACGTAAAGCCTCTACACGTTATCGAGCAGCACCGGAAACCGGCGAAGAAGCAGGCGGACACCAACGTCAGCCAAGCTGAGCAAAAGCGGAAGGAATCGCTCTTGAAGATGCGGCAAGAGCATCTGCAGAAAAAGTCGGCAATCCAGCAGGCTCTGGCCGGAATCTCCGTAGACGGAGGCCAAGCCAAGCGGATTAAGTTCAGTTACGCTGAGGATGAAGACGAAAAACCCGCCCAGAAAGCCAAGAAGGATCTCTTCGAGAACGACGATGAAGATGAGGATAACGAAGAGATTGTCCTGCCTCAGCACAAGGGCAAAAAGGGAGAGCGGCTTGTGGAAATGCAAAGCAAACAAAGCCTAGATCCCCGTTTCCGAATTACCGCAAATTTTGTTGAGGAACAGGAGGGGGAAGAAGAGGAGGAGCCGGAGGACGAGAAACCGCTGCAGGAGAGCGAACGCAACTGGCAGATGGGCATTTTGGAGCAAGTAGTGGGTCGCAAGTTGACCAGCGGGAACGAGAACGCAGCCCATCCGGCCAAGAGCAAAAAGATGCTTCGCTTCGACCCCGCCAAAGAGGATCATCAAAAGCTGATGCGGAAAAAGCCAACCCAGGATGCCACACAGGAAAAAGAGACGGACGACTTGGAAACAGAACGAACCACAAGCAAGGCTCCTCCTCCTGTGTCCAAGAACAATTTCTACGTGGTCACCGATACGCTGAAGGAATCCCTCAACATGCGCGGCGATGGCTTCAGTCTGCTGGAAATGTTTGGCACTGCGCCGGACGAGGAGGAGGCGAAGCGCCAGGACCAACTCGAGAAGCTGGGCACAGAAAAGATCCTGGTCGGCAAGGCCTCCGCCAACAAGCTTGGCCTCTCTACGCTCAACCCTTTCAGTTACGATTCCTCCGACAGCGAGGATGCTGAGGAAGGCGTGTTGGAGGAGCCCTCGAAGGTTGGCAACGAAAACAAAGCCCCACCCGCAAAAGAGTCCAAGCAGAAAAAGCCCAAGATAAAGATGGAATCGTTTTTCATACCCAAGAACGATCCACGACTCAAAGGTAAGTGTATATCTTTACTTTATATGGAAACCATGATCAACTTTCTCTTATCTTGCAGAGGGCGCCAAGTTCTTCAAGTCAGCCAAGGCCGAAGTGGACCAGGCGGACTACGACCAGGTTAGGAACCGCTTGAAGCTACTGATCACTAACAAGATTGCCAAGACCAGGAAGAACCTGCCCAGCAAGGAAAACAAGAAGCAAAGGAACAAACAAAAGGCGAAGCCCTGAATCCCTTGTTCCCCCAGCACCCTGGCTCTCGACTGTACATAGAAAAGGTGTCCCATGTTTTCTATTGGGTGTTGCACATTTTTTAGAACCGATTTGTACATACATACATTCTAAAACTAAAAAATCCCCCACAAAGGTGAAGCCCAAGCAAAACCCTCTTACTAGAACTCCTTCAAACCCATCTGTGCGTTGTGCCTGTACGGATGGAGTTAAAATAGGCGTAAGCTCCATAAAATAAATCAATTTTTTAATCGTACATTTATTTAACTAGATTACAAAAAAAAAGAGAAATGGTTTTGTTTTCATGTTCCTGCACAAATGCATTTGAGCCCCTTTGCAGTTCAGCTAGCTTGTTCCTTCGGGTGGCTGGAGCAGATCCGCGGCGCCTTGAGATTCGTCGGGCATCTTGGGTGGGATGAGGCGCGCTTTCTTGCCCTCGCTCTGAATCTTAAGTTAAGTTAAAGTATTTAAAAGTATATTGTTCTCGCTGGCACAAACATTAGGTTTGCCACACTTTGTCCTCAATTTGGCTTTCTCTCTAGAGGAGTGTGGAAATCTCAACAGAAATTCGAGACTCGGCTCGTCTTTGGCACTTGGTTCTCCCCCAGTCGGAGGAGAGTATACGTGTATACATGTACATGTACGTACTTAGGTGGAGGCTTAAGTAGATCTAGTGAGCATCTATACGTATGGTTTCTGCGGCGTTTTTGTCCTACGTGTGCCGTTCATCGTCGTCCTTCTGACCACCTGGCGAGCCAGCTGCACGCGTTATCGCGGGACTCTCGCTCTCATCCACGTCGTCGGGAATCTCGACAACAGCGTTATCGGAAGTTTCTGCGACATTGCCACTATCTGGCTGCTCTGCGGACTTGGTTGGCGATTCGGGCAGGACTACTGTGCTGGCCGTCTCTTCGGGTGCCGTGGTCGCAGGTTTTTTCAAGGTCACTATTGGAACTGGCACTATAGCTGGCCCAGTCAAAAGAGGAGGAGGCGGTGGCGACGGTGTGGATGTCGACGACGGCAGTAGTCGCCCCGCGGCCAGGGTCTCGAAGGCCACCACTGTCCGTTCAAGCAGGTTCATTAACCGCTCCTCCCGGGCATCCATCCGCTTGAGCAGCTCCTCGTCCCTCTTCTCACGCCTCTTAAGGTACTCAATGAGCTCGTAGTTGGTGCTATCGCCGTCCGTTGAGGTGGACAGCTTGCGCCTCTTCTTCTGTGAGGTGGAGGACGTGCAGTCGGAACGATTGTCCGTATCCACGATCACGTCCGGGTGCAGGATGTTTGGGTCCAAGCCTGCTGTGTAATAGTTTTGTGTTCTGCAGGAAGGAGTCATTAGAAGGTTGTGTATCCTGTAGTTTCCGAAAACTCACCCATTGTAGTTTGTTTGCATCAGCTGGATGTCATCCGGATTGAATTCCCCCTCTGAAAGGGGTTCGGATCTGGGAGGGAAAGAAAGTGGTTGTCAATGGAGGTTAAATATTTTCAGTTTCTTCATATTTAGGCTACTTGCCTAAAATCGATTATTTTTCCTTAAAGCTTTATAACTTAAAAGTTTTAAGTTAAAACTGTTACATTTTATAAGTTGAAATTGTTAAGTTTTAAAGTGTTCCCGAAAATTGAAAAACCGAAATGTTAAATTTTTGAAAAATCCTTCTAGTTGTTCGTGGAAAACCTGATTATTTTATAAAATAGTTCTTAATGCACTAAGATCTGAGAAAGAATGGTAGTTAGAGTCTTATTTATACCAGGTATTCGTAGAGTACAAGGGTATATTCTTATTTCCATTCTGGCTTGTTTAAGTTTGAAAAAAATAAAATCCTGATGTAGTGCCACTTGAGAAAATCTTTCGAAGAAACAGTTTTAAAGATATCTGGCGGACTTATAGACTTTTATTCTGCTTTTCCACCCTGTATAAGATTATATGAGATAAACCTAGAATTTTATCCGTTGACTTTGAAGAACCCATGGGGATCACATTTGATTCACTATGCTACCACCCCTAAAAATGCATTTTTCTGTAGCACGAGCTCTGAACATTTTTTTCAAGCTTTATTCATGCCAAGATACTTAAAGGATAAGTTAATATATAAATTTAAGATTCTAAAACAGGGGATTTTTTTTAAGCTTTTTTCATGCCAAGATAAAGGATAAGTTATTTTCTAAATTTAAGATTCTAAAACAGAGAAAATCAAAAGTGAGAATTTATTAATGAGAGAATCCAAGTTATGCTTTCACTAATTATTTAGGACCTAAATAAATTTTATACGTTGCGGGAGCGAAAGAAAACTACCGAAAAAACGCAAGAAGTCGGGAAAATATTAATTTTCATTCAATAATTTTATGGCTATGGGTGCTGAGTCCTGATCAAAAAAAAAAATTATTAAGAGAAGTTATAGATGTTTGAGTACTCCGTTCCGGAAAACCCCGAGTCCTAGAAGTGTGCAACAAAATGCAACAAAACAGTACCGGGTATTGTTATACAACACACGTTTCTTAAAATCTTATTTTGAACAAAAAAAAAAAAAGAATAATGATAAAACCTAATAATGATATTGCTAACTAAAGGATTGTCAGTTGTATTAATCCTTGGAAATTCTCTTTTATATTATATTTCAATATTTTTCTTCTACATTTTTTTTGAAACTTTGTTAAAGAAACTCATTGTTAATAAAATCTTAAGCTACATATAAGTTATGTATTTTTTTCAAATCCTCTTAAAACATTTTCATTATTAACGTGATTTTTCGTCGTTTAGGATATTATTATTGGATAAGAAAATCCAATTTAAAAACACAAATTCAATCACCTAAAGCTTTCGAGTTCAGGGCTTTTTAAAAATTACACATATGCCACGTAGGCCGAATGTGATTTTTCTCAAAATTACTAATACGCACTGTGGGTTACGTCAAAGTGGCAACTAAGTAAGAAAAGCGCTCTTGATACTCACTTCATGGATATGTTGTTGTCGTTGTGGCTGTTGTTCTGGTGGTGCAAGTTGAGGGCTCCGTTGCAGTCCTTTTCGAAGCCAGGCGTTTCGCCGGGATCCTCCATCTGACCGTGGCCCAGACCGTGCCCGTGGCCAAGACTGTGACCATGGATGTGATCCTTAAATGCAGCATTCTGGGGCTCGTCTTCGTCGTCCTCCTCAGTTGCCAGCGGTACGCCGCCTCCGCCCATCTGGAGCTTCTGCGCCACAGCAGCAGCGGCCGCGGCAGCTGCCGCCACCTGAAGCTGGAGGGGACTCTCGTCGTAGACGCCGCCGGGTCCACTCACCGAACCCCCCACTCCGCCAACGCCACCGGTACAGGCCACATCGTTTAGTTGCGCCTCCACAAAGTGATTTGGGAGATAGCGCTCCAGCTTGCTGGCTCCGCTCTGCGAGGAGTCCGTGGAGTGGGCGTGCGACTGGGAGTGACTCTGCGAGAGGCTCTGCAGCAGGCTGTGCTGATGCGGCGTAAGGTTGTCCTTGTTGAGCAGTACCCCCAGCTCGGCCGCTTGCCGCCGCCGCTGGTAGTAGGAGAGCTCATTGTGGTTCTTGGAGGTCAGGGCCAACCGCTTCCCATTGGAGCCCCAGCATTCGCCACGCTGCTCCTCGATCTCCTTGAACAAGAACATGTACGGCCAGTTGCGCCGCACATGCCGTTCCGGGTTCTTCTTCAGCTGCGTGTAGATCTTCTTTAGATTCTCGTAGCGATTGCAGCACTGCTTGGCTGTCCGTTTCCGGGTACTGAACCGGTTCAGCACCTCGGCCACCATCTCCCACACGCTGGCATGATTCTTCCGGTTTGATTGGAAGGCACTTTGTATCCTCTCCGACTTTACAATGTTCAGCAGAGCTACCGATTCCGGGACATTGAAGTAGGACTCCGGTGTGCGTGGCGCCCTCTGGTGGTGGTAACTGCTCGTCACCGGAGGTGGATTTTTCGTCTCCTGCAGGGAAGAAGAAAATTGGGTCTGATTAGGTCTTAACTCTGATTTGTCTTGCAGATTCTACTACAATATGGCCGAGTCTTCATAATTCCTTTCCCATTGAAACGTACCCCTACCCATATTGAGACTGGAATCGGCCGACAATAACCTATAGCTGGCAAATAACTGATTGATCGGAAAGGCTATAACTTTGGTGCTTTTAAAGTTAGAGGGATTTTCTATGGATTATATTTTTTTGCAGAATGGTTTGACATACAAAATTTCATAAGGATAGGCCGACTATATCCTATAGCTGCCATGTAACGGAACGATCGGAGTTCGGTATTTAGTAAAAATACCAACTTTGGTATTTTACATTATAGAAGCTTGGGACTCTTTTTAAATTTTGTATTTAATTAAATTGAATTTTTAATTCTTACTACGATCGGCCAATAATATCCAGTATTTGTGATTTATATCCGATCTTAACTGCGAGGGTATATCAACTTCGTATTCTTTAGATTCGTCTATATGTGAATAAAACAATGACTTCAACGAATGTCGGAATCATATGGAAGTTACTAATTTTGGAAGTGCTGAGCTTAACTGATCTATATCTTAACTATTACTGCTTTACCCAAAAATGGAGGGTCCTTGTTTAGGACTAGTATCTAATTAATTTTATAGATATCTATAAAAATCGTCTGTAAAATGTTACAATAAAACATTTTTCAATTTCAAAAACGTATGTAAGAAAAAAGTTAAAAAAAACAACTTGTATAACTGAGACAATTTTAACCCAAAAATCTGACAGGAGGACACCTCTACTAATCATCTTAGTGGATGAAGCATCAGTCATTTTTTATTCTAAGAAGAATTCGCTGCAAAGATGACTAACCGATGACCAAAAGGCGAAAAGAAGAACGAAGATCGTTGCATATTGTCACATTACAGTGATCAGAAATATGCTCGAGATTGTCCAGTTGATTTCGTTTTCGAAATTCTTCCCAATCCATGAAACGAATGGCAAGCACTTCCGAGTCCGAGACAGAGTCTTGTCTGAGACTGTCTTCCCCCCCACCTGCCCCATCGTTCAATCTGTTTATCTCCCTGGAGGCTGATCTCCCGATCTACCGCTCCCGAGACCCCAGACTCTCTTACCATTTGGCAATTCTGTTGTAGTCAGCGGCTTTTCGCGGCGCCCTCCTGCTCGCACACTCCTCGGCCGACCGACGAACCGTTTCTGCTGAGAAGGCGTAACGCTGAGACCCTCAATCTTATTCTCGTTCGCTTCTCTGGCGCGGGGATGACTCTCCTCTCCGGATTCTTCTGGTTTCCGCTGCGCGCACTCTAATGGCGACGGCGTCTCCTGGTGATGTTGTTGCTCTTCTGGATTGAATATTTTCCGTTTTTACACTCTAATGGGGTTGGCATTTCCAAAATGTACATAAATGTCCGTAGGATGACGCCACTCGCTGGGCCCTCTCTTGTTAACGGTCTACTGTGGATCGGTAATCGGTAATCGGAGGTGAGAAGACTGCCAAGAATGACGGAGCAAAAGTAGAACGTTTAGTTAAAGCACAAGAACCGAGCCAACCGTATACAAATCGGAATAAACGAGCAAACGAACGCGACTTTTGTAATTCTTTGTTTTTGTTGCAATTGTTGTTTTGGTTAATGTTGTTGTTGTTGGTTTTACTCGCATTTTTTTTGTTGCTCACAACAACGACTATTAATATTTAGAAGTTAACCTTTTAGCCTCAGACGGCGGAACATCGGCGGCTTCATCGGCTACGGCAACGTTGGCAACACAAAACACAGACAAAAAAATTAAAAATAAAAATAAAATAAAATTTAACACAAAAAACACTCACACACACAAAAACACATAAGAAAAGAAAGAACAAAAAAAAGAAACAAGTCACAAGCTTATATGCACATGTGCAGGTCCGTGTCTCGTATCGGGACGTTTACAGTTAGCTTTGCCGTTACTTTCGACACTGTTCTTGCAGCGGCAGGTCGTCAGGACGTCCTGCTAGCCAGCAGTTACGAGCTTTCGCTTGTTGCCTGTTGCCTTTCTTCCTTTCACAATCCCGCCTACTCCGCGCACTGTCTCTCTTCGTCGCGCTCTCCCACTCACTCACTCACTGACAGGTACGCCTCTCGCGACCGAAGCGGACTTTCTAATACTCTCTCCCACTCACGCACGCACCCACGCCATGGACCGCGGCACACTGAGAGAAAATTGTCCGGCTGCCAGTGCTCTCCGTTAGCATAAACACCAGTACCAGTCGGTCCTGAGATTCAAACTAACCAACTAAAACTAACCAAACCAAACCAAACAACAACGAAACTGAAACTGAACTTTTTCGCGGCGATCCCGTTGCCCGATACTAACGGCACTCGCACACACATACGCCCGAAAGAGAGCACTCGCACTCACACGGGCCGACACACACACGGATGCGCATATAGTCGGCGCTACTGCCTACGATCGTTAGGCGGACGACGGGCGATTGCTCCTCGGAACGGCTGCTGCTCTAACTTGGTAGATTGCGGCGGAGAGCTGCCTTTCATCCGTACCCGTGCTCTCTGTACCCCCTACCCCCTGACCCTCTCCTGACGTTGCCGTTGCCGTTTCCATACCAATTCCCATTCCCATTTCCATTCCCGTTCCCAATTCCCCCCCCAGTTCCACTTCCATTCCCGTTTCCCGTGCACATGTGTGCCGCATACACAGCTGGGTGCACGTGTGTGCGGGTATATAAATATACATAAATACATATGTATGCCTACTTATAGAATCGGGCAGAGACAGCGACGGAGACGGAGACGGAGACGTAGTCGGACACTACGGTCGCAGCAGCAGCAGCGGCAGCAGCGACGCAACATTTCAAGATCCCAACAGATCCGACTCCGAGAGCAAGGCAAACAGTTACTCCGATTTGATTCCTACTTCAGGAATCCAAAACACACGCACACCAGTACACCCCTAGACTTATTCTCTCTCATTGCCGTCCTCACCGCCTCCGTCTCCTGGCCCCCTTTTTGGAGAGCGGGATCTACGAAGAGTCGAATGGGAAAAATCGTAGCCTTAAAATAGATCCAAGTATGCTGCATGGTTGGCACCCCAAGTGGCTGCTCAGATGCGATCGGTTGGTTTCTACATGGTTTCGAATTTTTCGGTTTCGGTTGATGATCCCTGAAACTGCAACTGCAACCGGCGAGGCAACTGCAGCAACAACTGCTTCTTGCAACTGTCTCATTTAGTTCAAAGCAAGGGACGCCATCTTGCCATCTGTCACAAAATATGTCATTTCAACAACGGATTTGTTTCAGCTAGAATTTTCGTTTGTTTTCTTTTCATTTAATGATTATTTTCATCATTACATCAAGATTAAGTGTTGAATATTTAACAGTTATCTTTAAAAAAATAACATTAAATATAGAAAAACATAAGTGGAAAACATAGTATAAAATCTTTAATAAAGTTTTTAAAGTCTTCATGATTTTAATAACGATTTTATACATTTTCCCTGCCACTGTCATTTTTACCCTGTTTTTCTCGATCATAAATTATAATGTTCTGTAATATTTTTATTTATAAATATTAATGTACGAAATAGGATCCTTAACTATTTTTTCGATTCTTAGCAAAACAGGGCTTAAGAGTTTGCTCTTAAGAGCAGGCCTTATAAGCCCTAAGGCCACTCACAGATTATGGTATAGGTTCCAATAAAAAAAGAGTAAGTCATGAATATTAAATGTAATTAGCATAAACTTTGCTCTCACAACAGAGATTCTCTAGGAACCTTCAAAAAAAAGTTACAAGTTTGTTGAATGTTTTATTGTATGTTTATTCCAAGTATAAGAATGTTACATATAAAATTAATTAACTTTTCAGCGTTGCTTTAAAGGCGCTTTTTTTCAAGTATTAAAAATTCAAATAGTTTTCCGAAAGAGTCGTATTTCCAGCTAGAGCGACATATGTAGATTGGAGTACAGGCATACCATACTGTCCAGAACTACCTTGCTTAACCAAACCCAAACGATTATCCAAACGAAGACTATGTATATTTATATACGACGAAGTATATGCAATGGGCGCTTATAAGCAGATGCAGATATATGCAATGCCATAGAGCGGTCGCAAATGTTTATCAGTTAAGTAGAATTACAGGCGCCTCCAGCTTGCCCAGTGAATCCTATTTTGTTTGGGGCTTCGCCGGTCACCTTTGACACTTGGCCGATGAGGTGTGTGAGGATTTTTCATTGATTAGTTAGGAGCGACATACATATGTACAGACCGTAATGGCTGTAGGGACTGACTCACGTGTCGATCGATCGATCGATCGAGCGATCAACAAACACTCGAAGGCATGGAAAATGCCCCACTAATCGTTCGACTTTCGTTTTGGGTGGCGTTTGTTGGGGCTGTACAACTTTTACTCACGGCACCACCGTTATTTTTAATTTTTAGTACATAAATATACACACACAGACACAGAAACCAACACATGGGCGTATGAAACGCTTGCTCTGCCAACGATCGTATTCTATTTGTAATCCAAAATAATTGTATGTATCTGCATCTGTGGCTGTAGCTGTAGCTATATCTGCATCCCATACTATGTGGTTCGCTTTACGATCTCTCGATGGGCCCCACCCACTCACCCATCACCCTCCCCCCAAATTCATTCGCTTTTCTTAATTTTTCTTTCCAAAATTAAGAACTAAAAACTTGTATTCCGAACCCAGATCAGATATAGAAAGCTCTATATGCCCCGTAGTTTCGATAATCGCAGCACCCGCTCCAAACAATGTTTGCCGGCGTTCGGGGTTATCGTCTCCATTCCCCGTTATCATCCCGGGAATAACATAGTTGGCCCGTAGACCAGATTCCGATTTCCGAGTCAACGACTTTTCTTTTCACTAAACCCTCTACCAGATTACGAATTTATTAAAAAAAACTGAGTTAAACTTTTCCGATTACCGAATCCGAATCTTGTTTCTTTCCGTATTTCTACTTATACGTAAACCTACTTTTTCGACAATAAAAAAAGCTTTTAATTGTACTACATACATAACACATACATAAATATGTCCGCAAAATTTTGATTATCACTTATATTTTTTTTTAAAGTTCAAGATTGGGTGGTTGCCAAAAACATTATAGATTCAAGTGATCAGTTTCTGTGTAAAAATACCAGTTTAATTGTTTTTTAAGGTGAGTGTTTAAAGTTCTTCCCATGAAAGAATGGCGGTATATCCAGTTCATGAAAATAAAAAATGTATTTATTGAACGCCGTTGGTTTTTCATTTTAGCTTTATTTCAGTGGAATTGATTTTTCTAGTTTTAGGATTTTCTTGTAGTCCTCAAAATCTCAATGAACTAAAAATTATTTCATTTTTAAAGTTTTAAGTTAAGATCTTTGTGTGAAAACTATTCTATAATTTTAAAAAATACCTCGAGTTATATTACAGCCAATCATTATTTTATTGAAGTAGTAAATAACACAGAAAACAATTATGGATGTCAGTGAGAGATTCTAAAGAAATTCCTAATATTGGAAATCATTAAAAGATCTATAAACAAAGTCTACTGGAAGAAAAAACATAATATTTATAAAAAAAAATACCTAATTTTTTGGCATTATGCAAATAAAAAATTAAGAATATGGATTCGCTCCAGAATAAGTTGATGTACATATTGTAACTCAAAATTGTCAAATATGCTCAGAGGTAGAGCTTTTAAAGAAATCCCAAATGCATTTTTGAAAATGGTTAAAATTTCTTAAGCGAATGTAGTACGGATATAGAATATAATGTGTACCCGTTTGTAAATTGGTAAATGCTCTTTACCCATTGACATTGCCAAGAATCTGTGCGGCGTGGATGATACATCGACATATGTGACTACGTATATTTTTATGTGTGAGTGTATGTCTGTATGTACAAGATTTGTATCTGAATCTGAGGCCGTTGCGCAGAGTGCAAGTATCTCAGTATCTCTGTGCTTTATAGCTATTGGTTTTTGGTCGTTTCTCGTTATATTGCGCGGCTGTTGTTGGCGGCCGCTTTCCGTTTTGAAACGAAAATGAGTACAAAGGTTATTTTTAGAAATAAAATTTTCTTGATTTTTACTCGTTAACATTCTGTAGTTGCTCCGTTCTGTAGTTGCTGTCCGTCCGTACGCCCCTCCACGCCTCTTTCTGTTTTCTTTAGCCTCCTCCGCGTCACGATCCGTAGTCGTAGTATCCGTATATGTGCATTTGTACGTCGGTATCTGTACGCCTGTACGCTCTATATCTGTATCTGTTTCTGTAAACTGAATCTGAATCCGAATCTGTTTCACTTCTGGGTTTCCCAATGATCTTTAGCGTCGACAGTCAGATCTTTCCTCCCCCAAAGGGCAACTCAAGTAACATTAGTTTCGATAGTTTCTGGCTTGCATCTCCAATATACAAAAATACAAACATGTGTCTACACTTAGAATTATATTTGTAGATTTTTTAAACAAACAACAAAATTTAGTAAAGTAAAATTAACTCAAATTGAAGATGATATATTTTATGAATTAATATCTATTAATAAAATTAAATCTTTGGTTATACGTAAGTCTGTAAAAAGGATATTTTACGGTTTGATCTAAGGTGCGAAACATTATATATATTTTTTATCTCTTTTACAATATATCATGAAAAGACAAGAAAGGCAAGCTAGTTAGTTAAAACCTTGCAGTTAAAACCGGATATATATCGCAAACATCGGATATAGTTGGTCGACACTTATGGGAATTTATTACAATAAAAAACCTAAAAAAAAGTCCCAAGCTTCTATCTTCAAAAATACAAAGTTGGTATTTTTACCAAATACCATTTCCGATCGTTCAGTTATATGACAGCTATAAGATATAATCGCCGATCATTATGGAATTTGGTGGGTCGTATTATTTTGCTGGTCGTCTTAATAGAAGCACTAATGCAAAATCCAAACTCTAAAAACACCAAAGTTATACCATCAATCAGTTATATGGCAGCTATAGGATATAGTCGGCCGATCCGACTTATATACTGCGTGCAAAGAAAGAAGGTTGTGTGAAAAGTTTCAAGTCGATAGCTTTAAAACTGAGAGAATAGTTTGCGTAGAAGCAGACGAACACACAGATGGACAGACGGTCAGACGGACATGCTCATATCAACTCAGGAGGTGATTCGGATCAAGAATATTTTATGGAGTCGGTGATGTCTCCTTCACTGCGTTGCACATTTTTGGACAAAATTATAATACCCTCTGCTAGGGTGTACATTTAAATATCATTTAGAACACTCTCATTAAAGAACTTTACTTTTAGTTTCTAATACCTAGTCATAAATCTTGAACATCCATTTCCATGACACTGATATTTTTCCCAATGTATTCATGGACCAACAGATGGAAAGATGAGTGAGTGCATGTGCCTATCTTACATCGGATTAGAGACGATTCTCTCGCACGGAACACCCAAGAAAAAGCAACCAAGAACACCAGCAGCTACTTATAGCAGTACACGATCTCCGGGGGAACGTTCGTCGAACGTTGTATGCCAATGACAGCAGCACCGACGAGAGTACGTAAGATTTATGGTTGCTATTTTTAAAGCGGCATATTAACAACAGTAGACTAGGGTCCGTACGAATACCATACGAAAACGTATGCTAGTGCTGTGTACTTTTCAGAAAACATTTTCCATTAACTAGGCGAGGATTCTAGGCAGAGATTATTGGACTGAAATGAGATATTTCCTTTAGAGGTGTATGACCTTTTATTTAAGAAAAAGAACACCAAGGAATAATATGTTTTAATCAAAGTACTTCAAAAAACCCTGACACTATGGAGAATATACTCTTCATTTCAAAAAAGCCTTTGAAAATCCTTAAGCCGCGCCATCTGGTGGCAAATACTCGCACCAAAGCAGGCTCTGGGGATTATCCTTTTTAGTGGCAGAGCTTTCGGGCGCCTCAAACGAGATAACAGATAAGGGGACACGACAGGTGAGGGGTGGCAGGGGCGGGGAGAAACAGCAAACAGCAGGTAACAGGTGCGCACACATAAACGGCTTGTCCCGTTACACAATTGGCATAACAGCGGCAGCAACAGCGACGCCTCTGGGGAGCGTGTGTATTTACATACCCTTGGGAGACACCAAACACACACTCACCCATACGCTCACAGGCACACGGGTTGCCGAAAAAAGCGAAAGTCCAAAACGCCCACGCATAACGCTAAAGAGCAACGGGAGCGAGGGGGGTGGGTTTGTGCGTCTGCGCTCTTGCTGCTTGCACTTTCTGTTGCCTACTTTCCTGCGCGCCAGAGTAAGAGAGACAGCAAGAGGGAGAGAGAAAAAGGAAGTGGGAGGAACGACAATGGCGTGCGTGTGAGTATGCTTTTGTGTGTCTGGGAAAGGAGAGGGATGGAGCGAGAGCGAAATCGAAAGTTGGAGGCACGGCGAGAGTGGGTGGGTGGGACTTGTAGCTTTGGGGCATAGAGTCGGGACGAAACTCTGTTATAGATACAGGAAGTTCACGCGACGGCGTTGCCGGATCGCTGGAAATCCCAAAACTTCGCCGCCATGAACGCATGTAATTGTTGTAGTTGTAAGGCGAAAGCTCCCCAGCGAAAGGACCGACCGAAAGCGAAGCACCAGCAAGAAGAAGCACCATCAGCACCATCAGCAGGACCATGAAAGTGGCAGCAGTGGCAGTGGCAGAGGCAGCAGCAACGAACGTGAACTCGGGCACATTTTTTTCGCTCCACTCTACGCTCCATCAAAAAGTGATACACACGGAAAAATAGCCAGCATTCATTCACCGAATATACCGAGGCAAGGAGCACGGCCGCCATCCCAAAGAAATCGAAAACAGCATATAATTAATTCAAATAATTAATCGCTCTAATTAAACTTTGAGTTGCAACCGAGGACTTTGACTTTTTGTTTGTGTGTGTGTCTGTGCGTGCGTGCAGCTGTGAGCTAAGAAAACGGTACAAGAAATAATACATATACATATATACACACACACGTACGTCCATTGCAATTCCGTTCGTGTGTGTGTGTGAATGTGAGTGCGTGTGAGTTAGTTTAGGGGCCACGTGAAGGCGAAGGCGCGCAACAACAGCGGCCGAGGAAGCGGGACAGGAACAGGCAGGCAGCAGCAGGAGCGCTAGCCTCGCAGAGGGGGCGGAGGCGGAGACGGCGACGGAGGATAGAGAAAGTGACAGTGCTGGCGAAAAAGCGAAAACCGAAAGTGAAAAGTAAATCGTGGCGGAGGAGGCGCGCGTGTTGAGGAAACAGGATCTTTCGGCCGTAAACTGTTGAATATAGAATGACGTTGCAGACAAAAATCAATGTGAAGCATAAAAAAGCAACAGAAGTCGAAGCAGGAACAACATCAGAATCAGTAGCAGAATCAACAACACGAGCCTCAACTCTGCGCCGCTTACTTATTTAAAGCGTGAAAGAGCTAGCGAGAGGCGGACTAACGGTGTCCAGTTAACAGTAACAAGTCAAGTGCAACAGCGAGCGAACAAAAACAAGGATAAAGAAATCCAAAAAAAAAAGGAAGAACGGAAACAAAGAGTAACATCTCCTGCTCTTTTATCGCCACTCCACTCGCACTACCACCCATTCCCACGCTCTGCCCCACTCTCACTCTCTTTGGGTTAAAAGAGCTGCGAATTTGATAACTGTTGAAAGAGGAAGTGGAAGAGGAAGCACAAGCAGGACGAGATGAAGCCGTCGGATTTGTTGTTGGTGCTAGAGAAGGTGAGTTAAGTGGGAAGCAACAAAAAAGCCAGGCCGAGCATAATGCAAGCAGGTTAAAAAGTTTATTTTTATTTTTGCTTCTTTTTGGAAGCCGAATTCACAGGCTTTTGGTCACTGCTAAAATTGGAGCCCCCCCTGACCCCCTTCTTGGGAACGCGTGTGCGTGTTCCGCTATCCAAGTCTGCATGTGTGTGTGAGTGTCTGAATGGGAGCTCTGTTGTAACGGTATGCCGTAAAAAGGTCATTATGATACCGAACGCCGACGCAGACACACAAACATGTGTCTTTTCCAAAGCCAGAGTCTATGCCTGTATGTGTATGTGTGTGTGTATAGGGACTTATGCAAATCCATTTGGTAGTATGAAGCAGGAGCAACTCGCGACACCCACTCACACACTCACAAGCGTCCATTCGGCATGTACATACATCGCAACACCAACAACAACAACAGCGGCAGTAACAACGAGCTTCAAAGCCGAAGCGTAAAAACAACAACAAAAAAACACACACACACAAACATACATACATACAAACTGACACTCGTACACACGTATACGGACAAAGAGTTTCGGGTGAATGCGCGAAAGGGACGGCAAGGTGGCCACATTTTTGGCTCGGCGTTATCTTTATTGCCACTTCTGTTGCGCTGGCCCTTTACAGCCGCAACTGTAATTGGAGCAGCCGCTCGTCTCTAGGCCAAATCCCCCCGTTTCCATTTCCCAATCCCAATCCCACTCCCAATTCCCACTCCCCAATGAAACACAAAAACCACAGCGCTTCTGGCCGCCGTTGAAGCTTATCCCACTGAGAGGGGATAGCTCTATAAATAAAGCATCTGTTGTGGGAAGGCTTAGGTGGGCGGGAGCAAGCCAGCAAGACCGACAACCCAATGTTGTGATAATATCACTCATACGCAGTGTGTGGCTGTAACGGCGGGATCGAGCTTGACCAGCCCAGCCCAAAAGTATGCTACACAGCCGGTCATGCCGCAGGAAGCGCTTCCTGTGCGTTTCTCTCTTGCCTAAAAATAGTTATGAATAAGTGATGGCCGACAACAGAGCACAAAGGAAATCATGCTTTCACAATTTCTAATTTATCAATTTTTTTGTCAGTCAGTCAGTCACTCAGTTTATCCGTCTGACAGTAATTCTGCATGCAAATTGCAAACATAAGCCGCTTGTCTTCCTCAGTTGTGGAAAAATCCTGCATTATGGACTTGCCCGGCTGGCGAAAGCAAAAGCCCATTCAATCCCGCCACTACCCCATAACCCGATTATCCTTCGCTCTGTTTAGACCAGTCCCCCGATGTGCAGGATGACCTTTTGTGGTAGTGCATTTACGGCTCATCCCCTGGCACTTTCGAGCCATTAATAACCGCAACTTGCTCAAAAGGGGGGAACTAGAGACTGGAGGTGGCCAGAAGCCGGAGTTGAAAATGCTCTTAGAGCTCTAAAAATTATTCAATTTGCGGGGGATTCAGGTTCTTTATCCAAGTATTTATTTTATTAGGAATATACAAAACAGAGCAATAATTAAATTTCCTGACCCGCTGAGAGTCCTTTTGAAAACGCTGGATGGGTGGAAGCAGGTTGGCCACCAAATGTCGCCGCAGCATGCAACTTGTTTGCACACAAAGGATGGCACAAGGATACCGAGGATAATAAAGCATGAAGTGGGGCTAGGGGCTTGGAGCTTGCGATGATTGCTTGTTGCACTTGACATGGAAGATGCGTTGTGGCAGGGTATCTGGCGGACCGGATGGGCGCTGTTTGGCTGCTCTGATTGCGTCAAGGCCTGGTTAGTGGTCTTTGTTATTGCTGTTGACTGTCCCGGAACCAAGTCAAGTCCATTTCCCTTTCGCCCACAAGCCTTCACCCTCGGTGGATGGAAAAAGTACACACACTAGTACACCACAAGGACCGAAGATGAGGCGACTCTGCGGTTGACTGCCTTCCCGCTGACATGGCATTTAACTTGGCAGGGAATGAGGATCCACTATTGCAACTGACATCAAAGCGCTGGAGGCTCCTCCTCAGATGTGGGTGTGGGCATTAGAGGTCCATTTTATGATCTATTTGCGGAGGGCGGAGATAAGGACACTGCATCCTTCAAGTCTAATTTCATTCCATTAGGTGGTAAAGGGTACAGTTTATACACAGCTTTATATCCTTAACAGTTGTTATCTTTATATTTGAAACCAAACCGGACATGCTATCGGTTTTATTCTCCAGCGTTTTTCAGCATGTTACTCCCAGTGTGGCCTTAATTAATTTTTAAATATCTCATAAGCCCTGCTGCCCACGAAACACAGTTTTGTCCTTGAGAGAGGGAAAAATTGGGCCAAGCCTCTAAGTTGTTTTAGATTCGCCTTGAAAATGGAAAAGGAGGGCACAGGCGGACTGGACTTGTTGCAAATATCGATTGCCGAGTCCTTGCAGGCAACTTTTTTTTTCGCTATGCTGAGGATGTTGAATGATGCCCACGATAGCGCCCGTCTCATCTCCCACAAGTGTAGTGATGGGCCCTCACATTAATTGTCCTTTCACTCCGATTGCAGGTCAAGTTCAGGGTGCCACTGCCACCAGGAGTCAGCTCAACGACGCTCCTGCCCAAGCTCATCCGCACCAAGGATGTGAAGCAGCTGCAGGATGGCAACGCACAACCACAGAAGCCAAAGCTAACGGTAGGCTATACACATCGACATACTTTATGGATATCCTTTGAACATCCTTCCATCAATTTCGCCCTCAGAAATGTCTCAACACCCTGGACCTGACCTCCTTGGGCATCGGCTCCTGTTGCGGAACGGGCATGTACCTGGTGGCCGGCATGGTGGCCCAAAAAATAGCAGGACCCGGAGTGATTATTAGTTTTATTATAGCCGCCATAGCGAGTATTTTCTCAGGTATGTACACACATATACTTCCAGCACTTAAGATACATAGAATCCTAACTGATATCTGACTAATTGGCTTCATTGATGGGCTTTGTCCTACTTTGTGTAGTATTTTGATGAATTTTTTAACAAAAAAAGGGTTTTATTTACCTAAACTTTGAATCAAAACTATAAAAATAATTGGTATTTTTGACTTCAACTTTTTTTAAATGGGATGATAATATTTAAAAAACAATTATCATCTAAACACCCAATACCAATAACAATTTTACATTGTTGAATTACATTGCATTGTTAAGTTATAAGCCAAAATATGTAGCTTTATTGGCGGTCTTAATTCTGACACGGCTGACATCATTCATACTTAAGTATTAAATAAGCAAAATATAAGTATCTATAGTCGATAAATCAAAATAAACATTCTAATATACATATGTACATACATGTAAAAACTTTACTCAGAAAAATATCCTCAGTTCATATGTGGTACTTTAACAAACGATTTTGACAAACTTTAATTGCGGATGTTGAAATTAAAAGCTTCTATTTTGACCAAAACTTAAATCTCATTTTTGAAAAATAAAAAATCCTAGCCCGATCGGACGAGTACCGGACTATTATATATACATAGAACAAGAAAGGAGAGCTAACTTCGGGAGGAAGTTGATATAGCCTTGCAGTTAAAACCGGATCGGACAGTTGGCATCGGATATAATTGGCCGATCCTTATAAGAATATCATAATAAAACCTAAAAAAATCTAAAATCAAAATTGGTATTTTTACCAAATACCATTTCCGATCGTTCAGTTATGGTTCGGAAATGGTATTTGGCTATAGCAAAGATTATAAAGTACATAGATGGGACATCAGGGCCCAAAACGGTCAACTTTTTGCGTCGAGCTTGTTGGTGAGGGGGGAACGCACATGCACACGATTCTATTTTTAGAACTCTTTCCATGTATCCGTCAACAAAAATGTGAACCTATGTGTGTATGTGTGACTGCTCGCACGACGGAGTAAAAATGTTTTGGCTTCCAAATTTCAATTTCAATTTCTCGTTTCTGTTTCCGATGCGCCGATGTGGTAGTTTGTAGAACAAATAGTATTTTTGATCGCCGCAGATCGAGACAGGATGGTAGCGTAATGCAAAGAGTAGCTACTCTATGTGTAATTTTTCTGTGTTCAAATCCTCGTAAGGGCTTTGAACTTTTTCTTTCTTTTATAATTATAATTATTATTTTTTTTTCTTTAATTGTAATATTTTTCTTTAATTTTACAATTGTAAAATTGTTTAATTCTTCATTATGTCCGGCTAATAAAATTTCAAGGGAGTCCTTCCGGCATTTTGTCATCAGACACGTCCGTCACTTATTTTTACTTTAATTGTTTTAGAATGCAATTAAAAATAATAATAATAACGTAAAAATTAAAACTAAAAAAAAAAAAATATAAAAATAAAAGTAAATATAAAAAGAATCATAAAACTAAAACTTTATCAAAATCGAAACAACCGCCCGCTAATGAAGTCGAACCCAGGACCCCATGAATAAGGACCACGCACTATCCATCTAGGCTACCCTCGAAGTTGATTTTATGATACTTAAAATTGGTATTAGAGGAGGCGCTAGAATCCATACCAAAAACAGAGCTGACGAGTAAGGATAGTAAAAGATATTTCTGATCTCTTTACTCTTACATTGGTTCGATTACAACGTTTCAAACTTTCATCGTTCCAAAGATGTTACGATCTAAAAATAGAATTCTCTCTCTCCCTATCTCATCTGCCAGCCGTTTGTCGTGGAACCCGCTCTCAAATGTTTTCATTATTACAGCGGGTTCCACGACGGAAAAATGAAAACATTTGAGAGCGGGTTCCACGACGCGGCCTGCCAAAGTGCCGTAGAACCCGCACTTATAGACATTTTTACAGCGGGTTCCACTACGAACTGAGACGATGTTAAGGTGATTTTACAATTTTGTATTTTTTTTTATTGGATTATAAATTTAGGAAAACACATTAAAATAATAAAACAATAATATAAATAGATTTAAAATTAAAAAAAAATGGATGTCCCGAGCCGGGTTTGAACTCATTTTACTTTGCACACCAGCCAAGCACTCTACCACTCGGCTATTCCTCATTCGTTGTCTCGCGAAAAATTTCTCAAACTTAACTTGTCGCGCAATGGAACCCGCTCGTTCCAGCGGGTTCCACTGCTGGAACCCGCCATAGAAAATTTTTCTTTGTATGAGATGTCCCATCTATGTACTGTATAATCTTTGGCTATAGGCTATTATGGCTATAGGATATATTCGGCCGATCCCGTACGTTCCGACTTACATACTGCGTGCAAAAAAAGAAGGGTGCAAAGTTTCAAGTCGATAGCTTTAATCTCAGTTTTGTTGAGACATTGAGGCTGAGACTGAGAAGTTGAGTCTAGTTTGAGAGACATGAGTGCTATTTTTGGCAAAATAATACGACCTACCAAATTTCATAAGGATCGGCAGACTATATCCCATAGCTTCCATATAACTGATTGATCGGAAATGACCCAAGTTTCGTGTTTTTGAAGAAATAATTAATTTTTTAAATAAATTGGTTATTTTATGATATTCTCTTAATGGTCGTCCAACTTTATGCGACTTTTGCGATATATGTATATCCGGTTTTAAATGCAAGGGTATATCAACTTCGGCTCCGCCCGAAATTAGATTTCCTTTCTTGTTTTAATTTGAAAGACAGGAAGAAGATCTTATAGAGTAGAGACCATTTTAGTTCGAACAAAAGACCCTAAAAGGGTCGTGAATATTTTCTAGAGAATATTTTCCCAAATTTTCATAGAGATCCAAATAATAGTTCGATAGGAAAACAGCGTTTTGAGGCGCGGTTCGTCACGGCGGCGGACAGCGTCAAGCAACTTTGAATGCGATTATCTCAAAGTCGTATTTTTCCAAAAGTGCCTTCGCTGTGACCACGATTGCACAAGAACTATTTGATCGATCTTCTCCAATTTTTTTTTTAAATTATTCGTAATGATTGTGCCGAGTGGAAACTGGAAATAATACTATACTAATAAAAAGTTTTTGGTTTTTTGATTTCGGTTGACCTGCTAGACTTCCATCGTGGTCACCGCAAGCCGCTATAAAAAAACAGGGTTCCGAGAGAATTGCCAAACCTTCGTAAATTATTCATATTTTTTCAAGAACAAACGCTTGTTGTTTCGATAAAAACATGTACTATCAATAAATAATAACTTCAGTGTCATAAAATAATTGCTACACACCTGAAAAAAAAATCCAAAGTTCCCTCAATTTTTTCGCTCAAAAAGGTATATAACCCCTTAAGCTTGGAAAGTGTATTTTTAGGAGTCTACTACTATAAGATGGAAAATAAAGATGTGCATCCCAGTTAAGACCTCTAAGTGAAAATGTTAAGAAATACTTTTGTACGGACTCTATGCGATCCTGATGTACTCCATTGGGGACTCCAGACACATGAACTTTACTCCAGTATCGGACGGACCAAAGAAATGTATTAGATTTTAGTAATATAGGGTATAATAATAATATAGTAATTTATTTCTTTTAACCATCTTTTAATGAAACTAAGGACACCTTTAGCCTTAATAACCATTGTGGAAATATGGTCGGCAAATTTAAGTTAAGAGTCAAATAGGACGCCCAGACCATTAACCTGAGTTCATGTTTTTAAGGCAATTCCATAGATAGAATACGTAGCCTAAAAAGGGAAAGAACGATCAAAAGACATAAGCTTGCATTTTGATCCATTAGGTGTTGCATAATCTGCTAAACACCATTATTGAAAATGTTGAAGATCGGACTAAAGATTGTATTGGGCAGAGATGGATTTTTACTGAAGACAAAGCTTAACATCATCTGCATAAATAAAAACTAGAGAGTTCTTTCAAGCAGAGGGTAAGTCATTAATGAAAAGAGTAAATAATAACGGGCCAAGATGACTTCCTTGAGGGACGCCAGATATAGCGCTTACCATCTGTTCTTCCATCTAAGTAGCTGGAGATCCACGTTAGGAGGTCTGTATGAAATCCTAGCGTATTTAGTTTACTCAACAAAAGTGAGTGATTCACAAAATCTGTGAATCTGTGTAAAGACTGTGTAAATGAGATTGGCTTGAAATCCCTAACGAAAGACATCTATGACAAAGGATGTCAACTCCAGTAAATTCATGGTGGTGGAGCGACGCTTAATGAAGCCATGCTGACATCGAGAGATGATCGAAGAGAAAAGGTGTTGCAAATAAGGAGTAATTATTTTTTAAATAACTTTGGAATTGCCGACAATGAAGAGATGCCTCTGTAGGCAGCATCCGACTTTTACCCTTTTTTATGAAAGGGAATTATGAAAGATTCCTTCTACTTAAGAGGAAAAATCGAGCTTTGCAAAGATAAGTTGAAAAGTCTATGTAGAGGTTTGCACAGAGTCCTGGCACAGTATTTTAGCACACAGCCTGATACTCCATCGAGCCCTGGCGAATAAACGGGTTTGACCCTTAGAAGATCAGATAATAAGCTATTCCCGGAGAAAGAAAGACAGAAAATAAGATTCGTTGATTGAATGTTGTATGCGATAGGCTAATCTGTCGTTTTTGGCGGAGAATAAGTTTTGTTCTAGTTTTGGAGAATAAATTTTGGATTGAATAGCGGAGAAATGATGCCAATATGTGGGCGGTTTGGACGAAGGCGGTATATATGAACATGCAATGTAAAAAGATGTAGCGGACAAAATGATTTTAATGCCAATAAATTCTATGTCACCAAACTCTTGTGATTTCACCTCTTCAGAAGCAAGTTGGGACTCTACCGAAATGAGGACTACACCCCCCATACACATATAATATACGTATTTAGAGTATATGTATTTATTTGTTTATATATATTTTCTAAAACATTTTAAACTAAATTGAAACGAGTTTTTAATAACCAAAGTAGAGCAACCTTAGAATAAAAACCCGTCAAGCCAACCACGTCAAAACTGTGTAGTAAAGCTGCCAACGTTTTTACTTTTGGGGAATCGATTCTTTTCAATTCAAAAAAAAAATCAATTAAATTAATTTTAAAATCGGTAAAAATTCATAAATAAAAAAACAAAATTAAATAAAAAACTTTTTGGATAAGTAGTTGGGATGATTTATTTATTTTAGAGCTCTATGTAAAGTGGTTTGTTACTTATAGCTCCTCATCCGTATCGTCTGGCAGCGGCACACATTTTTCCCAGATTATTTTCGACTCCTGGATCGCAGAGGATGCATCCTTCTGATCGGTCTCGACGATGCGTCCACGGAGGCTCATCTTGCAATCGCCACATTGGAGGACCACTGAAGAATGAATGCAGTTGCACGGCAAATTGACCTTGCTAATGGCCTGACCTTCGTTAATACCCGGTGCCTTTGGTACTTCTTTATTCTGTGTACGACGGGCTCCTCTGTCCTGGAACCGTTTGTCTAACTCGCGATTGCGCTCCTGCTCTGCCTCCCACTCTAGCTTGGTTATGGGGGGACCTTGGAACTTCCGCGCACGCCAACGAATTTTCACTTCCCCCGGAGTCTGGGCCGTCAAGTTCCCGTACATGGAATTCAAACGCGCGTTGATATCCTCTGGCTCAGTGCCCATAATATTGGGCATTTTTTTCTTAGCCTTGTTGGAATTATTGAACATGTCGTCGGATGAATTTTATAAAATTAGAACCTTATAGCTTGGATTCTGGGTGGCGAATGAATAAATTACTGAGTTTTCAAGCTCTCATTTGATATTATTTGACAGCTCCAAATTTTGTTGACACATTTATGGCTTACTTCGTTTTTTTTGTATAGGCTTTAAAGAGGGGTCATCCTCCTTTTTTGAAATGGCTATATGATACATGATACCGGTCCCGCACAATTACTTTATTTTTGGAAAGCAGTTTCACCCATAATTGTGGTTTAAAGTACTGATCCTATCACACGATGTGCTTTTACAAGGTTTATCATTACCACATAAGACGCCGACCGTTCCTGGCATTAAAATGTATTGGGTGTCGCAATCTTCACAGCATTCACGGATTTTTAAAAACTTGGAGAAATACCTTTGTGCAAAGCAAAGTCCAGACATGATGGAGTGGGCCCCATCTAAATGGAGAGTGGATCCACCATTCTCTTTAGTGTCAGAAGTGTATTGAAAATGTTAGCCAAGTCCCATTGTAACTCACTAGCCACATTGTGCGATCTGTTTGGATCTAAGTCAGAAACCTCTGAAATGACTATTAAGAATCTACTTCCTAGATGTGATACTAAAGGGCCGGGCAGTGGCTAAGTTCATTCATCTGTGTTCTCACTAGCCAGTATCCCGCGAAGACTCTGACAGCCGTGCTGACGCAGGACCGTCCATTCTTAACAACTGGGATGTTTTTTCTTGAGGTCGAAGATCTGGGGCCAGAGTTAGCGGGAAAACCGAAAATTTAAGACGGAGCTGAGCCCTTTTAAAATGGTTCTTTTTTTCGAGAGCTTCCCTAAGATGGAGCTTATATGGGGCGCAAGCCGTTGCCTGGGACGCCCCGGTGCCCCGGCCAGATAAGACGGATACTTATAGGCCATTTCGTGAGATATGTCCTACAGACTGAGACGGCTGTTGAGTTGCTAGAGATCGAGCAGATCGATTTAAAAGCTGCTTGGCTATCACAGAAGGTTTTTTGTGGAGGCTGTTTCTGCGGATGTACCCTTTTTTATATCGTGAGTGAGATATCTGGGTAGGATCATAGGTTGAGGCTTACGACTTCTTCAAGTGTCTTGAGGGGGTCACCCCATGAGATTGCTCGTTTTATCTTGCATTCTTTGAAATTTTTTTTTGGGCCAATGAATACTTAGAATTCTAAAATTGTTCTCCATATATTAAGTAACATTTGAACTCAAATATTCATTTTCCATTAAAAAAATATTAAAATATTCATTAAAAAAAATATTAAAATTTCCCAACAAATGGACAAGATTTTTAAAGAAAAGTTCTCTCAAAAAACACCTTAAAAGAAACTTTAACAAAAACACTTGAATGATTAAAATTTTAAAATAAATTTGATTATAATTATTTAAACTGAATTGAGTTGAACTATTTATTGATATACATATATTCAAAAATTTTAAATTTTAAAACATGGAAGAGCAGTATTATTGTTAATATTATTTATTTTCACAAATTTTGAGAAAATAAGTTTTTGGGAAAATACTTCCATAAAATGCCTATTAAAAACTCTGTCAGTCAGTGGTAGAATACTATCGTCTGTTATTATATTTCATAAATAATGTATCTATTGTATTTTTTCGTTAAATATAAACTCCTTCAGGAGCCTGCTATGCGGAGTTTGGCGTTCGTGTGCCACACACATCCGGCTCGGCCTATATGTATTCATATGTGGCGGTTGGAGAATTTGTAGCTTTTATAATTGGTTGGAACATGATATTGGAATATCTAATAGGTGAGTTGCTATGCTAAAGCTCCAAATATCTCAATAATTACACGAAATATATCCAAAAAGGAACAAGTGCCTGTGCCTGTGCGTTAAGTTCTAGTTTCGATTCCCTTACTGGCAACGCCATTGCGCGAACGATAAGCGAGTCCATCGGCACGATATTCGGTGAGTAAGAAGGTACATAAATCCGGTAGATAGAGGTATATTTTCGGGACTATCATAGGTAAACCTCCGGACTTTATTGCCTTTGGCATAACGCTGCTAATGACCTGCGTCCTGGCAATGGGCGCCAGTAAGTCGGTCATCTTTAACCACTCGCTGAACGCCATTAACCTGGCCACGTGGGTGTTCGTTATGGCCGCCGGTCTCTTCTATGTGGACACGAAGACGTGGTCGGAGCACCAGGGCTTCCTGCCCTACGGCTGGAGCGGTGTGTTCTCCGGTGCTGCCACCTGCTTCTATGCATTTATCGGTTTCGACATCATCGCCACCACCGGCGAGGAGGCCCACAACCCCCAGAAGAGCATACCCAAGGCCATTGTGGGCTCGTTGGTTGTTGTTCTTATCGCCTACGTCAGTGTTAGCCTGGTCCTTACCCTAGTAGGTGGGTACCTCTTGACCTTTGTCCCTTGCAGCTCGTTACTCATGAATTCCTTGCGTTTGTAGTTCCCTACGATCATATTAACACGGGAGCCGCCCTGGTCCAGATGTGGTCCTACGTGAATGCCCCCAAGTGCCGCGCGGTGGTGGCCATCGGCGCCACAGCCGGCCTCTCGGTGGCCATGTTCGGCTCCATGTTCCCCATGCCGCGAGTCATCTATGCCATGGCCCAGGACGGCCTGATCTTCAGGTAAGAGAACCGCAAAATCTTTCTCGGATGATGTCTTAACGTAACTTTTCTAGGCAACTATCGCAACTGTGGCAACGCACCAACGTACCCGGCCTGGCGACGATTGGAAGCGGACTGGCGGCAGCCCTGGTGGCCCTCACCATTCGCCTGGAGATCCTCGTCGAGATGATGTCCATCGGCACTCTGCTGGCCTACACCCTGGTGTCCACCTGTGTCCTTGTGCTGCGCTACCAGCCGCATAGCACCTCGCTGGTGGAGCTACTGCCGGCTCAGCTGCGCACCCCTGTAGCGCCCGGAACCGCCAGTGATTCCCGCGCCCACATCACGCCAGCCGAAGTCCTGGAGGTTCCCGGCAAGCTGACCATCAAGCGAGTGACCCGCGGAATGTCCGATTCGGACGACTCCTTCATAGACGACAGTCCGGAGGGCTTTCTGGGGGGCCGGGATGATCAGTTCCTGGTGTCTGACCGATCAGAGAACAAGTTCTACGGCAGCGTTCACGGAGCACCGACTGGGCCCACCGGACAGGCCACCGCCTTCGACACCATGGGCCTGAACTTTGTAACCCGGAAGATTCACGACTATGCCTACCTGTGTCCCGGCTTCTTTCCCTGGATCAATCCCGGACAAGCCACCACCGAAAGCGGTAAGTTTCGATCACAATTGAGTAGTTCTTTCTACATGAACGGGGTGCTCTCTCTTCCCAGGTATGTACGTCACCAAGCTCGTGGGCATCATGTTCGGTCTCATATTCTTCCTGGACTTGTTCGCGGCCATTGGCTGGTCCGGAGGGCTGGCCGCTTTCGTCTACATCGTTTTGTTTATGGGCATATTTGTGATACTATTGATTATATCACGGCAGCCGCAGAATAGGTATTGTAGACTCTATGACCTCTTGACAATTCGAATAATGATGCTCTACCATCCCCGATAGATATGCGCTGGCGTTCCTTACCCCCGGACTTCCCTTCATTCCGGCCATCGCCATCACCGTGAACATCTATTTGATATTCAAGCTGAGCATCCTGACCCTAGTCCGCTTCACCGTCTGGATGACTCTCGGCTTCGTCATGTACTTCTACTACGGCATTACGCACAGCAGCCTGGAGCAAACCAGCGATGATCTGGAGTTGCACGTCGACAAGGACTACGTAAGTGTCGGGATATTGTGTATTCTTATGATGATCTTATGACTTTCTTTGGCCTTCCGCAGAGCAAAAACGTCGAGGAAAAGGCTGTTTGGGATCAGCAGTCATACAACCAGACCCATGAGCCTGTTTGGGCCAGCAAGGAAGTCAAGCAACCATCCTCAAGTATGTCCATTTCAACAAGGTGGATGAGTCATTCTAAACCCTTTAAATATATTTTACAGAACAACGCTATAACTACGGGAAGTCCTCGTCATCCTCGACCCAGGGCAGCTCGAAGAGCGGCCATAGTGGCAGTGGATCCACGACGAAACCACCGGGCAAAAGTTCCGTTGGCGGTGGACCTCCGCGACCCGTACCACCGCCACCGCCAGCCACCGGGGGAGGTCAGGGCAGAGGTCCGCCGATGGAGCGTCAGTATACCGGGCAGTTCAGCATGTTTGTGGACGAGGGTCAGTTCCCGACGTGGGACGATTAAGCGGCATCCAATTACCCGATCTCAAGCCACAAAGACAATTTCCAAATCCAATTCGTTTCACCATTCCGTGTATTCCCGATTGATTCCCGAGCTAGAAGGCTCCAAGGCACGAGAAGGATATCCGAAGAGGAGCAGCTCACTCACTTGTAAATAAGATTAGCGATGTTAAGTTTAAAGGGTATGGCAAAGTGTAACGCCACCGATTCCATATATATACAAGGCGTACAGATGTACGGAGATGGGCGGAGTAGCCACTGTTCACCGTTCACCGTTCACTGTTCACGGCCCTCCGTTCCGTTCCGTTGCGTCCTGTCGAGGTCACCAAAGTACACCTATACCATATACAAACATATATACATATACATAGATATATACATATATAAAAATTGATTATACAAGCGAATATATATATACACAAATAGCGACGGGTTATTAGTTCAGCAAAGAGTTACAAGTGCAAAGATAACAATTCCATTTATCCTCGATCCAGCGATAGATCTAGGCGATAACAGAAGCTATCAGTGTGCCCAACGTCGATTGACAAGCGTTTTGGGTGACGCTGGTCAAACGGGATTCGGCACAGAAACCAGGAGAGCAGGATACACCGCCATATTTTTGACAGACGGGGCGACAGAGCTGGCGAACAAAATAGTTATATAATATATAAAAATAACTGTGCACAACTGTACATTTTAGGCACTACCACTCCTCCCACAATCACACACACTCTTAAAAACGAAATCCCGATCCTGCGAGGAGATCCACGAGTCAGCGCCAAGGAAATGACTTTTCCTAACCCAAAAGATAGATATATGTAATTTTCCATATATATAGCCCTTGGATGTCTGAGGAACTCTGAGCAATCTCAGGATTGACAGGACCCCCACACACACACACACACTCACAAACCCAGACACAAGGAGAGAAATCCGAACATAAAAATTATGTATTTATGATTCTATTGTTGTTTCTATATATATTTACGCTATGCATTTTGTACGACGTGTCAGCACAGTACAGACGTCCGTCTCAGCGAATCTATCCAAAGTGTTATTTGTTTTTGATCTCCTAGAGGCTCGCGCTAAACTAAAACTCATTTTTAAGCGGCATTTCGCATTTCGCATTCGTTGTAATACAATAATTCATTTTACTTAACGAATTACCAAGCAAAAATTATATGAATACGCATATATATTTATGAAAATTACCATATTAACAATTACCAAAAAGGAATACCAAAAATATTTACTTATCGAACTATTCAACTTAAACAAAAAAACAAAAAAGAAAAAGAATATATAAATGAAAGCAAGCATAACTACCAAAGAATATGTATAAACACAAGTGAAAAACTAAAACAAAAAGGAGACGATATGGTAAAGACCAGCATACTTTTTTCCACTTTATATACTATGTACAAGCAAACATGCAAAACTAATCTATTTTTAACCAAATTACAAGTATATGGCAAGTTTAAAGCAAAATCAACAACATTTTTAAGAATAATACTTCTGATAATTTATTCGTTTTGTAACTTCACTACGACTTTGTACATACACTCGAAACAATCCTTGTACACTCGAAACACGAACCGATATTCTTATATACTCTACCATATTGAAAAAAAAACTGAACCACAACAGAGACAAAAACTATTTATATACAAAACTATTGTCTAAGCTATTTCGATACTTTGATTTCCCTACGTTTCTACGATCTTTATTCTTATGCTTAATTTTAATTCAAACCATTTCGAGTGCCAAATTGTTGCACAAAAGCACTCCTTAAGCCATTAACAGAAATTAGCTGAAAACCAGAAAACCAAACCAACTGAAAACTGAAAATCTCAATCACTCAAGATCCTGGTTTTCAAAGAGAGGAGCTTTCCGGACCAACTACTTAAGATATATAGACGCCACCCAACTGGTCCCGCACTATGTAACTACCTTTTATGGAGTTTTAACCTTGTTTACCACAAACACCAAACCGAAACGCGAAATACAATTTGTACATACACCTCACAGTATCTCTTAAAGCAAATCAGTGAAGAACAGTCAGTGCAAATGTATATTTTTATGAAAAAGGCACAGTAAACAAGCAAACAACAAACAAACAAGCAACTAAATGAAACAAAACTCAGAAGCAAAGCAACAAAACTAAAGAATAACATATCCTACCACACAGCTTAAAGTTGAAATATACATAGATCTAACCGAAACCTGTCGGGCCCAGTTCAGTCGATAGTTTCGATATACGATTATCTGCCATCCAATCCAAAATGGATTTTTTTCCATTTTTTTTATCTGTTTTTTTTTTTGGGTCAAACTCTTGAATTTTAAACGAAATATTTATTGTTTTTTTTTTTGTGGCAGTAATTGCGAAACCGAAACTGTCCGCTGAGGGGGCTTTCGGGTCGGTAGTTCCATATATCCATACTTCTATACTATGGATAACAATAGGTACAGGCAATCCTCCAGTAACTGCGGGCTGCAAACGCTTGCTCTTCCACCTTTCGGTTATTTCCGGTACCACCAACTTAAGAAATAAATAACAAAAACTGTTATGGGAATATGATAGTTGTAATGGATTTTCTACAGTTCCAATTTAAAGTGAAAAAGAAACTATTAACATTAAAATAAACACTATATATCGATAAATGTGAAGAGGGCAAGAGAAAAAGAACAAGAACAAAACCCAAAAAGCTTCCGTTACAAAACGTATGCATTTTACTAAAAAACATTGTTTTAACTTCAAAATCTCTTTTCGAATAATCTCTCGAACGGAAACTAAAAACAGGGAACATTTAATCTACCGTCTATGCTCACTGCAAGCCCCACTTGTAACCTATACTCGTTAAACGTCAACTGAAAGCGGGCCGAGAATCAGCTATAGAAGCAATAGTTACCAAAATCCAAACCGGAAGTGGCGAGTATCCCCAATAAAGAACAAGCAAAAACAATAAAATAGAACAAGCCATATATGAAACTTATGTAGATTAATAGAGAATTATATTTCCGAAACCAAACCAAACAGTTTACTGATTTTTCTGAAGAGCCAAGCCTAAAAAGTCTTAAACACAAGAAACTCACATTAAAACAAAAAGCATTTTAGTTATTGGAAGTACATTAGTGAATTGTTTATTTGGTTGATTGATCAATTGATTTGACAGCTGAATATAATGTACCTAAGTTTTTGTTTATTTCATAAGACTGAATTACTGGAATATGATTTATTTAAACGTGTATATAATTAAGGTGTAATAGCAAACTTTACAACTTTTACTAATGAAGCATCAAAATTTTTGAAATTATTCTGTACTCATTTATCTAAACAAAATGAACAAAAAAATGCAAAAAACAACAAAAAAAACGAAAAGCTATGTGAAAGATTAAGGAAAATACGTGATGATTGAGAAGGAGGCGTGAAAAGTTAATATACAACTATTAATATTGTATTAATATATACGGGAGAGTCCCGTTATGATGATATATATATATATATACATATATATATATATTTCAATGGATCGATAAAACAAAAAAGCAAACCAAAGTGGAATGAAAATGATGTTAAACGATAAGAAAACATTTTTTAATTCAAATACTACTCTTGATTTGTTTTCTGTGTTAATAACTTATTAAATGATATTTCTTGAAAATATTAAAAAAAAAAGTAAGAAAATTTATAGGATATTTAAGTTTGGGCTACTTTTTAATGGGAACATCGAAAGGATATACTGGTGGATTCCCCCGATTACACCATGCGATTGAAAAGTGGTGGGACAGGGGCTAACATTAATTTCGCGCTTTTGAAAAACCGTTAGATAAGTTGGCCACTCCAAAGGGTATTTGTCTTTTGGGTATTTTTCGGTATTTTTCTGCTGGGCTATGGTCACTCCTCTGCTACGAAAATACGATATACGGTCGCACTAATTACGCACAGAAAAAAGGCAAACAATTTTCTTGTGCCCGAAAAAAAGAGATAATAACGAGTTTAAAGGTAAATATTAAGTTGGTTGATTAGTCATTTCAACGTGGAATAGGAGTGTGGTTGAATATAATGGATACTGAGCCAGTAGAATCGGATAAAACGTCTTAAAAACCATATCGCATTTGAGACGTGTTCAAGCTGAGATATGGGGGATTGTGTGAGTGTATCCGCCGACTGCTATTTGTGTGTTTGTATGGGTGGTGGTGCTACGCCCCACAAATGAAATGCGGGGGCTGCCAAGTGGGGTGACCATCTCCGCCGCAATCAATAAAATTCATCTCATTTTCTCGGTTTGGTTTTAGTCCGGAGCAAGGCGCAAGGCAGCAGCACAAGATGACCGACTCCAAGTACTTCACCACGACCAAGAAGGGCGAGATCTTCGAGCTCAAATCGGAGCTGAACAATGACAAGAAGGAGAAGAAGAAGGAGGCCGTGAAGAAGGTGATAGCCAGCATGACCGTGGGCAAAGACGTGTCCGCCCTCTTCCCAGACGTAGTCAACTGCATGCAGACAGACAACCTGGAGCTGAAGAAGCTGGTCTACCTCTACTTGATGAATTACGCCAAGTCCCAGCCGGACATGGCCATCATGGCGGTAAATACGTTCGTTAAGGATTGCGAGGACTCCAACCCACTAATCCGCGCTCTGGCCGTCCGCACCATGGGCTGCATTCGGGTGGACAAGATCACGGAGTATCTGTGCGAGCCGCTGCGCAAGTGCCTCAAGGACGAGGATCCGTATGTACGCAAAACAGCCGCCGTGTGTGTGGCCAAGCTGTACGACATCTCGGCCACGATGGTTGAGGATCAGGGTTTCTTGGACCAGCTCAAGGATCTGCTGTCGGACTCAAATCCCATGGTGGTGGCCAATGCCGTCGCCGCGCTCAGCGAAATCAACGAGGCCAGCCAATCGGGACAGCCGCTGGTGGAGATGAACTCTGTTACCATCAACAAACTGCTCACGGCCCTCAACGAGTGCACCGAATGGGGTCAGGTCTTCATCCTGGACTCGCTGGCCAACTACAGCCCGAAAGACGAGCGCGAGGCACAATCGATCTGCGAGCGAATCACTCCTCGCCTGGCCCACGCCAATGCCGCAGTTGTGCTTAGTGCCGTGAAGGTCCTGATGAAGCTGCTCGAAATGCTCTCCAGCGACAGCGACTTTTGTGCCACGCTCACCAAGAAGCTGGCTCCCCCACTGGTCACCCTGCTCTCCTCAGAGCCGGAGGTTCAGTACGTGGCTCTCAGGAACATCAATCTGATCGTCCAGAAGCGCCCGGACATCCTCAAGCACGAAATGAAGGTGTTCTTTGTCAAGTACAACGATCCCATCTACGTGAAGCTGGAGAAACTTGACATTATGATCCGGCTGGCCAACCAGAGCAACATCGCCCAGGTCCTTAGCGAACTGAAGGAGTACGCCACCGAGGTGGACGTCGACTTTGTGCGAAAGGCTGTGCGAGCCATTGGTCGCTGCGCCATCAAGGTGGAGCCCTCGGCGGAGCGATGTGTCTCCACGTTGCTCGACCTCATCCAGACGAAGGTCAACTACGTGGTCCAGGAAGCGATTGTGGTCATCAAAGACATCTTCCGCAAATATCCCAACAAGTACGAAAGCATTATCAGCACCCTGTGCGAGAACCTGGACACGTTGGATGAGCCGGAGGCACGCGCCTCGATGGTTTGGATCATTGGCGAATATGCCGAACGTATTGACAATGCCGACGAACTGCTGGACAGCTTCCTTGAAGGATTCCAGGTGGGTTGGGCACGATTTCTACATGACTTTCTTTACATATTTTATCCGAAACTATTTTCTAGGACGAGAACGCCCAGGTGCAATTGCAGCTGCTGACAGCGGTGGTGAAACTATTCTTGAAACGACCATCCGACACCCAGGAGCTGGTGCAGCACGTGCTCTCGCTGGCCACCCAGGATTCGGATAATCCCGACCTGCGGGACCGAGGATTTATCTACTGGCGACTGCTGTCCACGGATCCGGCTGCCGCCAAGGAGGTGGTGCTGGCTGACAAGCCTCTGATCTCCGAGGAGACCGACTTGCTGGAGCCCACTCTGCTGGACGAGTTGATCTGCCACATCAGCTCGCTGGCCAGCGTCTACCACAAGCCGCCTACGGCGTTCGTGGAGGGCCGTGGTGCCGGAGTTCGCAAGTCGTTGCCCAACCGAGCCGCTGGCGCTGGAGCCGGAGTAGGCAGCGAGCAGCCCGAGAGTGCCTCCAATTCGGAGGCCATGGTCATTCCCAACCAGGAATCTCTTATCGGTGACCTGCTCTCCATGGACATCAACGCTCCCGCCATGCCAGCCGCTCCGGCGGCTACCAGCAATGTAGACCTGCTGGGCGGTGGTCTGGACATCCTGCTGGGCGGACCGCCAGCCGAGGCGGCGCCAGGTGGTGCCAGCAGCCTCCTGGGTGACATATTCGGCCTGGGCGGTGGCTCCCTCTCCGTGGGTGTACAAATACCCAAGGTGACGTGGCTGCCGGCCGAGAAGGGCAAGGGTCTGGAGATTCAGGGAACCTTCTCGCGGCGCAACGGCGAAGTGTTCATGGACATGACCCTGACCAACAAGGCCATGCAGCCGATGACCAACTTTGCCATCCAGCTCAACAAGAACAGCTTCGGACTGGTGCCATCGTCGCCTCTGCAGGCTGCTCCACTGCCGCCAAATCAGAGCATCGAGGTGAGCCTGGCCCTGGGCACTAACGGGCCCATTCAGCGCATGGAGCCGCTGAACAACCTGCAGGTGGCCGTGAAGAACAACATTGACATCTTCTACTTCGCCTGCCTGGTTCACGGCAACGTGCTCTTCGCCGAGGACGGGCAGTTGGACAAGCGCGTCTTCCTAAACACCTGGAAGGAGATACCCGCCGCCAACGAGCTGCAGTACAGCCTAAGCGGCGTCATCGGCACCACCGATGGCATAGCCTCCAAGATGACCACCAACAACATCTTCACCATTGCCAAGCGGAACGTGGAGGGTCAGGACATGCTCTATCAGTCACTCAAGCTGACGAATAACATCTGGGTGCTGCTGGAGCTGAAGCTCCAGCCTGGCAATCCGGATGCCACGCTCAGTCTCAAGTCGCGCTCCGTGGAGGTGGCCAACATTATTTTCGCCGCCTATGAGGCCATCATCCGTTCGCCTTAAGCTGTCGGAGAAGGAGGAGGAGGAGGAGTATATGTACCCAAGGATCCAATATTAGAGCAACAAGAAGTGTAGTCTACGTATTATTATTACTATTATTATTGTGTATTGGCGGTTTAGCATTATTTATGCCGTTACATTACATTAAAAAATATGCATATACACACACATATACAAGCCAATCAGGTTGCAACGTAAAGTGTTAATTGTTAAATATAAATGTGACGTTTAGCGGTGACGATAAATAACCACGCCTTCCGGCTCCGACGCCGCCCGTCGGTGGCCACAGTTCCGGCGTTGCTTGATCGCATTCCAAAACTTTTTAACCCCCATTTATGCACTGCGTCCATGTTTATGTACGTGTCCTAGTAAAAATGTATAACATAACTCACCATATATACTCGAGAAATTGACTTTCCCTGTGTTCTTTTTTCAATGGTCAGGGGAGATCTATGAATATCCGGTAAGGTATCAGGGGTTTGTTGCAAGGCAATCCGCTCGAGAATCGAGTGAGAACTGGCAATTGCATAAGTATTCTGGGTTTCACAGAGTTGCACCAGGGAGATAAATTAAAAAAATATGTTTCGATTTGTACCCAGAGCTTAATAAAAATTGGTAGGGAAGCAATGTAGAAATTATTTAAGGTATTCGGTATAAGCCTCTTCAAAATGAATTCAATAGATTGGGATCCAAAAGAACAAATGCTATCAAGAAAGGAATGAACCAGGAAGGACTATCGAAACTTCATAATAAGGATATGGAATGATAGATCACCAATGATTAAACAATGTTTTTCTTAGATAAATCACCTGAAAACATACATCAAAAAGAAAAATTGAATAACTTTTTTTTTTTTTTAAATAAAAATTATTGTTCAAATTGAAAAATAATTATTTTGTAATTTATATTTAAAAAACTGGAAAAGATGTTCAAGATAGTACGTTATACGGTTTAGTATGGATTGGTTATAAATAGCAAGAAAATATACCTAAAGATCGAAGTCACAGTTGGATCACAGGTTTTGTAGAACATTTTCGAAGTAATAAGTAATTATCGGAGTTGGATCATTAATTAATTATTATAAAACTTATAGGATATTTAGAATTTTAGAGATAGATAAATATCGTAGACAGAAATATATTTTAAAGAGTTCAATCGGAGAAATTTATATCTAACATATTTCTGTAGGTTTTGTGGATATTTAATTAAACGGATTAAATTGGCATTGAATCGGATTAAAGATATATCTAAATACGGTTATGAACGAAAAGGAATATTCCATATTTTGAATAAGGAATCACCAGAAAAATTTAAAAATATGGATGAAAAAATGTGTACATTTGGTTTTGGGCAATAGATCAATCAAGGGAATCAATCTCGAATTCTTTTAGAGTATTATCTCCATTGGGACCGAATGTTACTTGGCAGATATATGGATATACTTGTGGGTGAAAGGTAAATATGACGGATTGTGTAGAGTTCCTTGAAATTAAAATAAAATTATTTAGATGGAAGGTGTTGTTGAGTAGGCTTGATGCAGTTTTGGACTGGAAGAAGACTGAGAATACTACCCAGAGAGATACACCTAGAATTGAGTTCTTGAGAATCAGAAGACAACCTAAGAGACAGACATACATAGATAAGTCCCTTTAATGAAAGTTAAAAGCTATAGATCTATAGGTATTATTAAAGTTAAGTAACCTTAAATGGAAGAATGCCCATTGAAACCGGAACAAGGATTTTGATTTCCCTCGGCTGTTGGCCACATGCTTGCACCTGCATGAAAGCTTTCGGGCAAGCTCCTGGTCCTGAGAGCTTTGGGCTTCGTCTGTTTAGGGGTGGTTTGCTTACGCAAATGGACGGTCCTTCGCTCCCTTTCTAGCCGCCGCCGAAAGGGTCCTTTTGGCGCGTCCCAGCGCCGTTAACTGTGTGTGTCCCGCTCTGGCCGCAGAGTCTTGGCCGCTCGCTTGGTTCGCCTTGGCCGCAGGACTTGTTTTTTGTTGTACCACAAGCGAGTTTGGCTTGGCCCCGATTAAAACAAACGTGTCTTTGTGCCCGAAGCCCAGGTCCCACGTCGCAGTGCAACGATGTCTACTCCGGGTGACCAAAACCCATAACCCATAACAGTTGCAGGCTGCAAAGTGGACTGACTCCGTCAGGAGTTTTTTGGAAAGCCCAGTAGATATTATAATATTTTGGCCGAGGTGGCGCACAGGTGCAGGTGCTCCGCCCTATTTTGAGTCCTTCTGCAGGCTGACACACAAATAAGATAAAGGGGCAGCAGGAGTTGGCTCGCACCAGTCCAGGAATGTGAATCAAGGATACTCCAACGGAATGAAAACATAAATCCAAATACAGCCAGCTTTCCCGCTTCGGCACTGCCTCCTCGAATCAGAAAATAAAAATTAGAAAAAAATAAAAACGAAAGGGCCTAACTGGATATAGAATCCGGCGGAATGAGGGTGGGATCGGAGGCTGGCTACGATGGCCACGACTACGGCGCCGATGACTCCATGGGCATCTCCCACCTGGACTGGCCCTTCCTCATCAAGGTGCGTACCAATGCTCATCCCGACTTATCCCTTGCACACATTTGCCATTTCGCGAAAAAGCAAATACATGTAAACGTAAATATTCACCAACACATGCGCCCGCGCCCGTTATTCGCACCGTTTTTTAGGTTAAGTCGAGACAATATGCAAAGTGCCGAGTGTAATATGTATAAGTGGAGGGTTTTGTGTGTCAATAGCTGTGCCAGCACGCAGTAAAGCAGGCTCCTCTTCCCGCCATCCCCCTGGCTCCTCTGTGTGTTTGTCCGTTCATGCGGCGCACAAGTGCACGAACAGCACTGCCAAATGCACTTTGCAAAAAGCCAAACGCAATTGAAAAAAATATAGGCCACTGAAAAATATAGCATACATTTTGGCATTCCGTCTTGATTTTAATTGTTATTTTTTGAATACAAGTTACATTTTAGCGTGTTTGATACAAAATGATTTTTTTTTTTATCCTTCATTATTTATAAGAAGTACCTTAACAAGTTTTAATTTAAATCGGATACAAAAAACTATTTAAGTAAACTAAAAAATAACACTTTAAGGACCACACAGAGTTTGGACTCCAACCTAAATGGATTGCTTTTTTAAATATTCATATATATCTAGGTTGGGATCTTATTTATTCAGATTTTATGAACTATTTGTACCTTTATTACTAGTCTGTAGTTATTTTTATAGGAACCCCATGTCGTATACTTATTTTTTAGCAAAACTAGCCATCGTCCTGGCACCATCCAGTATTTTTTATTCATTTATGCAAACTGCTTTTTAAAAAAAATCCTCCAAGTGGCTAATAATGTCTCCGCCAGCGGCCGCATAAACATAAAAGCCTATTTGCACACCCTCGACCCTTTTGAGGATGTGTGTCAGCCAGCAGCGCCCTTGATCGAATTACACAGGCCACTCGTTAGCCTGAAGCCCTAATCCTCCACCGTGTTTCTTTCTCCTCTCCCAGGGCATCCTGGAGGGCCAGACATGCACCCCCACGGCTCCGGAGCCCCTGGCCGCCATCCTCTGGGCCATATTCGCGGTGTTTGGAATAGTCTACGCCCTGCTGGGGTACCGCTGTCTGCGTGCCGTGGGCTTCCTCAGTGGCCTGATGGTCGGCGCCAATGGCATCTTCATCCTACAGGACTTCCAGATCACATTCCTGGGCAAGCCGGCGGACTCGGCTCTGGCCATAGTGGCGGGCCTGTTAGGCGCCGTGCTGGGCTCCACCTACCCGGTGGCCTCCGTTCTGATCAGCGCCTTTGCCGGAGCCCTGCTTTCCGGAGCGGCGATGGCTGTGTGCGTGGCCACCATGCCGGACAATGAGTTTGGGGTAAGTTTCGAGACTGGTACTCGCCAGAGATTGTTCCTTATTTGTTTACCTTACATGTCGTGTTCAGTACCGCGAGATTTACGTGGCTGTGGTGGGGGGAGCTGTCATCTGCTCGGTGCTCACCCTCTGCTGTGTCAAATACGTGACCATTCTCACCTCTAGTATTGTGGGCACAGCCATGATAATCGGAGCCATTGATTTCTTTATGCACGGCCTGGAGACCATCAATTGGGTAAGCTTCATGGATTCTACTTTTTCCGAGTATTATGTAATTGAGTCTCCTATTTTTGCCCCTCAGATCCTCAGCATGCGTCCGCATCCTTCGCCGCCGCCCTGTTACGGTGGGCTGCTGATCGCCGCCTGGCCCGTCACCATTGTCCTGAGCATCATGGTCCAGTGCTTCATCACCGCCTGGCGTGTGGACCACAGGAAACGCGTCTACATGCGGCATCACAACCATCCGGGTCACAGCCACGCCGCTCACCTGCCCCACGGCCAGCAACCGGCGGGGCCCACCCACGCCCATGCGCCTGTACGCCGTTCGCAGTCCCGAACCCGGGAAACCCGGGAGGAGGCCAGGCAGCGCAAGTTCCGCTACCTCTACCAGGTGCGCACTGCCCGTGGGGACATTATTTCGCAGGTGAGTCGTGAGAGGGTTGGCATATACTGTTGGCGACTATGACACGATCCCTCCTCCCTTAGAACTTCGTGTCTGCCCTGCAGAAGCGCATCCAACTGAGCGGCACCGAGACGCCGTCGGAGCGCTCCATCAAGAGCAGCTCCAATGAGCGGAACACGTTCCGCAGTGACCGCACCCACTTCACCACCATCCACGACCCGGACTCGGAGCTGTGCGACAAGATTGAGATCGTCCGTGACATTGGATAACAAACAAGCAATAGCTACATGTAACTATACCCGTAAGGGGGCTACGGGCTGCGGTACTTGGGCACGGATAGGTCTCACTTGGGTCGGGGGGCATAGGATATAGGATCGGAAGGAAGTTCTGGGAGTCTAACAAGTACGGTTGCATGTAGAAATTGTAGAAACGAGCACAAAGTGCTGAGACGACAAGATCGTGACAGAAAGTGGCAAGTCAGTGGGGAAGTGGAAGCTTTAAATATCGGGAGATATATGCATTTTGGAGCTGGAGTTTCGGGCTTTCCAGCACGAAGAACGGGAGGAGTCATTGTAGTCTTTAAGATGTGTGCACAGTTAGAAGCTCTAACTTAGGATCTAAGACGATTTTGTTCTCCTCTTACATACTCGAATGTTACTAAATATACGCAAAGAAAAAAACATTTAACACTAAAATCAACTTATAGACCACTTACACTAATTATATATGTATTCGTGAGTGTGACGAATCTAAGAGTCTAAGAATCTAATCTCTAAGTTGACTTCCGGGAGTGATTGCATTGTATTCCTTGAAAACCGAACACTATACAGAATACTAGTTACGCTTCTACCACTAACATACATATATAGAAAGGCAACCGCAATTACTAATCAGTTCATATCTGTGTTATAATTATACGATACATATATCAGTGGCGGGTTCTAGACCTGCGTTTCGTTCCATTTCCACTATAAAATAGGCCTAAGCATTGCGTTAAAAACTCTATTAAACCAATAACATATACCTATTAAGTACAATAAACAGGAAAAACAGCTAAAACCAGAAAGAGAGTTACGTTACGGGAAGGAGTTACGTTTCTCCCATGATGTCATACCAGGAAAGTCCTGTCCAGGCTTTTAAATGTGTACAGTTGAAGCTGCAGCCGGTTAGATTTAGACTAGAATTAGCACTCGATAAGCCAAACAGTTGAGCCATTCACAGTAACACTCGAGATGTCGCAGCATGTACAACACAGCAAACTAATTGCATAATCAGAAACCGGAAATACCAAGGATCCGCTCTATCAACCGTCTTATCAAGCACTTTCAGCACGACTGCTGGACTGCGATGCAGATACAGATCTAACAGATACATGTATATTTATTTTAAACTCCAAGACCCTTGAAAACTGCGGTACAAAATCGAATGAACTCCAAAAATAATGATTCGTGCGTCGAGGCATTTAAAGTTTAGTAATAGAGTAAAATAACAGACATAAACAGAATTCTAGAGCCTTAATGAAGGATTGGACATTGCGTTTAAACAGTACTTTATGAATGGTTTTCAAAAGAGGATATATATGTATTAAAATAAACTGTTTTCGGGTTCCTGTTTTTTGTTGAAGATTCAGTTTCTAGAAATTGCTGCCGTCCGCAATTGTTGATTTTAAACCATCCCTCTCCATAAGTTGTTATTCCTTCTCAAAGACTCCTAATTTAATCGGTTTAAGGTCAAAACGGTGTCCTTTCAAATAGCGAATTTTCGGCTCAGCATTTAATAGAATTCTTGTCAGACAAGGGCTCAAAAATTCAATTTAAAATATGTATTCTGCATAAGGGTAATGATAACTGCGTACTAAAGTAGTAAAAATCTAAAAAGGGTCTTAAATTGCATATAAAATATATATGTATACACTAATAAAACAACATTAACTATTTAAGGCTAAACGAAGGCCAAAGAAATTTAATAAATTATGTTCTGGATAGACGTTTCGGAGCTTTGATTTTAAAATAAAGATTCAACAGGGTCTCCAGCGTCAAAAAAAAAATAAAATGAATTAACAAAATTGTAATATTTAAAGCATATATTAAATAAACGATGCAGGCCAAAGAAGTAGTTTTCTTTTGGAATATGTTTGGGAATGCCACCGATTTTTTAGAAATGGAGTTCAGAAACCAGTTGAAAGGTCCTTTCCGAAGTTTTTCGACCCAATTTTCTTACAAAGAGACCATCAATTGTTTTACTTCAATTATTATTCGAGTAAGTAGAAACTACTTTTAAGAATGCGATTATTAGGAATTCTAATTCAGATTATTCTTTGAAGTGATCTCGTTTTTGTCGGATTGGAAGACCTAAATACAACAAAATTTGGTTGTTTTTAGAATCTAGTTTTGACTAAATGGCCTTACGTTGAAAAATACGCATTTTTGCAAAAAACTGCAGACTTGCCCGAAGCCCGATATTGTTGATGAACTTATGTTTATTAACAAAAACCACCATTTTTTGACTGTTGACCATTGTCCATTTTTAAGACTGTTTTGATCTCTAATTATCTGTATTTTAAGTTAGTGCATGAAGCACAATAAATAAGGTGCGTTCCAAAGTAAATAGGACTTTTTGAATCTAGCGCCCTCTAGTGGCGCCATCTATAAGTCAACTGGTGCGTTAGAATCTCCTATCCTTTATCGACTTCTAGTCAAAATTTCATGACATTTCATCTATGGGAAGTGAGGTTATTTCGTTTTAAGTGTCGGTATGTTTTTGTCATCGGTGCGAAACTGAGCTTCGAACAAAGAGGCAACATTAAATTTTGTTTTAAAATTCCAGAAAACTTTTACCGAAACGTTTCAACTGATAAAACAAGTTTATGGCGATGATTGCATATCCCGCAGCAGAGTGCACGAGTGGTTTCAACTTTTTCAAAGTGGTCGTGAGGACATAAATGACGATGATCATGTGGGCCAACCAAAATCTGTGATCACCGAAAATTCTATCGAAACTGTGCGTGAATTCATAAAAAATCAGCCAAAATCGTTATTGAAATATATACATGTAAATTATACATGTAAATAGAATTGAACATCTCCAAAACATCGATGTATCGCGTTTTGTGCGCCGTATTTGACGTGTTCGGCCCGAATATCGCGAAGATGGAAATTAGCGTTTGTTCCACGGTTTGTGACCGACTATTTGACCAAAAGTCACATTTTAAGCATCAACCATCAACCACCGAGCGACTTTTACCTTTTCGGATAAACGCATTTGCCGATGAAAGGAAAGCGTTATGCAGACGTAGAGCCCCTTTAAAAGGATTGCACCGGCATACTGGAGGCCATACCGGGCAACGAGCTAAAAAACTCGATCGACTTGCTTTTGGACCGTGCAAAAAGCTGTATTAAAGCAGAAGGAGACTATTTTGAATAAGAAAAATTGATTTTGCCGAAAAAACTATTTGTTCCGTCTTTTTTTTAAAGTCCTGCACCTAGTATTGCATAAATTTTAAAAATTTTAAAAACATCGATGTTGTATCATCGATGATTGAAAAACATCCAAGTGTCTAAACATCGATGTTTCTGTACCTAAAGTTTAGGTATAATATTTGGCTGATAAAACCTCAATATCGATAGATTAGCCGAATTGCAAAAACATATGTGTATTGTATATGTAGATTACAATAAATTAAAAAAAAATTAGATGTTTTGAAAATCCCAACTGATTAGTTCAGAAATCTGTTCCATCGATATGTTAATGTTTTCCAACTCAAGCAATTTTTTTTAGAAATTTACAAACTTACGGGGATTCTAAAAACATAACACTTCTAATAAACACTTCAATACCCAAAACATTAAATTCAAAAAAAAATAAATAATCAAAAAATAATCAAAAATCTTCAAAACTTATGAAAGAAATTAAAAAAATAAAAGCTTAGAACCTTTATGAAAAAATGTGTACCGTTTAAAAAGACTCTGAAAATGTCGTGACTAATATTTTATTATTAATTAACACATCGGAATACAGTTGCGCGGATCTGAATCCGGATTTGAAAATTTAGGTGCGGCCTGGACTGGTACTGGTTCCGGTCTCCTGGAGCGCTCGCCCAAGAGAATTATGAAGAAAGAAACGCTCGATTCAGAATTCAGGGAATTGAACAATCGTGTATTTGTATTTGACGATGGGTGGGTGAGAGGATGGTCTTCACTCACCGCACCGCGGGAAAGCACAAACATGAACCTGTTCACTTTAGAAATTGTTACAACTGCCAGATCCTGATGCTAGAGGGGATGCCTCCGGCCCTCGGCTGCTACCTCCAACTCCACCAACACGTCGTCCCACGCCCAGTCCACCCAGCCCATCTCCATCATCATCTCCGGTCGCCTTCGTCTCGTTTGGTGTTCTTAGGATGGCTAGGGAGGCGTGCGCTGCTGGCCGGGCTTAGATGCGGCCCGGGAATGTGCCGCTCTCGCGCTGCTCGTCCCACTTCTCCACCCAGGCGTTGGGGCACATCGACTTGTACACCTTCTGGAAGTAGTTGCAGGGGGCGAAGTCCTCGCCGCGCTTCTTCTGGCAGCGGTGGAAGTCGATGTACGACTGGTAGCAGTACCGGGTCACGTTCTGGTTAGGGAAGCGGGGGTCAAAGGGGGCGGTCTCCAGCTTGTAGGCGGACATGTTGCTGCTGTCTGACGACTTGTCGCTGTTTTTGTTTTTGGACATGAAAAATTGCATATAGACTTTAGTTGGGAAACAGAAAATAAAAAACGGAAGCGGAAACCGAACCGAACCGAACCGAAAAGAGAAGGCAAATCGTAACCAAAATCGTAAACCAAGGCACAGAAGTACGAAGAGAGACATAGGTGAAAGGAACCATAGTAAAGAGCGAGAGATGAGAAAGTGAGAACGAAAGAGATGGAATAAGAAAATAGACATGAAAGAAACGGAAAGAAACGAAAAGTACAATAGTTTCAGTGCGAAAAACGGGGAGGAAGAGACAGACATACAAATCACAAAGGTTAGTCTTTTTCACATTTCTCAATGCCGGATGAGCGGTATATATCATGGTATATATAGCGATACATAGTGGTGTACAAGTCTAGTTTAATGGCTTACAATCTATGCTACAGTTATTTGTTTAAAATATGTGTCTGGTGTCTCGGGGCTTGGGTCCTGCGGTCCCCCGACTTGCACTTCATAATCGTGTCTGTGTGTACCGGAAACTCACAATACAATTTTTCGTCGCTTAGTTAAGTAAACTAACTAAACTGAACTAAAAAAAAATGATAAAAAGCCCGCTAAGTCTACAATCTACAATCCTGGTAGTCCTCGGAGGTTGGGGGAGCTCGGAGGACGAATAAGTGTTCGGGAGGGAGTCTTTCGGGGAAGGAGTTTTGAGTTTAATTGATTACTAGAACACATTTTCTGCGATCGGTGTGGTGAAAAGTTAACGTTTGTTTTTCTGCCGGCGTTCAAGTCAGATTTCTACGGGGAACTGCCAGAGGGTGCCCTGCCACTCAGAAGCCACTACTTGACCAGCGGCCGCTTTCCGTTATCCGTGTCACATGCGTTGCTCTTGTACTTGTTCACCTCCGCCAGGTAGAGCGACCAGAAGTCCTTCGGGTCCACATCACTTTCGTTCGGAGTTTTCACTTTGGCCACCACGCCCGTCTTCAGGATCTTGCCGCCGCGACGTCGTCCCACGAGCGGCGGCGGCGGGGCCAACTTTCCGGCAGCTGCAGCTGCGATGTACGGAGCAGCACTACTGCTGGCCGCTCCGGCTGCAATCGCCGGTAGCGGGGCCACGACCGAGGCGGCTTCTGGTGGATTGAACTGGGGCTGTTGGTGCTGCTGCATGATCTGCTCCCGCCCGGCAGCGACGGCGAGCGACGTGGAGGCGGACGCCATTTGGCGATCAACCACTGGGTGCTGCTGCTGTTCCTGTTGCATTTTCTTGAAGAGCTCCATAAAGGAACCGTCATTGGCGAAGACCGGATGGGAGGGCGGCTCAGGCTTAGGCGGCGGATAGACCTTTCCTTCTCTGGCCAGTGCTTCGCGCAGCTTTTGTTCCATTTCGCGGTGTATGCGCTCCTTATCGATTGGCTCATCGGCGTCCAGATTGTAGTAGGCGCCCACCGTATTGGCCTTTCCGCTTGGCTGACCCTGTTCCGGGGCTACGGTTGCCTTCGGAGGAGCGCCTTGCTCGGATTGTTCAGAGCCTGTGCTTGAATTTGGACCTTTCCGCTGGCTGTGATTATTTGTGCTGCTGCTGGGTCCGGAACCGTTAGTGGGCGACTCCGAGCGTCGGTAGTGGCTGCTTTCACGTCTGGAATGGTCGCGATCGCGATCCCGGGAACGATCCCGTTCCTTGTGATAACGGCTTGGGTGACGCTGCTCTTGACGGCGACGCCTATGGTTGGAACGCTCCACAGAGGGGGAACGTGATCGGCTGCGACTTTGACTGACGCTACGGGAGTAGGAGCGACTGTAGCGGCGACGCTCCAAGGAGCGGCTGCGGTCTCGGTCTCGCTCCCGCTCGCGGTCTCTATCCCTATCCCGCCTGTAGCCACTGGAGGATCCGGAGGAACCGCGATCGTAGTAGCCGCGCTGCTGGCCGCGTCCGCCGCGCCGATAATGGTGATCCGACTGGTCTTGCTGGTGGTGGGGCAAGCGGGATGACGACATTGCTCGGCTTCGGAGACGGATGCGGTTGCGGTTGTAGCTCGGGGGTAGTGATGATCTGCAATTCGAAACTGTGCCGCGTTAAATCGAGCAGTTGGCAGAGTCTTTAACGGAATACCTATATACACAATATCTGTATGCTTTCTTACTTTTAGATTCTTTTGCTTTTCTGTATGGATATATTGTTTTCTGAATCTGTTTCTGGCTTTCTGATGTTTGCTTCGCCTAGCTCGAGTTTCGACTCGGCGCTATCAGATTCGTGAATCGAGAAGGGATCCTATCGAATCATCAAATCAAAGCGAATCGTATCGAGCTCGCCTTCTTGTGCCGCTTGGATGCCCGGATTGTTGGAATTTGGAATTGATTTGGAGAGCTTCAGTTTGACTTGGCTGGCCCTGGTTCCTTGACCGAGATGTTATGTGTAATGTGGGTGTAGGGGTGTTGGGGTGTAATGTGGGCGTGGGCGTAGGCAAGAGTGCGTGTCACGAGTGTCCTCTAATCAGGAGGCAGAGCTCCAGCCAAGACATACGAGCGGCCGGGCACAAACGATCGACAGCAAGAAAAATAATCGAGCGTACTCGCGATTCTTATGCAATTTGGGTACATTGATTTAGAATCGAACTTGGATATAGACTATTTTTTGGATGATTGATTGCTCTGGCTGGCAGATTCAACTGAACTGAGATAAATGAGAAATGGTAAATTTACTTGTTTGCGTTATCCAATGCGGGGGATCCTTCTCCTTGGTAGGCTCCTTAGCTGGCTGGCGTTACGTTTGCATCCGTGGTGGCTCGTTGGGATTCAAGATCGGGATCGGTGTATCGGTTTCGGTTCAGGAGCAGGTCTGGTGGCTTGCTTTTCTGTGTGCTTGCTTTGTGCTTGCTTAAATCTGACCGAACTCGAATCAGACTCTCTGAAACGTATCGGATTTTCGGCCTGCATGGAAAAATGACTTGAACGCATGAATACAAACGTTACTCGCACCTGGACATTGTGCAGGGGGCTGGTCTGTCTTTATTCTTATTATTTTATAGATTTTTACTACGATTGTGGTTAGGACTTAGATGCTTTGGACACACTTTTGGTTGGGTCAGCGCTCCTCTCGAGACTTATGTAACCTGGGGCAGTCCCTCGATTGGCGGGGCGTTTAAGACAACTTACGAATGTAGACTTACAGTTGGTCACTGTACCGAGGGTCTGGACTAATTCTAATTGTAATACCAGCTATGCAGGTTATGTAATTTGTATTTTTCCTGCCGCTGTCCGCAGGTGGCGTTAGTGTGCGTGTGCTAGTGCGTTTGTGTGGTATGTGTGAGAGTTACGAGTCTTATGGGTTCTTTTTCGAGTGGAAGAGGGTCTGGCACCCGTATCGATCAGTGCCTCGGCTTACGGTCTGGTTAGCCTGCAGATGCAAGCTTTTGCCTGGTCAGGGCGAAAAACATACCTTTGTTGTTCCGAGAGTACGACGAAAAATTTTCAACCTGGCGAATCTCACGAGCGATAGTAAATTAGTGATGACCGATTACACTCGGCTAGGGTTGTTAATAATACATAAAAATACTCAAATATCGATACTCTTTCATCGAAAATACGATATATTTTGTAATGTATAATAATTTTTTATTTATAATTTTTTATATAATAATTCTCGGTGACGAATGAATGAATTCTTTTGACCTGGTCCCGTCGGTAAATACTGGCTATAATCTCAGCAGTGAAGGCCATTAAAAACGACCTATCGAATACTGTCAAAGTTGCCACATCTTCATTGTTTTCAACTTTTGGGTTGGTTTCCAATTTTTTCGATGTAGCTTGACATAAATAAATAACATGTTATAAAAATTTAAGCTCATAAAAAAAATGATCCGTCAATAAAAATATATAAATATAAAAAAGTGGCACTATCGGTAGATCTGGCCATGTGATCAGTGTTGGTTATTTCCAAATTTGGAGTCACGCTGCGAGAATGGAAAAATAATACGCGCTTTTCCCCACTTTACCGATAATGGAAAGCAATGCTTCACAGGAACACGGGGCCAAGCCGAGATCCAACAACAGACGCAACAACAACCAAAGACACAGAGTAGTGCGAAAACAGCCACCACGACCTGCCAGCGGTCGCCAGCACATTTACATTACAAGAAAAACAGACTTCAAGGCAAGTAAATAAACGGAAATTAAGTGAAATTTATAAAAAATAGTTTCTTATAGGCTCAGCTGCGGCGATGCCAGGAGCTGTTCAGCTCAGGCGCTAAGGAGATCTTCCTACACTGCATGGGCTTCTCCGTCACACGCGGCCTCAATCTTGCCCTGCGCCTCATCGAACACTCCGAGGGAACCCTTAGCTACGCGATCAACACCTCTACCATCAGCTTGTTGGACGAATTGCACCCACTGTGTGATGAGGAAGACTTGACCTTTCGCCACCGCAAGAACTCAGCGTTGCACATCAAGATTTTCAATCGAAGCTTGTTTGAGATTGCGGTGCCCCCGTTGCCCGCTGCACCTACTCCGCAGCTTCAAACTCAGTCCCAGTTTCGAGGAAAAGCGAAGTCCAGGCAGTAAAAAAGATGTTCAAGCTCTCTGAGCTGGTGCGCTGGCTGGGGCTGACAGAGTTTGAGATCCTGGTCAATCTTTGCGGCCTTCTCGTGTTCACCATCACGCTAGCTGTCAAGCTGTCAGCCGCGGGACCGACTGGAGGCGTCCTTCCCGAACTGGTAGGCGACTGGTTCACAGTCTTCAGCCCTTTGTTCTTTATCGACATTTGTAACGCGTACTTCTGCGTGATTGTGGGAATACGTATGTACTTGGACTCTGACAACAAGCGCAAGGCGCTGCACAGATTCATGTGGAGCACCTATTTCCTAGTGCTTATTGCCATTTTCAAGTACCTGTTGTGCCTGAAGCTTTCTGGGAAGACGGGCCTCGAGTACTCGGAAGTCTTCTCGCCGATATTCGTGCTGCTGCAACTTGTGGCGGTGCGTGCCTGCCAGCTCCCCAACTCTATCTAAGGACTAGCTTACATTTGGTGTAATAAAACTTGTGAAGTTACTTGTTTTTGTATAATCTGAATTTTCCTTTTTTAAACAGAGTTGATAAATCATATGAAATGAATTTTCCTTGATATTAATGCCTATTTGTGGACTAATATGGTCTAAAATCTTAAAAAGGGAAATTCTATTTTAATTGAATATTTAATTGGAACTTTTCCTAAATTAGGAACTATTTTCTTTAGATTCTTTTAAGTTATAATTTATATAAATTAGAGTTTGAAAATGTATCGATTTCTTTATACTTTGTATTTTTAGTCCTTTCAGATTCCTCAAATATGTTTACGTTTCTTGGAGCCTGTTGTTTTCCTGTTTTGGTATCTCCAGCTCCAATTCCAAATTTCAGTGTTGGAAAACCGGTGACTGCTGACAAGGTGGCAGCTCCGAGAGAAACTGCTGCCAGAAACAATAACATTGAGAGCTGCACAATTATAAACTTTTACTCGTCCACTGATTTGCCATGTCGACGCTCAACCGACCCAAGTCGCCGCACACGCCCACGGCCATCAAAAAGGGCGAAAAAGAGGATAGTTTCTGGGACAAATTTAGCACCCTGGGCCGCAAACGAGGAACTCGCGAAGGTTTGTGACAATTTGAGATCGCTAAGTTTTGTGGGCCCAAATAGGGTCGAAACATAGTCTTAAGAGCTCTGAATTGTAGGTGGAACCCACTGTTTCACCTACCTATTAAGGAATGTATGCGAAGGATAAGCCCTAAGTATCTCCTTGGGCGTCCATCGAGCATTTCTGGGAACAGATGTGCGCTGCTAAATCAGAACATTGCGTCACTGATGACGCACACAAACAAATAAGCAGAGCCGCGATCTTTGTGGGCGTGCATTTTGTGCCTGTGTGTTTCGTGTGTGTCGTCATTGTTGTTTACTTTATCACAAGACCTCTTTGTTATCCTCTCCTTGCAGTGAAAAAAGTTCAGGAGGAGGGAAAGTATGCCATCGACTCACCAGGATCACCTAGTCAGTATGACATCCCACCTGAGGACTATGCCCTGCGTAAGTTTGGCATCTAAGAGAGGTGGTAGCCCGCATCTTACGACTTTAATTCATTTTAGGCGAACATGAACAGCGCGCCGTGATTGACCCACAGTCCATAAACGATCCTGTGGTACTGGAACTGCAGCGAATCCTTGTCGACTGGATTAACGACGAGCTGGCTGAGCAGCGCATCATTGTCCAGCAACTGGACGAAGATATGTACGACGGCCAGGTGCTGCACAAACTGTGGGAAAAGCTCACGGGAAAGAAACTAGACGTTCCAGAAGTCACACAATCGGAACAGGGACAGCTCGAGAAGCTGAACATTGTTTTGAAAGCTGTTAATCATGTAAGGCCTGACATTGACAGAATCAGTATATTTTTATAAATTTTTTCTGTAATTTTAGACTCTGGGCTTCCATCACAAGATCCCTAAGTGGTCGGTGGCCAGTGTGCACTCGAAGAACCTAGTGGCTATCCTTCATTTGCTTGTGGCTCTAGTGCGCCACTTCCGCGCACCTGTACGTCTGCCGGAGAACGTGTTTGTGTCCGTGGTGATCGCCGAAAAGAATGCTGGGGTACTTAACGCACAGAAATTCCAGGAGCAGATAACCTCCGAGTACGACGACGTGGGCATGCGCTGCGAAAAGGACGCTTTCGACACACTGATCGATATTGCGCCCGATAAGCTGGCAGTGGTGAAGAAATCGCTGATCACGTTTGTGAACAAGCACCTGGCCAAGCTGAACTTCGAGATCACCGACCTCAACACGGACTTCCACGACGGTGTCTATCTGTGCCTTCTAATGGGCCTACTGGGTGGCTTCTTTGTCCCCTTGCACGAGTTTCACTTGACGCCCCAGGACACCGAGCAGAAGGTCAGCAACGTGGCGTTTGCCTTCGACCTCATGCAGGACGTGGGCTTGCCCAAGCCGAAGGCTCGCCCCTTAGACATCGTCAACATGGATTTGAAGTCCACCCTGCGCGTACTCTATAGCTTGTTCACCATGTTCCGGGACTACGCCTGAGAGCCATTGCCAGTCAGCCATCCGATGCCCATTTACATTTTTAAATATTAACATTTTGCATGTTTTTACGCGTAATTTATATATGTGCGTCTAATGGACGGTTACGTTTATGTATGTCGTATGTCTAACCATTGCGAGCTGTTAAACTGTTCCGCATTGAGGAGCAGAGCTAACCCCAAATCGAACCCCAACCCCAATCAGGCGGCCAGTTGTTAACCGCTAATAGTTGTTACTAAATGAATTTACTGTATTAATGAACAATAAACGAAAATGTGCCTTTGAAACACACAGAGCTTTTGCGAAATATGTCAAAGATTACACAGATCAAACCTGTAACTGTACGGAAAAAGTCTTCAAATTGTATGGTGTACGTTTAAAATTTCGATAAGAAAAATCAATAAATATTGCCAATAGCATATGTGTTATTCTATTTCAAACAGTTTCAAGGCGCAAAATTTCTCAGGGGCAGCATCTACTCACACTAGCTCTGTCTTCCATTTATTTCACATGTGAGTACTTTTTTTCTAGTCTAAGTTAGCTGCTTTGCTGTCCTCTCATGTTTGAGTTGTCGCGCCCTTTGGCCTATCGTTTATCGAACGCTGCGTCGGGAAAGTTGCCAGACGCCTGCAAATCGATCGCTAAAAGGAGCGTACAATTTGAATAAAAAAAAAAATTTGGGATTTCAGTATTTGAGCCTTCCGCCAACTGCTACGCCCACGAATTAAAATACCATGTCCCAACGCTTTATGCCTTTTTGCCTTACCGGTGCAAATATAATAGCCAAACGTGTGTTCTACAAAATGTGTCGTTTTGAATCAAGGTGGCAACCATGCGAATACTTTTTATGATTTTCACAATAGCTGAGAGAAGTTTCAAGATATTACAGCTGCCCGCTACTACAACATCGCTCTTCCTGCGCCGCAACTGCCATAATTTTGGCTACGACTACAGCAGCCTCACGCAACTAGAACTCAGTCGAGAGGCGACACGCCTGGTAATTCGACGTCTCCAACGCACCGTTCTACGCATCCTTCGGGACCCCGACAACATGTCCCAGGCGACTCCCACGTTTGCACGGCCCTCGCCGGCCGACCAGAAGACGGAGAGTCCACCACCGCCGCCCCGGCCTGATCAGGAGGATAGCTCATTTGCAGCCCATCGAAGAGCCAGCGGCGGCAAGCAAGACTCCAACTGTCGCACGTGCAACGACTTCAAGTCGTGGTCCAAGCAGCAACGACTTATCTCGAACGTGCAAACTTCTAAGGTGGATTTCTTTTACCTTTGACATTCTTGTTATTTTATGATATATTTTCTAGGTCAAACACATGGCTACTGCGGAAAAGATAAGCGTGAATACCGAGGAGGTGCGCGATGACTGTCCGCTGGACAAGGTGCGTTTGGGAATCTCTACTTGGGGCTTGCTGCATACCATGGCCGCTTTCTACTCGGACAATCCCACGGACACTGAGAAGCGTGATATGAAGACTTTCTTTGAGGTCCTCTCTCGTCTCTATCCTTGCGAGTTCTGCGCTAAAGATTTCCGTACCGAGTAAGTTATTGTAAGCAACGTTATCCCCTGCTGGTACCCCAATCTATATTTCACAGTTTGGACGTCAATCCAATCAACGTCAACTCACAGAAGGAACTGGCTATGTGGCTATGCAAGTTCCACAACCGGGTGAACGATAAGCTCGGTAAGCCGCTCTTCGACTGCAGCAAAGTGAACGAGCGATGGCGCGACGGCTGGTTAGACGGTTCCTGCGAATAGACACCGCACCGTCTACCCGTCGCCCCGCTCGCCCCCCCCGTAAGCAGCAGCCGTGGTCGGAGACCAATTTCGATGCGAGTAGTACCCCGATACATAAATGTCATAAAGCTACATGAATCATGTTGACCAGAATTGTCCCACTTAAATGGGTCGGCATATTCACGTACACCAACTCATTGACAGACACACAATCCTGCGCAGGCGAGTGCTCCGTTTTCTGATGGCGGCCGAGTTTAAGATAGGCGGCGAGTCGCTGTATAAAGCTCTGTGCCCCGTTTCTGGGCGGTGGCCCATTTCCCTCATTGCATTTCATCGCCCAGACTAGCACGTAAAACTGGGAAATCGATCGGTCGGGGCCTGAGTTGACTAAGGGCGACGTGAAATTGTGTTATACCGTAATAGAAGAACACATCCAAAGGTCTTTTGTTAAACGCTTTTGCCGGCTATGAACACTTGCTATGACAATACACAATTTGTTGAATATCATGCATTATCACTAGCAGGGTTACGGGCAAAGGGATATGTCAAACAACAAACTGCTTACTTATCTTTTGTCATAGATAAGGGCCTGGATGTGGGTGCTCCCATTGTGCTGACTCACTTACGCAACAAGACTGCTGGTTTGGAAATGGCCTTTGAAATCCGATAAAGGGAGATCTAGAGTCTAGACGTTGGGCAACGAAGATTGGCCAGCTATTATAGGGGTTGTTAAGTTGAAAATATTTTAAAGTATTCAGTTTGTTTCTAGATTTTCTTTTTTCTGTTTTAAATGAATTTTCAGTTTCAAAACTCAAACAGTCCTCAAATTTTTTTAAACATTTTTTCTTTTTGATATTTAATATTTCAAACGTTCTGGTACTTAAATTACCACAGTCATTGGATTCAAAGTGTCTTCTAATTAAAATGAACATTGATGTAAGATATTGAGAGATAATAAGTTTGATTTAGTGACTGAAAATGAATTAAGCTTTAACGGTTTTGCCAATCCAGAAATTTTGACCGCGCCATGTAGGTACCACCAACTGGTCACACTAAGTCGACTTCACAATATTAAAAAAAAAATTATATTATTTCTTTAAGAAATTAATAGACCTTTTTTCTTTTACATGTTGTAAATATAAATAAAAATTGGAATATATCAGTAAAATATGGAAAACTACAATTTAAATGTGGCGCTTCGACTCAAACGCACAAATGAAGGCAAGTAATGCAACAAATACCTTGGAAAGCTTAACATATGTATATTGAGTAAACGGTGAATTAAGGTGGTCAAAAATAGCATTTCCTTCTGTTGCCTTGGATCAGGGAAAGAAAGCTCTAAATATTTTCCAAACAAATTTTCTGAGGAGCCCGTCGGGACAAAAAATATGTTTTGACGGCTTTTGGGGGGAAAATTAAATATTTTTTCGAAATTTTATTTTTGAATACACTGACATGGTGAAAAAAGATGCCAAAGTTCAACAAATCTGAGCTCCTGGTCCCTAAATAAACCCAAAAAGAAATGAATAAATTAAAAAAATCAACACAATTTCGGAAATAGTTTTTAAAACAAGGTAATTTTCAGGTTATTTGAAAAACTTGGATTTACAAAATGTAGATGTCTGGATTTTTTAGTGGTTTTTAGCGCACCCCGATAAAATGTGAGTGGAAACTGAAATCGGAATCTGGCAACACTGAAACAAGTTAACATTTTCGACAACCCTACGATTTTGTTTTGCGCGTCGCACGTTCCACGTTCGTCTGGTCAGATTTGCGAGGAGTAGATGCGAACGAGCGAGGTGGCGAGGTAGCTGTAAGCTGTGTGTAACAATTACCGAACAAAGCAATGCGCCTGGCGAAAATTGAATAAATAAAAGCATTAAAGGTGTGTGACAATCACTCAACTCTCCGGCCAGGACAGAAGAAGAAGCGCCAGCATTAGCCAGGGGCTGTGCCAGTGAGCTAGAGAGAGCAAAAGAGAGAGAGAGAGGACGAAAGTAGCCAGGTGTTTACATCCTGCTCTCGCCGTTTTGTGGGTGTGTGTGCGTGTGCGTGTTCGCGAACAACAAAAACAACAACAACAACAAAAGATAGTGCAATAAATATATTTAAATTTTTATTTATTTATTTTTTTAAATTTTTTCGCTGTGCTGCCCCCACGTGCGATAAAAGTTTTTTCTGCCAACCCGACTCCCGACTCGGCCGACAACGGCCTGCGAACCTGGCCCAAAAAACTACACATACTCCAAGCTCCAAGCGCACCGAGCAGAAAGCGGAAAACACGCGAATTCCAAACCAAAATTAGTCCGTCAGAGAAAAAATAAAAGCAATCAGCTACAACATCATGGCTCCGGCTCTGAGCAAACTGGCCAACAACCAAAGCGCCATCGTCGGCGTGGCGGGCATGACGGCCGCCCTCTGGATAATTGCCTACGGAAAGATGTCCAACAAAAAGCGGTAAGCCCCGGCCTGCGGCCTTGCCACCCCCCGCCACCTCGATCACCTTGCGCGACCCCCATCGCTCCATCCGCCAGAAAACATTGAGGAAGGTCTCCCGCGCTGTGCCGTCTCCGAAATTCTCTTGACATTGAAACCAAGCGTTTGGTTTTGATTTATTTGCTCGCTGCACTTGGCACTCGTTCTGCACTCCCACTCCCCTTTCCCACGGCTGCGCAATCATACGATCCCCAGTAGTCAGTGGGTCATCTGCGGGGCTCCAAACTGGTTTTCGTTCCTCACCGGAGGCGATGCACCTTCTCCTTTGCCTTCTTTCGGGTTTCCAGTTACCCTGCTTCCCTGCACTTGTAATGCCCATGCCCATCGGGTGGTTCCCCCGTCAAGGATAACCAGCTGTAATGGGGGTCCCATCCAGGCCCCTTCATAAATTACATCAAGTCTGATCTCTGGGAAATATATTGCCCACAAGGCTACAAAGGATTCACTTCAGTTTCTTTTCTAAAGATTTTTGATTTATTTGAGTATTTGATTTAATTCTCAATTATTCGATGGTCATTAATGCGAATTATTTACAACTTGGGCCTATTTTTGAACTCTTTTGGGTTCAGACTTCAAGAATGTAATGTCAAGAAATCATTAAAAATATAAAGACTTTTTACAAAATTTGTTATATTTTTGAATTGAAAGGTTCTATCATGATATTGAAAAATGATACTTTTAAGAGATACAAGCCCAAGTAAAAATGGTTTATAAATACATATATAAATGTTAAAACCTTAAAGTTTAGAAACCAATCTTTTCGAGCGGCTAGGCTGAGATCCAAACTATTAAAAGCAATAATCAATCTGTGGTATGAAGAAAATCAATCAAGTTGATAATCAAAAAGCCACGACTGCAAGAAAGTGCGGCTAACGATGGCTCTTCCGGGACCATTGCTGCAATCGATTGGAGCACCACTCCGGGGTGCAGTGGCCACTAGACGGGCAGGTTACACGAGGGGCTTTGCCAGCACTTGTGAAAGAAATACACAAGACGGCCGTGGGCGGAACAAGGTCTCCAAATTGGCCAGTTTACGATCCCCGGCCATGGGCCACGTTTTGGTGCTCGAATGGACTTGGTCTCTTGGCGTTAATCTAATCGCAATCGAAGCCAGACTATGGCTGGCCATCGAGATACTCCGAGCAGCCGATTGGGCGAGCGGCCTTGGCTCCAAATATATTTACTTATTTGTTGACCCATTTCGGGGGTCTCTCGCTCTCCATCGAGTCCCCGGTATCGTCCAATCACTATCATAATTGGATAAGCGGGCATGGGGCTGGGTGTTCTATTTGCATGACTGAAACAATTAATTAGAGCGACTGGAGCACTGTTGGCGGCATTCCGGACATGTGCCAGTCCACTCGATGATTGCCACAGCCACAGCCCCAGCCACAGCCCTGGTGATTAGTCCCGGTATCAGCGGAGCAGCTAGCTGCGCTGGAACCCGATCTTTCCGCACCTGTCGCTGCAATAAGCTAATTGAGTGACTGTTGCACTTTGGAAGGCAATCGGAACGCGGCGCCTTAATGGCCTGTTGAGGTGGCTCGAGTATTCCGCATCTACTATCGATGGTAAATTTATGCGGCGCGTCGCCCGTTGCATATTCGCCAGGGTGCCTGCCCTGCCCTGCCCTGCCCCGCGCCGAACGGATCAGGTTCAATGGACTTGCCCAAAAATTATTTATTTCAATACTTATGTGGGGTATTGGTAGTATCTTTCCACAGTCTATATATATCTATATCTATAATAAATAAAGCTTAATGATCTACTCATTTTTTAGAGGTTACTATCATACAAGTTAAAGTTTTAGTTAACTTCAAAGATCTAATTTGAGATCTCTTCCATTTCTCAAGTACTACTTGGTGTTCGCAATCCTCAAGATGTCTCGATTAGGAAGCATCTTGATTTTATTTCTAATAGTTCTTAATTAACTTGAAACATGTAACTATTTTAAAACTATTTAACGTATCTGATTCTCCATTATTACTATTCTGTAATCAGAGCAAGAGATCTAACTATTGTAGAACTATTGGGAGCTTGAAACCCAAAAATAAACTATTTAAGTGGCGTTACCATAATCTATTTATTTTTTATTTATTATTATTATGCTTTTACCAGCTTGTAGTCCACTCCAAAGACCTCTTCACTTTAGAACTATCTGAATGTCTCACTATAACATCTCTATAATCAGAGCTGGAGATGTGACTATTGTATAACTACTTGAGGTTCGAAACCCAAACTGAAATAATAATAATATTTTATCTACTTTGTCTACTCCAAAAATGTAACTACGTTGGATCCAGTACTGTTCCCTTACATTCAGAGTTAGAGCTGAAACTGTACTGCATCTTTAAAAATAAATCATTCTAGATCGTTATTATAGTTTATAGCCTATATTACAGATATATAGTCTTTTATGTGCAACTACTCCATGACTAGAGTTCGAAGCTCGCACATAGGCCGAGTGCTTAGCCCACAAATGAGTCAAGAAGCATGAGTAATTTTTCGAAAGAAAAGATAAGGACTCTGGCAATAAAGACCATACATTGGGGGAATGGCGGTGGAAGTACCCGAAGGGCGAATGGATATTCGAGAGGTGTCAGCGGAAAACTGCAAAAAAATAAACAAAACTCGCCACGCGGTGGCTGTTGTTGAATGCCGTTTTCCGGGTGGTGCTGCAACTCCTTTCTGGACGAGCCCAGGGAGAGGGTGCCCACGGAGTGGAGGGTAACAACTTGTTGTGTGTAGTTTTGATGACACCCGAGTATCAAATGTAAACACTGCGAGCCATACCTTTTAATGACTGGGCTGGGGACTGGGTACTGGATACTGGCGACTGGGTACTGGAGACTGGGCACTGGGGTCAGGGGGAAACATGGAGCGACAACAGGCCCATAAAAAATGAAAAATTCCGGTTCTGGTTTCGTTTTTCACAATTTCTTTTGTTTCTTTTTATCGCACACTGGCCAGAATAAATGTTAATTTCGTGTTTACTTAAGGCGTCATAAATATATATGTATGTATGTGCTCACCCCGAACGGCTCTCACTCTGCGCGAGTGTGAGTGTTGCGTAATGCTCCCCTCAGGGCCCCACAGAGCCCCCCATTGACGTTCGGCGGAGCACTCGCTGGCGGCCGCTGCCGCTGCCGCTGTCGTTGCCGCTGCCCTTTTGGCCCCCAGCCCGGGCAGTAACGCTTGACACTGGCTAATTGCAGTCGGAGCCAAGTTCCCCAGCTTTTGGCCACAGAGAGCCATTAACAGGGCCGGCCAGGGGCGTGAAATGAGATCGCATTTCGGATGCAGATTCCCTGACATTTGCACTTGAGCTTGAGGCTGCCACGTTCCGTTTTTCCGCATGTGTGATGGCAACAGGTGCTGCCGTATCTATACTCTGGCCGCTGTTTATCAGCCTAGATAAGAGAACCACTGAACTTTGGCCCGCCCGCGGCTGGGTGTCTGTATCCGAGCTTTTGTATCCGTATCTGAGTCAGTCACCAGCCGACCCAGCCCGACCCGATCATCTCGTGTTTGGGTTCAATGTGCCGTCCCACAAAGCGATCGCCGGGCGATAAGTGGCTCAGATTGGAGACAGTGGCCGATGGGAGGGCGATCGGGGAGATAGAGAAAGCTCCGCATCCGAAGGGGGTTTCGGATTCGGATTCGGATTCGGATTGGAAATACCTCAAGTAGAGTGACCTATGGACCCAAACACATGTTCCAATGCGACACAGCGCGCACAAAGTAAAACAAGTTTAATGAAACGAACTAGGGGAATGGGGAAAAGACAAGACATAGGAGCCGGGGTATACAGATGGATATGAACCATAGATGGGCGCACATACGGAATACATAAATAAACGGCATTAGAAACAATTAAGAGGCGGCGGGAAAGAGGCAACTCTTCGATCGAGAAACCACCGAGTCATCGCGACTGGCTCGTTTCTGCTTTTGCAATGCCAGATGATAACCAAAGGCGTTCGAGCTTTGTACTTTGTTTGGGCTAAACGGGCACGGGCACATACACCTGCACTGGGACAGAGCACCACCGAACCACGGCACCGCCAAGATCGACTTCGACCTCTGCCAATCGGCCGGACTGACCTTTGCCCGACACTGGTGTGGCCTCAAGGGACGATCCTGATGGTGCACCTTTCCCAGCCCCCAAACCATGACCCCTGACAACTGCTTTGACATTATTCGGCCGGGCCTGGCGGTCGGACCTGACTACTTTATTAGTATTTTCAGCCCTAATGTCCCCCCGCTATGGCAGTTAAGTTTCTGTGTCTATACTTGTGGAACCCTGTCTGTTGGCCGTTAATCCCAGGTGTTAAACGGCTAATCAGCTTGACGTTAATGTGCATCATAATTTTAATGGTGTGCTTGACTCTAACAGTTGGTAATCAATTTTGGAATCCACACTGCCCTGGAGTGCCCTTTCCTGGGTCTACAATTGGGAGACTATTCTATGGAATAGTTTCTGGGTCTAGGAATGAGGGTATTAGATACAACTTATTTTTAATAAAATTAGATATATGACCGTCTACTCGCTTAGAACACAAGAAACTCCTTGACTCAGTAAAGAAATCTGTGACGAATTTACTAAGATTTTTAATTCAACTTCTAGCAAAAATCACTTTTAAAAGACAAAATCTGTCAGCGAAGTGCAAAAGTACCTTGAACACCTGTGAATACCCTTCTCATCCATATACTTCCACAATTTTGTGACGAAATTTCTTAGATAAATTACGTTTTAAAAACAAGAAACCTCATGACAATCTTTGGTATCTTTGAAACCTTTCCATACCTATTTCATGCATATTCTTTGAAAGGTTTGTGACGAAACTTCTTACTCTTCTAAGACGAAAGACATTCAAAAGACAAGCAAAACCTTTGACACCTTTCCTATCTAAAGGAAATCTATATATCACCTTTTCTATCTATCTTTCCATACCTATCTAAAAGATATTATCTATAATATATATATCTATACTTATCTAAACTAGATAATACCTATATATATAGGTATGTATACTTTATCCATTACTTTATATACCTCTTCTAAAGGAGCTTCTAAATAAAATCAAAATAAAACAAATTCTTGTTAATTATTCTTAAAAAAAAAGTTTATTGGTTAATTTCTGTTCATTCCGTAAAGAATTCTACAATTTTGAGATATTCTTAGTCCTAAGCTTTGAGGATTAAAATAAAGGCTTAAGATTTTTAATCTTGAAAAGATTTTAAAAGCCTCTGAACCGGATGAAAGTAACTGTGACGAAAGCCACCCCCCCTTTTTCATCCCCCGAAACTTTCAACGTCAATTTCGTGACGAATATTCTAGCAGAAGTAGCTTTTATTTTTTTTTAATTAAAGTAATTCTTTTTTGGGAATTAGTACACTTTTTAAGACAAAACACCTGTGCAAGGTACCTGTGACGAAAGCACCCCTCTCATCACTGTCAAGTTTCGTCAATTTCCCACTTCATCCCCCTCTTAAGAAGCGAAACCAACTAATGAACTGATCTTTTCTTCAGAAAATCTGGCTACGAGGACAAAATCCAGTACACAATCGCCGAGAAGAAGGAGAAGAAGGCGGGCAAGGCCCATGTGAACTCAGTATTCTTCAAACAGCTCCGTCAGCTGCTCCGTAAGTGGATCTGTTGCTCCCCTTCTTGACTTTTTCCTGGGAACTTGGTGCAATGTTTGTTTGTTTACTCTCTGGTTGCAGCCATACTCATCCCGGGTTTCTGGAGCATAGAGACGGGCCTGCTGCTCCTGGTGGCCGCCTCTCTGGTTGGCCGCTCCGTGAGCGACATTTGGATGATCCAGAACGCGACTGTGGTGGAGAGCACCATCATTCACATGAACCGCACCAAGTTCAAGACGGCGCTGCTCAAATACCTGACAGCCCTGCCAGCGGTAAGCGACCTGCGACATGCTCCATTCCCCAGAGAGGTCTCTAGTTACCGTAACTCCCATCTTTCAGATCTCCGTGGTCACCAACGTCCTGAAATGGAGTCTGGGCGAGCTGAAGCTGCGCTTCCGCACAAACCTCACCCATCACCTGTACAGCCAGTACCTAAAGTGAGTGCCTCCCGACTTTGGGATTTATGTACCGTGTAATGAGCGTTACCCCTTCCAGCGGCTACACGTACTATAAGATGTCCAACCTGGACAACAGGATAGCCAATGCCGACCAGCTGCTGACCACCGACATCGACAAGTTCTGCGAAAGTGCCACGGACCTCTACTCGAACATCAGCAAGCCGGTGCTGGACATATTCATCTACGTGTACCGACTGACGGTGAACCTGGGTGGCAAGACGCCCTCGATCCTGATGCTCTACCTGCTCTTCGCCGGAGTCTTCCTGACGCGTCTCCGCCGTCCCACCGGCCGACTCACCGTCGAGGAGCAGAAGCTGGAGGGCGAGTTCCGTTACGTGAACAGCCGTCTGATCACCAACTCCGAGGAGGTGGCCTTCTACCAGGGCAATGTCCGCGAGAAGCTGACCCTCCTGGCCAGCTACTCCAAGCTGCGCTCGCACCTGCGCAAGTTCCTCGAGTTCCGCGTCAGCATGGGCATCATCGACAACATCATAGGCAAATGTATGCAAGTTCTCGTGGCTTCTACAGGAACTCCAAGTTGATGGCTTTCACCTCTTCTCCACAGACTTTGCCTCCATCGTGGGCTTCTACGCCGTGTCCATTCCCTTCTTTGCCGACAACCATCCGCTGCTGTCCGGCGAGCAAAGCGGACAGCGCCTCCAGGCCTACTACACCTACGGCCGTATGCTGGTCAAGCTGGCTGAGGCCATTGGCCGCCTGGTGCTGGCGGGACGCGAGATGTCCCGCCTGGCCGGCTTCACCGCCAGGATGACCGAGCTGATCAAGGTTCTTGGCGACCTGAACAAGGGCACATACGAGCGCACCATGGTCAACGGCAACAACATCACCCAGAGCCTGGGCGCCGCCGCCGGCAGCAGCTTCGGGCCCAACAAGGGCATCATGTGCTTCGAGGACAACATCATTCGCTTCGAACAGGTGCCCCTGGTCACGCCCAACGGGGACGTGCTCCTCAAGGAGCTGACCTTCGAAGTGAAGTGAGTTTTAAACCCACTGCGCTTTCATGGAATTCCAAATCCTGATTTTCCGCATTTCAGATCGGGAACCAATGTCCTGGTTTGTGGACCAAACGGTTGTGGCAAGTCTTCGCTGTTCCGCATCCTGGGCGAGCTGTGGCCCACGTGGGGCGGCAAGGTGACGAAGCCTTCGCGAGGCAAGCTCTTCTACATACCTCAGAGGCCTTACATGACGCTGGGCACTTTGCGCGATCAGGTGAGCATCTCCTCGCACGGCGCTGGAACAGGCTCTGGTTTATTTTGGATGCTTTTGTAGATTATCTACCCGCACACACGCGAGGACATGCGCCGGATGGGCCAGAGCGACGAGGATCTCATGCACTACCTGGACATCGTGCAGCTGACGTACTTGGAGCAGCGCGAGAACGGACTGGATGCGATTGAGGACTGGATCGACGTGCTGTCCGGCGGCGAGAAGCAGCGCGTGGCCATGGCCAGGCTATTCTATCACCGTCCCCAGTTTGCCATCTTGGACGAGTGCACCAGCGCCGTGTCCGTGGACGTAGAGGGCAAGATGTACAGCTACTGCCGCGAGGTGGGCATCACGCTCTTCACCGTCTCGCACCGCAAGTCGTTGTGGGCGCACCACGACTACTACCTGCAGTTCGACGGACGGGGCAGTTACGAGTTTGCGGCCATCGACCAGGAGAAGGAGCACTTTGGCTCGTAAGGCTCCTGTCAGCTCCTTTCTCCCCTGAGGGTCTTCGCCTCCAACCCAGTTTCTATGTCCTATAACTCCGGTGCTGACGACTCCTGTTCCCCGTCATCCACACGTTAGTCATTCCACTGCAACACCTGCGACATCTGGTGCTCTGTTTGGACCGGAGATATTTGTATATATGTAATCCCAAGTTGGAGAAACCTTTTTTGTTTATTAGCTTCTTTATGTGATTTTGTTTCTCCCAATGCCCAATGCCCGATACCCAATATCCTACACCCGATACCGGATACCAGTTATCCGCTAACGCTAGCTATTCCATTTTTTATTCCACTTAAATATAGTTCCCAGGCCCTGTCTCCTGCGCCGCTGGGCTTTTGAATAGAGTGCAGCTTGAGCGACGAGCTGCTGGTGTTTAGAAATGTAAGCATCGACGTGGAGCGGACATAGCGAACCTTTTAGAAAATTTATACAAGATTATACACAATACAATTATAAATAATAACTACATCTTTAACACCTAGCCTTACGCGACGCACAAGCCCCTCCAAGAAGCCTTGGCGCGTTCGAGAGCTTTTTTTTTAGTAATTTGTAAAGTACGCTGGCTAATTATCCTGTTTTGTATTTTCGGTTGAATTGGACTTTGTAATGGTAGCCTTGCACGGCGCCGAGCGGTTGCGTATACAATTGTAATATCTCGCGGCTAGTGCAAGGCGCAATAAATGTATATAAATATCAAAAAAATACGTTTTTGTAAACTAAAGTGTAGGAAGTAATTCTAAGAGTACGAACTATAAACACTCAGTCAAGGGCTAGCAGGCCTTGCGCTTAGGCTTTTTGCTCTCCATCAGGCTCATGATGGTCTTGCGCAGGTCCTCAGTCTCCTTTTGTTCCATCTCGAGGTTCTCGATCTGGTCCTTGCGCTCCTGCAGCTGCTTCTCCAGCACGGACACAAGGTCCTCGGACTTTTTCCGGCCCTCGCGCTGCTCCTCCAGCGCTTTGTGCGTCTTGGCCAGCTCCGCTCTTGGCACTCAGGCTTGTCCGCAGATCATCGCAGTCCTTCTTCAGGCCGGCGATCTCCGCTTTTTTGACTTCCAGCCGCCGTTCGCTGTTCTGGAGGCTGACCGCGTTCTTGGAGAGGTGCTTCAGCAGGTTGTTCATGCTGCTCTTCAGCTTGTCCGTCTGCTGCTTGAGATCCTTGCACTGGGTTTGCAGTCTGTTTGGCAAGATAGTTAGCAATTGGACTAGAAGTTACGACTCACTCACCTTTCCTGGCTGATGAGCAGCTCAAAGTTGGTGGTCTGGAAGCGCTCCAGTTCGGCGCTCTGGACGTGCGACAACTGAGTGGCGCTTGTCAGCTGCTGGCCTACCTGATCCAGGCGCTGTTGCAGGTTGGCGACGACACCGTTCAGGCTATCAATGCGGTGGTTATACAGCTCGATCACCTGGGAAACGGGTGCCGAAGCCAGCTCATTCCGTCGCACTATTCCTCCGATGCTCTCCAACAGGGCATTGACCCGCTGGGCCATCTCCTTGTCGGTGAAGGTGCGGTGGCCTTTCAGGATGGAGCTGAGATTCCGCCACTGTTCTGCCTGATCATTGCCACAGGCAGAGGTAGCAGGAGAGCCACCTGGAGCCTTGCCTATGGCGGCGACATACTAAGGGAATTTTGGAGCGTTAAGGACGTAGTTGCTCGAACAAATCCTACTTACCTTTGCCACTGCTGCCTTAGGGAAGTGCTCAAACTGGGCTATTTGCAGGACGGCGGCCACAACGGTTTCATTCTGGCTCACCATGCCCCGGGCCAGGCAGTATTGCAACTGCGGCTTCTCCAGCAGCGAGCAGCACTTGTCCAAGTAGGCCTTCTTGGCTATGCCCGCCACATGCACCAACAGCAACAGACAGAAGCAGGCTTTCTCGGCCTCCGACTAGGCCAGGCTCTGGGTGCTCAGGAACTGGGGCACCAGAGCTAGCGGCGCCGCCAGAATCTTGTCGAAATACGACTCCCAGATTTTGGAGAGAACCAGTTTTTCCGTCTTGGACTCCTTCAGCAAGGCAAGTAACAATCGCAGAATGGCAACCGTTTGAGCTGGCTTCGTGTCCGGGCGCTCGGCACTGGCCACCAGACCCACCACATGCAGTGGCTCTCGGGAAATAGAATGGGCCACAGTGGCACGCTTCCCGACACGCAGCATAATGGTCAGCAATTCGGTAGCTGCCACGCCGCACAAGTCGGAAGACAGCCATTCCACAACCAGCTCAAAGAGGCGCGGCGTGATGGCGTCCAGGCTGATGACATTGTTGTCGGGGTCCTGTTCGGAGAGTTCCAGAACATAGCCAATGAGCCGGAATATAAGATCCATGCAGATTTGCTGGTACTTGCGCGACTCCTCGTGCGAATCATCCATGGCGTTGCGGGCATCGATTTGCTGGAAGGGAAGAGACCTTAATCCTGCGTTTAAGACAAAGTTTTCTTCAAAATGTTAATCTTACATCCAAAAGCTTTTCCACATCCTCGCAGTAATGACTGTGCGAGAGCATGGCCCTGTGCAGGCCGGCGTGGGACTGGGAGTCAAGCAAAAAGTCCACAATGTGCCTTAACTGCGCCACGTTCCAGTGCTTAAGACAGTCCTCCATGCCGGCGAAGGCTGTACGGAGGAAGGTGTGGAGTTCCCGCTGCTCAAAGGCATGAACCTCCTCCGAGAGGATAATTAGCATTTTGTAAGCCAGCAGACCATAGTTTTGGATGCGGCGACAGAATCCAGAGATGTTTACAATCCTTTGAAAGAGGAACAGCACGGCAAAGTTCTTGTAGCAGAGGTTAACCAAAATAGAAAGAGCTAGCAGGGCGTGCGAGTTCTCCTCCTCGTCGGCCTTGCTGGAGGAGGTGCCGTTCCCGTTGTCAGAGCCATCCTCTACGCCGTGTACTATCTCTGCCAGGTGCTCTAGCAGGGCGGCCAGGTAGGGCTCCTCCCAGTCGATTCGTATGCCGTAGGTCAAATCCTGCAGAAGTACCAGCAGCCGGTGGACACGTTCTGTTCGCTGGGTGCGGCGCAGAATCATTCCCAGCAGCGGCACAAAACAGAACTTGACCACAATGGCCCGGCGAGCCTCCAGGTTGCGACTACAGTGCTGGATTAGCGCCACGCAGGACCAAAGGACTTCCGCCCCTGAGCCCTCGGTGTCTAAGGCGCCCATCAGAGCGTGCAGGTCCACATAGAAGCGGGCTAGTTCCAGATTTCCCGGCAGGGGAGCAAAATGATGCGGCTGCACCTTGGTGCCGAGCAGTGCCACACTCCGCTGCACATACACAAGGCTCTCTTCGGATCGCTGCTGCTGGAAGGCGGCCGCCCGGCAGCTGAATTCCCTTACATATCCAATGGCCAGGGCGGCATTTGCGTCCTGCTGCGTCTGCAAAGGCGAGTCCTGGCCGGAATTCTCATTACCCGTGTGGTTCCGTAGCGTGGCCATCGGTTCGGTCTCACTCGAAATCTCCCCGTTCAAAATGCAATTTGCACAAAACACGCAAAACACAAAAAAAATGGTTAATTTCGAAAGTTGTTGATCGCTTGGCGCTTGGCGACTAAATATCGAAATCGAAATCGGTTATCGTTATCTGATCTCTCCAACACTAAAGTGTACAGAGTTGGCAGCTTTCACAATGCATTAGTTTTAAAAAAGTTGGCAGTCTTTCTTTAATTTGCCGCCACATTTAAATTTTGTACAAAACGCGAATTATTATCAACAATTATTTATATTATAAGTTGCTCCATATTTCTTCATATTTTTTATTAATTTGAATTCTTAAATTTGTATTGATATTGCAAACTGAAATTAACAAATTTATTAATTTATTTTTTGTGTTTATAGTTTTGAATTGCTTATATTATGCATATTAAGTTAATAGGATATAAATATGAGGATCTAAGATTTTTCTGAAAAGTTTTTATTTCTAAAATCCTTTTTTTAAGTTTCCTGGACATTTATATTTCCTGGACATATTTCTACTAAAAACGTAGAAGAGGGTTTATGGAGAGAAATTCAGTTTAATAAGTAAGTTTATGTAATTAATTTATAGTATTAATCTGATTACTTTTTTTATGAAATAATAGCTCCTATGCTTACTATTTCTTACTTTCTTGTTTATTTCTTACTTACCAAGACTTTTACTAAGAGTTGCTAAGATGAGAGTTCTCTACATGTATCATTTTAAAACCTGATTTGAAATATCCTTAAATTCCTGCATGGACTTCTTAAAGGCAGGTTACCTCCACCTCCTCACTCCTTGTTTATTTAATTTTACTAAAGTACACACATACAAATGCAAAACACATGGGCACAGCACACAACACACAAACGCACACACGTGCGTTACATTTCAAATAGCGCATAAATTTTGAAAAGTCCATGCAAAATCAAAACGAAATTTTCTTGCTGGACAGCACCGACCCCCTTTCGAGGGGTGTTTTGGGTGGGGGTTGGAGCTCCATTTCGGGGCCACATATGCGTAGCGAACCTCACCCCTCACCTACACCGCCTCGCTTTGCAGAATTACGCTTTCGGCTCTAGGCATTGTCGTTGTTGTTGTTTTCCTTTTTTTTCGGTGGGCAGTGGGCGGTGGGTGGATCTGGGGGGCGTGGGTCTAGGGCGGACGGCTGAATAAAGGGGTGGCGAGTGGCAAGCGGAGCAAGGGGGGCAGCTTAAAATGTGCAGAAAGCATAAGCCTAAGCTTTTTTATCGCTCGACCATGAGACAGGCCAGACCAGAGTTGCCCACTCCCATCAAAGTGAAAGTGGTCCAGCCGAAAAGTACACAGGAAAAAATGGATTTGAACTCGATACGAATTTTAGTTTGTTTTAAAATCTTTTGATTTAAATCATTATATCAATGGATAAAAAATAATAATAATATTTTTTCTATAAAAAAAATAGAAAGAACTGTTACTAATAAAAATAAATTTTAAATCGTTTTCTAAAGAAATAAACAAATTTAAGCAGGGACCTATGAACTGAAAAGGACTCCTGCAACAACTTTATTTCGTGTTGCATACTTATTGGGGTACATCTACTTATATTGTATTATGTGCTTTAGTTTTGTTCTCTATTTAGTTGAAATTGTTAAATATGAAATAATTTTAAATGATTGAAATGTATTTTGATCTAATTAAACTTATTCAAATTTTAAAAAATGTGTACTATTTCTTATCAAATATTTGAAGAGTAGTTCCTCTCTCTGCACAAATCTCGCTCACACATGCATGAACACACTCAAACATACGCATACACATGCCAAATTTGAATTGTGTGTGTGTATAGTTGAAAGTTTCAATATTGGCTCAGCTTGCTTGGGGAGGGGGTGGTGTGTGGACGGCCGGTAGGTGGTGGGTGGCTGATGGGCGGTAAGCGCTTTTTGCACAACTGCCCAAAAAAAACGCCCTCAGTGACAGCACATAAGGACATACGCTTACATACGTGAGCATGAGGCTCTGTTCGGTATATATTTACATTATTCATGCACACACACCCACGGACACACACTCCACCCACCCACACACATACATTGGCACTTTTGAAAAATGCGTTTTATTCAAAAACGGAAGCAGCAGCTCGGACCAAGGAGTCCTTGGGAATGGTGGGTGGTCGATGGGTGGAAGGGGTGGCCTGGGTCCTTGGGGCTTTCAGCCGTCAAAGTCTGGTCTTGGATATTCTCTGTTGGCAGTTAAAGCATTCCCCTTATTTTTTAAATTTTAAAAAATTATATTGGGTTAAACAAAACAGTTTTTTATATTTTATAAATATAAAAATAAAATCTTAAAATTCTTTGAATATTCTCTTTTATTAATTGTTATTTTTTGTAAAATATAAATTCCTTGTAAAAACTACGTTTTCTAGTTTTTTTTTAAACCCTTTAGGTGGTATTTGTTAGATCTACTCCTTTCAGTTCAAACGCCTTCCACCTCTACTTTTTTCTATTCCGCAATCAACTTTCAGTAGTTTCGATGAAAAAAAAATTCACACACATACACCTACTCACACCTAGTCACACAGCCAACCAATTGTCACATTCGCACACTCACACTACGGAGAGGGAGTTGTGCGACTATATATGGTACAGCCTTTTCTTTCGTGGAGAATAGGAGTTTCCTCCAGGGCATAAGCCAAATATATATATTGAATAAAAAAATGGTACGAAAGTTTGAAAACGGGAGCTCACAAGGTAATTTTTATACCCTTGCAGAGGGTATTATAATTTTGGCCAAAAGTGTGCAACGCCGTGTAGGAGACATCTCCGACCCTATAGAGACCCTTGATCAGGATCACCTCTTAAATTGATATGAGTATTGATTGATATTGATTGATAAGATGTGCCATAACTTCGGTGTATTTAGAGTTAGGATTTTCTGTGGGTTCTATATTTAGCAAAACAATATGACCCACCAATCCAAAGGATCGGCCGACTATATCCTATAGCTGTCATATGACTGAAAGGTCGCAAAGGTACAAACTTTCATGTTTTTAAAGATAGAAGGTTAGAACTTCATAAAGATCCTTTTTTTTTCAATTGATTCAACCTACCAAATTTTATTGGAATCGGTCGACCATATCCTATACCTGCCACATGTATAACTGAACCAACTAGCAAAACGACACCAATTTTGGTATTTTTAGAGATAGAAGCTTGCGACATTTTTTTAAATATTGTACTCTAATAAATTGATTTTATTATGAAATTCTCATAAATATCAACAAACTATATACATTATTTTCGATATATAGCCGATTTAACTGCAAGGGTATATCAACTTCCTATAAAACTTATTTGGACTTAGTTTTAGGGCGTTCAGCATATTCAAATGATTGTTTTAAAAATTTCAGAGTCCGTTTTCAAAAAATATATTTGTTTATAAATAATCTAAATGGTGTTTACCTTTTGGAATGTACTGATTTACTTTGTCTATTTAGTAGTATTTTAAATTTTTTTAAATTTCCCTAATTTATCTAGTTAATTTTTTCACAAATACCCCAAAATCTTCATCATTTTTTAAAAATAAAAAAAGAACAGGACATTTTCGCATCCGTTTTTAGTAAAACCATCAAAAAAGTCCATATGTGTGAACTAGGGAGTGGCTGAAGGAATGGTGGGTGAGGATGGGAGTGGGTGCTTGGGTAGCTGAGAGCGAGTGTGTGGGGGTGAGTGTGTTTGGCATAAGTGTAAGCCGCTTTTAGGCGCTGCCAAACGCGTAAAGCGCTTTAAAAGGTTTCCAATTCTCCCCGAGGAGCCAACAACGCAACCGAAGGAGTTCGGCGTCTTTTGAAATCCGGCCACTGAAATCTATAATCCCGAAGGATGAGTTATTGCCGCCACTCCTCGATGGATGCATTCAATCTGAAAACTTTCACTGCCATGCGTATTATGCGTTTCGGTGCTTGACCCACCTCAACACGAATTCCATTGATTTCTCGGCCCTCGTCAATCTGCTTGCATACTGTCTTCAACACTGAGAAAAATAGAGTAACAAAATCACTTACAACCAGATTTTGTAGCTAACAAATGCAAAAGACTTACGCATTCTAAGACCTGATTATTTTGTAAAATTATTTTATTTATTTCAGTGCACCGAGACTGCATCGAATGCAACCAAATCCGATTTTTTAATCAAAGGGCTCTCACCCACACACGCACTCACACTGACAAAAACACAATGGGCTTGGATTCGTTTCGATTTTCCTTTCTCTTCTACCTGCGATGCCATTATTTTTCTTGATTTTCCACTGGATTAGGTCTGCAAAGGTGTGTTGGTGTGTGCAACACGAATCTCGAGCCTTGAGCCTTGTCTTCTGCTCTCTGTGTCTCTCTAGTCTTCATTGTTCCCGCTGCCTCAGAGACACACTCACACGGGACTCATTAACTTGCCGTGCAACAATAAATTACCACAATTCGACATAGAGATACGGGGAGGAACACGGCGAGAGCGAGAGAAAAGTGGCGAGAAGAGAGAGAGAGAGGAAAACGAGAAAAACTGTTTTCTTCTCGGCCGTCCTTGAAATGCTTATCTTCCAAAGGAGTTTATGCGGCAGATTAAATTCTAGAACACACGAACATCGATTTAAAAAAGAAGTCTTTACCATGTTGTGAGAAATCCTTTTTTTTTTGTTGAGGGTGTTAAGTTTTAATTTTAATCATTAGGTAAAATTCTAAGAAGTGACTGGGCAAACGTTCGAACTACTGGCATACAAAAGTATGGACATTTGGAATACTCAATGAATTTAAACCCTAAATTATACCATTATAAAAATATGATTAATTTCAGGAACAAGTATTCGTACTGTCCCGCATAAACCCTGTGCGTGTTTCCCACCTGATTTTTTTCCAAACAAAACGATAAGAAGTACAACTGCAGTCGGCTGCAAGTGCGGGCATCGCCCACTTCTGCCGTAGCCCATTGTGCGTTCTTCCTTCGTTCTATTCCATTTCCCATTTGCCCCCTCCCCCTAGGCTTCTTGCCTCTCCTTGCTTTTCAGAGTTTTCCGAGCACAGGAAACTCGTCGCCA